ATGAGCATTATGCTAACTGAATCTCTAGCCCCACTGGTGAGAAGCCTAGCAAGCCCAGCCAGCCCGGCCACCCTGGCCACCCCGGCCAGGGTCACAACTCTACCATGGTCCCCGTCTACCCTACTGGCAAGCCCAGCAACGGTGGTGACCACCCCGCCGGCCCCGGTGCTACTCCTACCGCTGGTGTCCCCGAGGAGGTCCCCACTGCCGGTGCCGGCAAGGTCGCCGCTCTCTCCGGTGCCGGTCTCGCCGCCGTCGTCGGTCTCGCTGCTTTCCTGTAAATCAGCTGCTAGCAAACAATGCCTGCGATGTCTTACGCCCGGTAGATACCCAATTCATGCTGGGGGTGCGAAGTGGGAAAGTTAGCGATGGTTTCGATTCGATTTGGGATACGCAAGCGATCTTTCAGGGAACTGTATAGGAACTTCTTTTTTATATCTTTTTTGGGTTTACGAACATACGATACGGGAGAACCGGTATACCACTGCACCGCTCTATGGAGTCTTGTCTAATGATGGCCACGCTTTGCAGGGGTTTTGGAGACAAATTCTTGTACATATATAAGTTTTGTCTCGGTGTTCGGAAGGAGCTCGCATATTCCCTGTGTGTGAGATATCTTCTTTCGAGGATGGGAATATAATGTGTTTATCTTGCCTTTATGGCTACAAAAATAGGACGATCTTGTCTTACCTTGGCTCGCGAGTTTTGTTCCTGTTTCTGCTCATCAATTTCCCAACCTCGAATCCCGTTTCCTATTCTTGATACATACTTTTTCTTTGGTAAATTACCTCCAGCATCTTTAATGTTTTCCTTTTGTGGACGCTGGAGCATATATATCCTTAGAGCTGGGCGTGTTTATGGTCTCTTGTCAATTATCAATGTTGCTGCGAGCTTGAGGGAATTATGTATCATAGTCAAAAGCAAAGCAAACATTGCTGGGAGGCCAGTTTTGGCCTGGCACACTTCAGAGTTCTTTTTATGTTCGTGTGACTTAGTTGTGAAGATGACTTGCCTTGACTATGTTTCAGGCGTTTTATCCCGAGACAAAGACTAAATCCCCACGTGTAGTTACTTAGCTGTTTCCTGGTATTGTGCGGAATCAAACGCCATGGCGGTCAGCCCCATAGGACGAGCGCTGGGAGAGGCGTTGGAGGCGTTCAGAGAGCGCTTGCCAACAGTCAATTGAGATTGCGTAGCTGTTAAACTAATATTGAACTCTGAGCCATTATTTTGAATTCGTGACGTTTGTATTGTATGGCTTGCCTTGTACAAAAGAACAGCAGTAGACGAGTTTAGTTGTAACGATCGGCTGGGACTAGTCTACCGCCTAGCCAAAAAGTCAATCAATGCTAGGGTTGGCTGAGTGATGTTCGTTCCCCTTTTCAAGTGTTGCTCTCACTTCCTAAAAGTTCGGTGAGTCCCCGGGCACGGCTGCAGTACCGTGGCAGGGATAGATTCCTTCAAGTGCTCACCGACAAGACATTATTACCCAGGTCACAATGAACCGTCAAAACGTGGAGTTCACTACAGCAACTACCGGCAGTAAATAAGAGCTAATTAGTCCAATGCTTCAGCTCAACTCCGAATGCCCGGGGTATCACCGCCAGGATGATCCACCAAATAAGCCTCATGTTCTCACTAACACATCCATTGTTACGGTTCGGAACGGTACCGGCCCGTCGGTTACCGGAAGAGTCTACCGGGCAAAGGGACAAACGGTAAAGCTGGGTGTGAGGTAGGCACCATCCTGTATCTTACTTGGCATAAGGCAGGTAGGAATGCGGGGGAGCTCTGATATGGAAAGAAGGAAGGAAGCGAACCAGTCACACTTGCTCTGACAGCCAAGAAAATGGAGGCTGATGATGAAATTGAGGAGAGATGCAGGTTGAGGAAAGAGCTCCTCCCAACAGTTCTTGCGTCAGTCCAAGCATTGTTAGATTCAGTATTCATGCCACAGACTCAAATTATCTCGCCTGGACTCTTCTCCTCGGAACCACAGCTGAAGGGTTTAATGGTACTCGAGGAGATCATCGTCTAGGTATAACCATTTATGCATCGCCAAATATGTCTCGGAGCTGTTCGGTGTCGCAGCCCGATGCCGTTGAAACTAATTCAAACTATCCGCTATATCATACACGCTCGCCCCCATAACATCTCGGTCTCTGTTCCGACATGTCCCTATCATACTACTCGTTGTTATTCCTTGTCGTCAATACCACTAGTATCAAAACCGGGTGTTCCTCCAAAGCCACTAAGATATTCTTCGCTCTCTCAACAGAAACCAAACAAACAAATCGGTGTGCCAATTGGGAAAACACTGCCAAGTATGCCTGACAACATAGAAGATTACCATGTTCAAGATGAAGTGCTACGACATAGTCTGGAAGAACCTGAAGAGTTCTGGAGACACCAGGCTGAGCAACTTCACTGGCACAAACCATTCTCTTCCACTATCCAGTTGACACAAAAGACATTGAAGAATGGTGTCACACATGACAGCTGGGAGTGGTTTCCAGACGGCGAGATATCTACTTGCTACAACTGCGTCGATCGACACGTGCTCGATGGTCATGGTGACTCTGTCGCCATCTACTTTGATAGCCCTGTGACAAATACCAAGGAGAGATACACCTACCGCCAGCTACTTCATGAAGTCGAAACACTCGCTGGCACTTTAAGGGAGCAAGGGATAAATAAGGGAGATGTGGTAATGTTGTATAGTAAGTGAACCCGGATTCCTCTGTTGACAGGTACATACTAACGTATACAACAGTGCCAACAATTCCTGCTGCAGTTATAGGCATTCTTGCTGCCAACCGTCTTGGTGCTATTCACTCTATTGTCTTTGGAGGCTTTGCCCCTTTTGCACTTGCCCAGCGCATCGATTCATGCCATCCAGTTGCCATCCTGACAGCTTCTTGTGGCATTGACGGCAACAAGCCCCCGATTGCATACAAGCCTTTGGTGGAAGAAGCTATCCGACTGGCTACTCATAAACCAAAAGACATTATTGTTTGGCAAAGGGATCAGCTCAAATGGGATATCGACACCAGTGCTAGTCAGTTGGACTGGAAGGCATTAACTGAAAAGGCCCGGTCTCGAGGAATCAAGGCAGACTGTGTCCCTGTTAAGAGTACCGATCCTGTCTACATCATTCACACTTCAGGCACAACTGGAACTCCCAAAGGCGTGCTACGCGATGCAGGCGGCCATGCAGTCGGTCTACATCTTTCCATCAGTTACCTGTTCCATATCACTGGACCTGGTTGTGTTTCTTTTACTGCCTCCGATATTGGTTGGATTGTCGGTCATTCGTACATTATCTATGGCCCTCTTCTCACCGGTGCTGCAACCGTCTTATATGAGGGGAAACCTGTCGGTACTCCCGATGCGTCTGCGTTCTGGAGGATAGTCGATGAGTACAAGGTCAATACTATGTTCACTGCACCGACAGCTCTTCGTGCCATCAGACGCGATGACCCATATAGCCAGATGTTTATTGACTATGGTAAACGAGGGGCTCTCAAGAGTCTAAGAGGTCTTTTCCTCGCTGGAGAACGTTCTGAACCTACTCTTATCGAGAGTTACCAGAAGCTTATGACGCAGTATTGTGCTCAAAATGCTCAAGTAGTCGATAATTGGTGGTCGACTGAAGTCGGTTCCCCTATCACAGGGCGAGCACTCGTCCCCCACGCTGGAAAGGATCGAAGAACAGATGTCCGAGGACACCAACCTCCTTGTTTGAGAGCTGGTAGTGCTGGGAAAGCGATGCCGGGCTTTGACGTTCGCATTGTTGACGATGAAGGTGTCGAAGTAGAAAGGGAATCGATGGGGAATATCGTTCTAGCGATGCCGCTTGCTCCAACAGGTTTTCGTACTTTATGGCAAGATGAAGAGCGCTTTTGGAAAGGTTATCTGAAGAGATTCGAGGGTAAATGGCTTGATACTGGCGATTCAGGCTGGATCGATCGACAAGGCTATATCCATGTGATGGCGCGCAATGACGATGTGTTAAATGTCAGCGCACATCGTCTTTCCAGCGGTATGTTTATGCCTTGCCTTAAATTATACATGAGCTAATCATTTCTAGGGTCCATTGAGCAAGCCATTGCCACGCATCCACGCGTTGTGGAGGTTTGCATTATCGGTATACCCGACTCACTCAAAGGACAACTGCCCTTCGCCTTTGTGACGCTCTCGGGGCAGGCCGCCTCAGATCCAGCAGTTCCAGACCAGGAGATCATCAAAGAAATTCAGCAGTTAGTACGTGGCCAAGTCGGTGCCATAGCTTCCTTAGGTGGCATCATTCAAGGCAAGTGTATGATTCCGAAAACACGTTCCGGCAAAATGCTCCGGCGTGTGCTTAAGGAGATAGCGGAAAACGCAATTCGTGGCGAGTTTGATAAAGAGGTGATGGTACCCAGCACAATAGAGGACTTGGCCACCTTGGATGTTGCTCGTGCCAAGATCAGTGAGTACTTTGGACAGGCGGAAGCTAATGATGCTGGGGATTCCATGGTCAAGGCTCGTTTATAGGATGGAGCGGTCTGAAAGGTTATCCTAGCTAGGGCGAACATCACGGACTTCGCGGTGGCTTCATATGAAAAAAGACGTTAATGGCCTTTCTATTACAGAGAGTTGGGTCTGTAACCCATGACTTGTCACAATGAGTCGCTTGGTGCTGAGAAGGCACACAATAATACAACGATATAATGAACCAACAAGACTCATTTCCGGCCGTTAAAAACGTGATTCATACAAAACAAGCCTATGTTTTACGCAAGGATATACCATATAATGCAAAGCCTATGCTTGACCATGCCTAGTCATGCAGCTCGTGTTCCATGCAGCCTACCGCGTACCCAAAAGCAGAATACCCCCTATGCCCGTTCATTTGCCAACCTGAATGCAGTGCCGTGAAATGCTTTTCATCCGGTGAGTTATCCACCCAAACTCCAGTATATTATACCAATAACGTGTCTTGTTTGGAGGTTCGAGGTTCACTCCTTGGACGACTGTCCACTCGATTGCTTCGAGAAGAGGCTATAGACACTCCCTTGTGCCTTGGGCGCTATCTTGGTATTCAAAAATCGTGCCTCAGGAAGCCTCTTTCCAGCTTTAAGGCTTTCCAAGATCCTGCAGAGCTGGTATTAGTCATGATCATCAACATATAAGGGGTTGGGGAATTACCATTCAGCGCCAACAAATTTAACTGCGCACCCAGCAGTTCGGCGTATCTCCTTTTCCAGTTTTCCTCCAGCGAGACCTCCTCCAGCGCCTACATGTGCTCCGGCTGGCTTCCCAAGGATAACGTGTGTGACTTTCCGACATCCCAGGTGCAGTGACACTTGGCCTCCGTGCTCGGTGACGATCTGCTTCAGCTTGAGATCTGATATGAGAGGAAATGTACTCCCGTTGGCATAGATGACAGCTCCGTCAAATATGCCCTTCTTCGAAAGCGCTGCCTCCCGCGCTTCGTCTTCCTTCCGTCTTGCTTCCATGAGTGCCTCCTCACCTCGTCCCTGAATAACATCCTTCAAGCCCAAACTCTCCCGCATGTTGCCCGGCGGGACAAGCATATCCCTCACGCTCCGCTGCGCTCTCTCTTTTTCTACCTTTGGGACAAGCACCTTGCGCTCCTCACCATAGTCCTCCGACCCAGCGCCATATGTGTCACTGAGACGTTCGCCGCCTGATGAACCGCTGCGAAACTGGCTGTTGAGCTTCCGGTTGCGGGACTCACGCCAGCCAGTGCCAGGACGTGACTCGGACCGTTGATGGCCGGTTGAAGATGAGTTCCACGGGTCAGAGGTTGCAGCGTGCTGGGGCTGAGCGGCTTTTTTGGTGGGAGAAGTCATTATGTTATTTGTGCTTCAGACTTGAGAGTGTATCATGATCGTTTAGCATCATCCAGCCCATGAATTTCTTCGTTTGAGACTGAGGCCCTTATTTACCTCTCGCCAGGTGGATTAGTTGACTTTGAGTTTATCCTTTGTCATTGTGTGTCCGCTTTTGGCGATGGCGCGTGCGTTTATCTTGACAAACACGTCTCATCATTGACTCGTGCAAAAGCTAGGCGCGTGGTCACATGAGTCTGTCTTGGTTTTGAGGCTACCCTAGACCATACATATTGAAGCTGTTGTCTACATATCTCGAGATGGTGTACTGAATTCTACGAAAACATATATATCACTGTGTTTTACTCATTCATTAGTGTGTGACTAAGTGTTAATTCAGTTCAATACTTCCATGTTAATGTTATATAATTACTTTTGATATATCATTGGATATCCTCAATTAATACTCCGGTATGGCTTCACTAATGCCATGCGAAATACATCAACCCAAGAGTTATTACGAGACTTGGGATAAATCTGAATTAAGATATAATTAAATGGTCTGTGACACCGATGTCGAACTGCCCCAGCGAGCACAACAGGAGATCTCCCTTTACTTGCTTCCCCGTCGCAAACCCTTTCAATGAACTATTGCTTCAGTGGAGCCAGCTATTAAGCAAGTGTGGAATTCAATGCAAAGCAAAGCAAAGCGGCTGCAAACATGATGTGCATTGGATCTGGTAACAACCGATGGCTGAGAGCCGAGCTGAGCTGAGCTTGGCTGGGGGCAGTGCAGTTGCGGTATCCGAATTCTTGGGGTACATATACATACATGATGTAACTAATTACTTGGTAAACTAGTGATGGGTATATACATGAAACGGTCAATAACCTGCTGCAACGTATCGATTATACATGCGTCGACTGATTAACGAATGTCATATACATAGCTTACCTTGGCTAGTACACAGGGACGTTAGAATACACTGTATCTTACAGCCCAGTCCCAAATAGAGTGCATCACATCTATTCAATCCTATCCTACAGCGGCTTGCAACCTGTCTCACTGCAGCGGGCGGGTAGAGCCGCGCGCCCACCTCAAACCGACGCTCACATCATGCAAGGCTCAGGCTGAAGCCTGTAAGTTGAGAGATGCTTTTCTCATCCATATTGAGAACATGCTCCCAACATAATCTCTGATACCCTGTTACCCGAGCTGACCGGTTGGTAGAATGTCAATCACAGCTCAGCTCAGGTATCCCTGTCGGTATCATATGCCATAGGGAACCCTGGTCCAAAGAGGCACGTCGTTCCTCGCAACTTCGGCTTCAAACATGTCCCCGGTGAACGGCCCGTCTCGCTCCTCATTCATCTTCCTTTGCAGGCATCACGAGCAACCCAACCAGGTAGCTCGATTCCTCTTTTCTCCCCCTTCACAACTTGTCATTTGATTATCCAGCCCCTCCTTCACCCACCCACTACCCTTGAGCCTTGGCCTCTGAGCCTCGACCCTTATCCTCCGTGTCAAAGACGGTAAGTACTTACTTTGTTGTCCCCTGCTTGACTCGAATACAAACCAAGGAGAGGCGAGGCGCGGCGAGTCGAGACGTTCGTGGAATCCTTTTCTGAGTATGGCTAGACAAAAGTATTTGCCACCAATAAACCAACTAACCTTCCTCAGCACATCAAGCACCACCTCCAATCACTTGCACGCACATTACAGTGTAATATGCAGGACATACCTGCAGCACCCTCCTCTGGGCACAAAGAGAAATGTCATAATCTGCCGCATCGCACAAAGGTGTCCTGTAAGCTTGAGCTGTCACTATGACGGATAACAGCATCTTTGACCAGGGCTCTGAGGATCATTGTGAAGCCATCTTCTGCGATGCCACTTGCTCAAACGTCACTTTCGTTCATTTTCTTCTTGACTGGTATGGTATGGTTGCTCCGGTGAATGTACACACAGATCAAGATGCGGTCCGCTGCTTCATCGAGCCCTCTTTCGTCTGCTCATCGCAAGCCACCTCCGCCATGGCCAACTGTCCACCAGGGATATACTTCTTGGATTTGTTGTTGGCAATGGTTGCCATTGTTGGGAGATGAAGTCCTACCAACCTAATATTCTTTAGTAGGTAAGCCTTTATTGTATGACGGGTCAAGGGCCTTTCTTGTGTTCCGTCAACACACATGTTCGTACATATGGAATAAAGAATAGTCATCCTGTCTGCATGCATGTACGCGTGCATGCATGAAGGCTTCCCGTACCGTACATTAGCTGCCAGGTGGGTAAACATCATGTCTCCATCCCCTCCAACACCCCGCTGCGTGACGAGCGGGAAGGCTAATGTAGTGGGCAGTAAATCAACGGTTACCCTCATTGCAGCACATCCATACTTTCAGGTACAATGCAATCAATGCCTTCGCATAACTAGGATCCAAGTCATTCTTTGGACATTTTGATCTGGTCCACTGAGGCTGAGACCTTTCCCCTAATCCGCGACACCCCTTCTCACCTCGCCATGATCATGATGCGATCCTGCAATATCTCAATGAGAACAGCCTGGGTGACACAAACGTTTTTGGCCCGTTTCTTCACTGAGGCCCTTGTGGACTACCACTACATATGCGGAGTACATGCTGTCCCGTCCACCTCCAACCAGCATGATGCTGACAAGGAACGACGCACTCGCCGATGAGCTATGTATCATGGCTTGGCTCCTCTCAAGATCTGTTTGGTTATGTGTCCGGGTGGGGCTTTCGAGTGAGTTGGCAATCAAGTCGTGCCGTTAACAGGCCACCCCTGTCGAAGACTGAGAATACCCATCACAAAAGGGCGTTGCTTTATGATCGGTACATCTCACACACTGGAAAGTACAATTGGGTCAGAGAATAGCGGTGAGGGTTGCACTAGGCTCTAACAAGCCATTATCGGGGCGCGAAAACCCGTGGGCATCTTATCATTTTGGCAGCTCAGCTCAGGTGTCATTCATGGTAGAACTCATAGATCATGTAAGTTCTGTTGCCATAAACTCAGTTGATATGCTGGAGAACAGGCGTAGCATGAAATTTGATGCGTATGCAAGCACAAGTCAGATCTCCCAGCAGGGTCCGCTACAAGGCAGAGCACAGGAGCGCACTAGGTGCTGCGAGATCGCATCTGGGGATTTAAGAGCGCAGCGGCAGCATGTGGACAAAGCCCCGAGCCCCGGAGGCCGGGATTAACATCCATGGTCTTGGGCGAAACATGCCAGCGCGACACCGTGCCGTGGCTGTTGAAGGTCGTTTCTCTCCAAACCACGTAGCCTCGATTCGGCCGATGCATTCTTCAGTGTGGTTATTCCCGGAGGTGGCTAGCAATCGATAATCGCCTCTTGCATACAGGCGCATTGCCGTCAAGGTACAGTACCCTCTATCCTCATCAGACTGGAAAGAGACAACAACAGACAAAGGGCGACTTAGTTATCTCAGGAACTCATCTGATGACCCTGGAGGCTATCAGGGTTGCGTGCTTGTCGTTGGGGTTGCTGGTGGCGGCGGTGGTGGTGTGTTAGAGACGTGGTGAACGTTCATTGGATTGAGATATAGCGACAGGCCCAGACCCGAATACTATCATAACTCTCAGTCCGGAGGCTACGAGAGAAGGCCGCAGATCGGCTTCGGTCGTACATGGCTTTTGGTCCTGCAATTATCTACTCTCCTTGTCGTCAGTCCGAAATTGGGATTTGCTTACAGCATCTACTACCAAGACCATGACCTTCAACCCTGTCTTGGAGAAGAAAGAGTCAACCGAAAATCGCTTCACTTCTTTCTGTACTGCCAGCCTCAGTGGGGCACTTTTGTCAGCACTCTTCGGCTCCAGCGACGTTGTTCTTGGCTACTGACTAGGGACTTTTCCTACTCTGCCATCTGCATCTGACAGCGAGACGAACGGGTAGACTAAGGCAAGCACACCCCCACCAAGAGCTGGCTAACGGGCACCGGTGTGCCAGGTAGTCGATGCCCTAAGGCCCTAGAAGGTAAACGTGGCGACTCAACGCGCTCTTCAAGTCTTGGCAACTGGGCTCCCCCACGATGTTCGCTAATCCGTAAAAGGTTGGTATGCAGGCCTAAGGACGGCTGGTGTTTTTCGAAACGCCCCAACAGGGACCCATGCTCGTTCTTCCCGATGATACTGCAGCGGTTATTGGTCAAGTTTTAGACATGCACCTACATAGCCGCTGTGCAGAACATGCGAGTGCTCAAGCCAGCATGTCTACCTTGCCATCCTTGTCAGCCGGGAGCAAGGGCAGCTGCAGGGACTGAAGCTTTTGGGCAGGCGGGCAAGTTGAATCGATGCAAAGCAAAGCAAGCCAAGCCCTTCTGCGTCTTGTCGAAGCATGGGTGTAATATGTAATGATTGCGGATAATGACGGAGAGCATTACCAACGATCACACCACGATGCCACCTGGACTCACGCAAGCTGATGCTAGCAACCCGACAAAGTATTTGCGAGAATTGCTTCGTGCCGACAACCAGACAACAAGATTAAGGCCGCATAATCGTTGTTGTTATAGACGTACGCACGCCAGTACATGTGTACTATACGTTGGTCGATGAAGTCTCGAACCAATCATATCACGTGCTGGATAGGAGAGACAGAACTGATAAAATGCTGTCGAAACATGGGTTGTCACGCCGCGATTGGTTCCGCAGTGTTGAGATTCGAATCTCGACATGTTCGACGACTCAACTTCTCAATCCGTCTTCAGTCAACCCCGCTCTACTCTCTGACCGATATGCAATATGGCCTGATTCAACCGATAACTCACCAATGAACTGGCTTGTGTTCCTTAGACCGATTGATTTAGCAGACAGCTCCTCTTAGAGTCAAAGACAAACGTAGAATTGCGCCGTGTAATCTAGTGGATGCTGGTGTGGTTAAGAATAGAAACCATGCAGTTGAAATGACATGGACAACCGTGGAAGGAGTGCGTTGGACGGCAGAATGTCTCAGGGTTCATATCGCTAGTGCTTAGAGAGGCCGATCAACAGATCGTCCAGGCAAATAAGCACTCGGTATAATGTTCGAATGCATAGTGAATGGAGCTTGTTATCTCCAGTCCGTCTAACGGGCATGCGAGGCATGGTTGAGGATCGTCAACAAGTATCGCCACTTCCGAGCTCTCAAGTATTCGACTTATTTATGTGAACATCAATCTCTAGTTCAAAACAGAAGATACATAGAGCCGCAATGGTACGATAAATCTCAGAAAAAGCAAAAATGGACTCTCACCATGTTGGATTTGAGAGATTGCAATAAGATAGCTGGGTGGGCATATCCGACCTCTAAGAGTCAAGGAATTGGGGAAGAGACCGAAAAGGCCTCAAACTGGCCATGCGGGGTGATTGATGTCTATCGATTGATCATGAAATTAAGAAACTGGCAAGACGGTTGGGCTGCCTTGTTGAATGCTGTGTTGTTGCGGTTGCTTCTGATGGCCTGTCTTGAACCAACAGACGCCCCATCCAAAGCGTGCTCTGTAGATGCGGGCTTGTGCCTTCAAGTAAGACACGGTTGAGGGCTTCTTGATAAATCCGGGCCATGCATGGCTGGACATGTGTCTTCCATTGAAACGTGCTGGACGACGTGGGGTAGCCAGTTGGGCGAAGCCAGCTGTCATGGTCTCCAGACACGCAAACATGGCCGCTCCATCTGGTCAACAAGACGACTGTTTCGGTGTTTGATGGCAACGATTATCCTAAACTGGTGGCCAGACTGAGAGAAATTGTGGTGAATCGCACGAGAATAGCGAGGATACCACAGCCAGTGGAGAGGTCAACCAATCACGTCAGTGAAAGAAAGCTCTTTGGTGTCCTTGTATAAACGCTCTTACTGAAGATCCCTGCTAGTGCAAGTAACGGATAATAGCCAACATCCATGATTAACCCAAGACTTCCCTACAGCTGGCTGCTACCTTGCGCAGGGACAACGATAGAGAAGAGAAGGGATTGGGACAATCAATTGTTCTAGATCCGACCATGTATAGAGGTCGACTCTAGGAGGAAGAAAGACATCAACCACCTGCATTATCTTACCTCTTTTTCGTTTGATAATCAGATGAGTGGGATTTGCAACTATAATAGTTGGTGTTGGTTTTGGTGGAGGTTAGAGGCGGGAAGAGATCGTGGGTTCCATTCATTTTGAGGGTAAGGGCGTCTGGCGGAAGTATCGGTACTTCCCTCCCAGATGCCTGTCACAGTGCGCCGTCTGTTCCTTCCCGTTTCAACATGTACGTACTTGGATGCTAACCCTCGGCTCCAGACTCGAGGAAGAACGGGACGAGGGCACAATTCGGGTACAGACTTGCGAGATTCGACAATTGTGATCGATTGAGAGCAGGGTCCATACTGTAGGGTGCTTGTAAATCGGAGGGAGGTCGAATTTGCTTGTTTTGACCTTCACTTGCTTTTTCTTCTTCTCCTCCTTGTCAAGGACGGAACTTGGAGACCTGGTCAACTGAGGAAGAAAAAGTATAAGATCCTAGCCCAGACAGGAGATGCCACCATAATATGCAAGTATCCAAGCCTGACAGCGCAAGGGCAAGGTCTTTAAATTGAGGTAGGATTCGTAAGTATAGCATCTGACGACACTGAACTGTACAGAGTAACTACCTCATGTCAAATGTGTTTGATGTGAAACCATATCAATAGCGGCTCAAGGGCCGAGTTTGCAATTTCGCGTGTCATGTTCGAACCGACTCCTCGGGCAATCATCGTTATGCACCTCGTGGTACCTGCATCCGCAAGGTCTGTCCATGCCTTCTGGTAGAACTTGCTTCCCGCTTGCCAATCCCTTCGGTATGGCCAGGATTGCATCTGTTCCATCATGAGTTCGTCTTGGTTGACGGCCACTGGTTTGTTGCCAGCCTCTCTTAACAAGGAACAACCCGCTAGGTGATCTGCCTCGGGCCCGCCATCGTCCGCCTGTGTCAAGTCCTCTCCTACCCCAGCCTCCTGCTTTCTTCGGCCGCAGGAACCGATGGATAACATCTCACCAGTCTCGGTTGGAAAATCTTGCATGGGGCTGCAGCCAACATGCTGGCTATCCGTAGGTACATTAGGCGCTTTCAAATGTGTTGTGCAACGGAACCGACATACGCCGTCGTTTGTAGCGTATTTCTAGAAATGCAATAGACGTTCTAAACCGTCTTTGTGCATTGGAAGATACTCCAATGAATTCTGATTCGACTTGAGCCAGAAAAACATCCATATTTTGTCGTGAATCTGACGAATTGCGTCTCCATTATGAGGGCTCTGGACTTGGGGCCGGGCAAGAAGACTCAGTTAAGACGTTGCGAAACCCTGGTGATCTATGGACACGAGTAGGTAGATTAGACTCAAGGAATCCAATTTCGCGAGCATCACACATACAAAACTTGAGAGGTCGAATGCATTGCCTTGGGCGTAGCTGAAAAAAAGGAATCCTGTGCCCCTGTGGACTGGCTGATTTGGTAGGAAGGTGCTGAGCCACTAACTACCTAGGTAGGGAGCATGAGCCGAGACTTAAGCTTCTGCGATATACCCCTTCAGGCAACTTGATAATTAAAAACTTTTAGGCTCAAGGAATAAGCAAGAGTTCCATATCAAAAAATGAGTCGGCTGAAGTTTTAGGAAATAATGGAGTCACGATGACCAGGTTTGTCCAGTACGGGCTGTAGGCAATACGGGTAGGTACATTCAACAAGTGGGGAAGGAGCCATGTCATTGACTGCAAGTGATGATTATTGTTAAGTGGGGCAGACATGAAATGGTAGTTTCCTGCTTGCTGAGAGAGAGAAGAGAGATTGAACCCCTTTGTGCGTCAGTCTTTTCAACGCTCTCAAACAATTATCGAAGAAGAGTGAGAAACAGAACTACTCAGCCTTGTGGCTCTACGATATGCGAATCATATAGCCTATGCATCGAAACATACCAACGTACATCCACTTATGCATATTTCCTGGAACCGGCTTCTTCTGTGTGTGCATCAGATATGCACCCCAGCTTAGGAGGGAGGTGATAGCCTGTCCCTGCCCTGCCCTGTCACATCACATCACATCACATCAACTTACACTGGCCTAGGTTGCACGAGCTTGTTGTGCATCTTGCATAAGACCCGATGAACGGTGCAACGCGCGAGGAGGGTATCACTCACTCTCTGCATTACCATTTGACGACGCCAGATGGGCTTGGTGGGCAGCATATGATCTACACTACAGACTCGCCAAGGCTTGCATATCTTTAAGCCATGTGCCTGCCGACCTCAGCAAGGAATTTTAACATCAGGTATCATTTTCTTGTCGTTGCTTTTCCCGTTTCCATCGTCACAACCATGGCTGTAATGGAAATACAAAATAGGCAGTTGCGTCATATCGATCGGGAATCATCAACGAAAACCCAGAGGTCAACTGTTGAGCTGTTTTCTCTAACCGCAAATCTCACTTGTCAGTAAACGAAACCCTAGTCAGCATGGCACCAAAGTTGAGAATCAGCCCCCCTCGTGAAGCCTCGGCAGGCCAAGAGCTTTGCATTATGGGTCCTGAGGGACTTTTTTGATGCGATTTCTTCTTCTTGAGTTTAAAGGTCAAATTTATATCCGTAGTAAGGCCCTTGCACTGCAATGTCTCTTGTGGGAAAGGGTGACTCCTGAGATAATAATAGCTTGATTGATAGAATATTCGAGTTGGATTCATGGTTGAGCAGGAAAGTCAATTCGTCTGCCCGGTTTCATAGTCATGCGCAAAACGGAGTTGACGTGAGAGGCGACCAATTAATAGCATGATAGATGCAGGGAATGTAAGCCTCCAAGGAAGCAAACATCAACTAACGTTCCCTGGGCGTTTGTCAAGTTGCTTCTACTGTGCAGAAAGTCACATGTCTTGGACAGGGAAACTCGGGTGGCTGTCCCGGCTCCCGACTTTTCATTGATGAGTGGACATCAGAACTAAGACTATCAGAACTTTGAATCAAGCTGAAGCAGCCGGTACATTGTCTGTTGTCTGGGACTGGACTCAACAAAAGGCGGGAAATTCTGGGTCTGTGAGGAGCTTGTTCTTATCCCCTTGTGTCTGGGCGTTGATGATCCTCGCATGGCTTGCGGGAGGCTACGGCTACCTTACCGCACTTGACCGCCGAGTCTTTTTGAAGGGAGACATGACAACAGCAGAGACAAACTGACATTATCCAGGTGAGACACAATATCTAGCGAATGGCTCATCGAGACCGCCACAGCGCAACTTACAGACCCAAGGACGAGCGGCCATAGGTTGGCCTTGGTCAGAAATAGAATTACAGTAGGAAGAGGCTCTTGAAAATACTCGGGCCACCGCATTGGCACTGTGTTGGGCCGGGCCCTTGGTGTTTTCATGTTTCCATCACTAGTGGGTCATGATGCCCAGCCACGACGAAGTTGTTATTAGATCCAAGTCTAAAAAAAAAAAAATTAATAAAAAAAAAGATGAGGAGCAACTCCACTCAACACCTAACAAAACCAGAACATACTGAGAAACATCAACGAATCAAGCAGGCCGATGTCAGCACCAGCGGCGGGTGTTGGTTGTTCTCACATCCCGGACCAAGAGGGGAAATCCGGCCTGTTCGGAGAACCGCGACCTAGCCTTGAGCCGGCAACCAAGCTTGAGCCAACTCCGCACGAGCGGGCGTGGGCTTAATACAATACAGTACGGTTACGCGATTATGTCCAATGATCCAATGACTGGGGGGTCGTAATGTGGTCATTGTTATAAGTATTTCACTCGGTCCCAAGATCGCTTAATTGCGCTTTTGCTAGGCCAGGGTTGAGAAGAGACCAGTTATCCCAACTTAGTAGTTGGAACCCAAGTTGCTCGCTGCGCCTCTGGGAGCTCAGTCCTGACCTTGACCAAGCATCCTGTACATACAGGAATAATGAGTTTGTTTGAAAGATGCCCTTTATCAGAGGCGGTTCCTGCGCAAGCGAATCCTGTAGTCAGAAGTTAGTGAGCCTAGTCTGCATGAGATCCCCATTGTTGAGTTTTGTCTCTCGGCGCTATCTCGAGATAGTGGGTGACGCACTCTTTTCGCTGGTAGTCTTTGGTTCCTCAACTTTTTTCAATACGAGTTGTCTGTAGTTGCACATGGAATTGGTGGTGCACAAGCTGTTCCGGTACTTGAGGCAACAGAGGTAACGCAAAGTAACGGTCCCATAGTAGTTTGGCGCGCCGTTGAGAACTATGAGTTAAAGATGGATCAATTGGAGTGAAGAAGCAAACGATTAGAAGCGCCGAAAAATTGGAAGCGCGAAACTCTGATGCCGTTCATTTTGCCCTTCTGTTAGTCTAGATCTATTCTAGTTGAAGTTCGGGGAGGCTCTGATTGGCGATTCGGAGCTTATCGAGAGAACTCTCTCTTTGGTATCTCGCAACTCGCTTCGTAAAGTACCCGGTACAGGAGAGTTGATTTGCACAGTGCTGTGCCGCAACTAATAGCTACAAGGAAGGAGAGCGCGAAAGAGTTGACTGACAGTCAATCAACGAATGAGGTTGAAGGGACAAGACCACACGCAATAACAAGACAGCACAACAGCGCAACACACAACTAACACACGACACGACAATGACACGACAAAAGCAATAACAATGGCGGGATAGACAAATAGGAATCCGCCCTGCTCATAACAGAACAACGCGACACAAAATCAACTTGGACCACAGGGTAGCAATGACTGCTCAACGGTGACTATTGTAAACATTCTACCGTCGTCACAAAATCTGAAGCTATTGTGGGCAAGATATCTTAAAAGCCCTATCACTTTGAAACTTCCGAATTAGCCAGATAATGCCTGCAACTAAGAGCATGGCTGGCAATAATTCCATTGTGTTGACAGACTAGGGACTCAAATGTGATTGGGATCGATTGTAATAACAAGGCCTGTTCGGTAAGAAAACGCCCGAGGTAGCCTGACATCTCAACTCTCACTTGATCCTTGTATGATCTACGTAGTCAATCTGACAACCTACAACGAGAATACGAATAGGTATCAGTATATGTACGTACTGTGAAGATAGCATTCGCAGTACTATGCCCGATGCTAAAATTGACTAGCCAATGGTGAGACTGTCCCATTTATATATCAATATGATAGCCATGATTCCATCAATCTTGGGTTGAATCTCGGAATCGACCTTGTGTGCGTTCTTTTCCCCCGTCGCATCAAGCGGATGTTGCGGTGCGTTGCCCTGTGGGTACACAACAAGAACATACTGCTGGAGCATGGCACCGAGCAATCGCTCCCGCCTGCCTAGGTGCCCTCCCCGGGATCCTTCATCCTTGCACGTAGTGTCAGTGACAGTGGTCCAGGTAGCCCTGGCAAGCGCCGTGGCTCCCTGTAATGTACAGTAATGAGAGACCGATCACTCTGTCCAGGGAGGACCCCAGGCGCAGCCCCAGTTCCAACCCAGTTCAGTCCGAGTTGCGATGCCCAAGTTGACGTACTGAAGATACATACGAGCATTCGCTCAGAACGGAGAGAGTGAAAGAAAGATCCATGATCAACCTCCTCCCTCAACTTGAGGTGGTCTGGTACGACGCTGCTTTGCATACCCCTCAAGGATGTCCCCTGTGTGCCGCACCCCCTCGCACCACCCGTCACTATACTGTACTGTACAGCAACGTACAATACTGCTGTTCTTTTGGCCCTACAGAGAATCCCACATCCACCGAGTTTGCGTACTGGCTGCGAGCTTGATTGATAGCCCCCCTGGTTCTGCTGTGCGTTGATATAAAAGTGACCGGTGCTTATCCGACTGTGGAGTGCATCTGGTTATTTCGCTATTAACAAACCCTAAGCAACTCGGCTTCGCCTAATGATTCAGATATCCATGGAAAGACATCAGAGACTGAAGGGGCAAGATCCAGCCTCCAACCTCCAACCTCCAACCTCCAACCTCCAACCTCCAACCTCCGACCTCCAGCCCCTCCAGGCCTACTAGCCAAAGTACCAAGGTACTCGGTCTCAGCTTGATCCAGAGCATAGCACAGTATGGTACCGTGCACTGCCAGAATTGGTTTAGTTTATTTACTTCATGATCCACGCCGCCAGCACACACCTCCCTCAGATTCAACAGACAAGGGCGATGTCGGCTACGCTCGTACGGTGAGTGCTCGCTTTGTAAGGATTTTTTATTTGCGCGGATTTTTGTAAAGAATTTGATAATCGATATCAGATGAGAGATGGATTGCGAATCTAAAGTGTTGAATATTGTAAATGCTAGGTAAGCATGTGATTTATTCTAGCTCTGTATCCGTTCAAAGAATTAGACTGGCTCGTTGACAAACAAACTCTGCTTCTACCTACCATCCATGCATTAAGTTCGCGTGTTTTAATGTAGGTACGGATACGTAGAGAGCCCTGGTCCACTCAAGAGTGCGTAGGTGTACAGTACCTAAATATCTGCATGGTTCTACGGCCGTGCTTAAACTTTGAAGCTCTATTTTACAACGGACACAACTGCCTCTCGAAATAATCAATAACGAATATTATTGCAGAAGTCATAATTGGATAGGTAACATGGGCAAAACAAGAGAACATGACGATACTGCCTCAGTACCTAGTTGTACATACATATTTCCTACCACAGAATAGCAGTCCTTAACCCTTGTCGACTGCTGCTTGATATTTTCTCTCCTCTCGTCAACCAGACTAAGAATTTACGGACTTACCCCTCTTCACCCTCGACTAAATTCTCTACAGTACTCACTGTACATACAGCGCCTGTAAACAGTATTCATCCATGGATGGCACACCCTCCTCGGTTCCGCCCAGGGTGGAAACCCCCCACTTACTGGTACCATTACAGACACACTCCCAGCTCGTGGCTCTCACTCCCCAGTCCAAATCCCAGCAATCCCAATCCCAGTCGCAGTCGCAGTCGCAGTCCCAGTATCCATCCCTCATCAACCCCGACTCCTACTCCTCCTCTTCCTCCCCGTACCGACTTGACTGTGGGGCGGGTATTGGACAAGGTATTGAGGATGAGGGTGAGGATTATGATCAAGAAGAAAGCAATTGCGGTACGTACCTCACCTGCCTCCTCTGCTCCTTCCATCTGTTCGTTCTGCCTCTCACCACCAAGATCCTGACCTTCTTGGGTTTTTCTTCCTCTCTTTCCCTCCTCTATTTCTTTTTTTCTTCCTCTTCTTTTTCTTTTCCTTGCCGGTCTTTCCTTCCCTTTGCCGTCCACCTCTTTTCCTTCGAGTTCGCAGCCATCTTCATTTATCACGACTGCTTTCTTCCCCTCCATTAACGTAACCGGCCCTAGTCATAAATCTTGAACCTCAACCTCAGCCAGAATATCAGCATCAATATCTTCCCCAATTGCAAGACCTGGTTGCAGACGATCTCGAGCAGGCACTGATTGTCCCTCAAATCCACCACCACCCTCAATCCAGTAACAGCAATCCCCCCGAAACTTTCCACATGATGAACCAAAGTCATCACCAGCAATCAGAAATGTATTACCCTCAGTATCCGACGCAACAGTACAATCCGTATCCTTATCCTACGAATGGTGCCCATACTCCCTCTGTCTCCACTCCCATGTCCGGGCCTCAGAATGTACTGCCCGTACCTTCGGCTCTGAGCAATCAGGGAGCCATGCCCCAGGCAGCTTATAGCAACAATGCCCCCGCTGGCAACTTCGACACAACTGGACAGCACAACCCTCCAGGCATGAAGCCTAGAGTCACAGCAACCTTGTGGGAAGACGAAGGCAGCTTGTGTTTTCAGGTTGAAGCCAGAGGTATCTGTGTCGCACGGAGAGAAGGTAAGCAATTGCGTTTCTAAGCGCCAAATGTACTTGCCAAACTAACTCGATTTAAAAGACAACCATATGATCAATGGTACCAAGCTATTGAATGTCGCTGGTATGACCCGAGGTCGTCGGGATGGTATTCTGAAGAGTGAAAAGGTCCGACATGTTGTCAAGATTGGTCCTATGCACCTGAAGGGTGTTTGGTAAGTTCGGTTCATCTAAACCCTAAATTGCATGACTAACCAAGAAACAGGATCCCTTACGACCGCGCCCTGGATTTCGCGAACAAGGAGAAGATCACCGAACTTCTGTACCCTTTGTTCGTTCACAACATTGGCGCTCTTCTATACCACCCTTCAAACTCAAACAGGACAAGCCAAGTGATGGCTGCCGCTGAACGAAAGAAGAATGAAGCAATCGTCGGTAACCGATCATTACCCTCGCTTGTTCAGTCGCATCACCAAATGATGCCTGCAATGCCTACTGGATACACTTCTCAGCAGCCCCTCGCGAACGGACACCAATCTATGGCAAACACACCTCAGCCTCTTACGAATGGTTCCCAGCCTCCCATGAATGGTTCTCAGACTCCCATGAATGGCTCTCAGCCTCCCATGCAAAACGGAGGTGGAATGCTCAAGCGAGTGCGCGAAGACGATGATGACTTGCATCGTTCTGGCCCCAATGGACATGATCACATGAACAATATGCATGGAATGCCCAACGGATATCCCCACCAGTCGTCCCTCGGAAGCGTCCACCAGCCCCCCATGCAGAATGGAAATGATGGTGGACTCAAGCGAGGCCGAGAAGAGCACGACGACATCCACAGGACAGGCCCCAATGGGCATGATCCAATGAACAACATGCCTGGTGGCATGCCTAACCTCCCAACTTATGCCCCACCACCTCTCCAGAATCTTCACCAGCCTCTTTCCAACGGTGACAGCGGCATGCTTAAGCGTAGCCGAGACGACGACGACGATGTCCACCGGTCAAGTCCCAACGGTCATGACGCCAACGGCAATTTCGAGCTTAAGAGACGCAAGACCGAGACCTCTACCTCGAATGATATGCTCCCTCAATCCCCATACTACACCCTGTCCAATGGAGCATACCAGGGTCCTATGATGAACGGCATGAACCCCTATAAGCGACGGGACGATGAAGCCGAGACACCTCGACCAGGCCCAAACATGAATGATCTAAACAACTTTGACCTGAAGCAGCGACACAAGACGATGGAGTCGAGCGTCCCTGCTCCTCAGTATGACGCGATGAACCGACCCCACTCCAGTATTGGAAACTCACCTGCTTATGCTTCTGCCCCTACTGGCTACGATCATCTTACCCGACCTGCCTCCACCGTCGCGGTATCTCCCTCATATCCTGCTGCTCCTGGTTATGAACTGGCTCGACCTCCGACCAATGTCCCTAGAAGGCAACAGTCCTTTAGTTAATCTTGCCCATGATCATGAGTATCCATTTCACCCCCAGGCTGATCTTGTTTCATGATTTCAACAAAGCTATGATATCAAGATCAAGCCAAGTGCTTACTTGATAGACGGCAGTGGAGAAGAAACTACCTCCTGTAACATGGGGGCGTAACGAAACGTTCTTTCGGATTTCTTTTTTTTCTTTATCTTTTTTCCTTTTAAGACTTTTGCATGCTTTACGTCGGGTACTCGCAGAAGAAATCCCATCGAAAACCCTTGGATCAAAAGACGATGCTGACGAGTTCACGAACGACTTCCGATTCTATGTCAACCAGCATGCTCTGTCACGGATATACATGACTAATGAGTCACGTTTTGCATGGAGGCTTAATTTCCGGGAAGAATCACTGCATCAACTTTTTTCTTTCTGATTGATTTCTCCGGAATGCGATATGATCGCACGGTATGGGGACAGCACTGCCTGTAATGAGCCCAGGCGGGATGATGAGTTCGGAACAGTTTCAGGTATAACCTCTTGCTCTGGCAGACTGCCAGTGAGTTGGGACGTTGGAGTACGAGGACAAGCCTGAACCTGGATCTTGATGACGATTTACGACTTAAATTTCTCTCTTCACTTCTTTCTACTCGTGTAAGTCTCTGCGTGAGCGGAAAACGCCCGAGCGGGGTGTGTGTTTTTGGGAATGTTGCTTTACTAGGTAACGAATTATGAGGGAACAATAAAAGTATCTTTTTTCGAGATTACATACAATTAGAGTGTTTGATCTAATGGAACGATATGCATGTGGATTTGTGATCTATGGCAACGAAATTGTTTGTATGAGCGTCTGGAGTAAAAGTACTGCACAGAAGGCATGGGCAAATTATGACTGCAAGTCGGTAAATCATGCAAAAACCACAACATGTCAGCATGTACCCATTATTCGACCAGGCTATGCTTGCGAAATTGTAGATCATGCCATGCCGTTTCCCAAGGCTACAGTGGTCGTTGGTTGGATTAAGGTCGTTGTAGCATCACGTGAACGGACCCACAGTGTTGCCCAGGCGACTACTGTCAATAGAGACTGGTGTTAGTTCTTGACCATTGAGCTTTACTTTCTAAACAACTGCAACAATAAAAAGTACCTTGGTTCAGCCAGAAGATCAAGTCAGTAGCATACTCTTCCTCTTGTGCTTTGTTTCTTCGATTGCATTTCGTTCTTGCTTTCAGCGCGCATCACAATGGATACACCGTTATCATCCGTTCAAGATTCCAGTCTTAACATTCAATCGTCAGCCACCTCTGAGCAGTACGACAACTTCGACGTACAAGCAGTTTCCGTCAATACTGAAACACAAAGCGAACTCCATCGAGGGTCCTCTCCATTTGTATCAGCTATCAGCGACTCTGCCCTTTCCGACCAGGAGAACCGTTCTCCTTCAAAGTCACGACACTCTAGAATTCTTTCAGGGGCGACTCTGTCACCGCTCAGGATCCTTACCGACCAGCAAGACGGGAGGGACGGAAGAACGACCGACAGAGGTCACGGTCCTCGCAGCCCTCGAAAGGTGTCTCCCGAGAAACGTTTTCCTGTTAAGATCAGTAACTCCCTCGACACACCGCGCACCTCCCGTGAGAGCACAATGAGCTTGGAGGACGCTGTGCGACAGAACTCAGGCATCAAGCAAGCAATTGATATATTTGAAGACGAACAGAGTGTGCTGGAAGACGGTCGCGACACCATGGACGTTTCTTCTGGCAATGTCAACATGAACCCTGAAGGGGAGATGGAGGTCGACGAGTCCTTATGCCCAGATGAATCAATGGTCAGCACATTTAGCACATTCTCAGCTGTTCCAAACTTGACCATGTTCGCCAAACTGGGACAGAGCCCTACCAAGCTGTCCGACATGGGCAGTCTCACACCTCGAGCCAAAACAAAAGCTGATCCTTTACCATCAAGAACACCACAAGCCAGAACAAAACATGACTCAGGAAATACAACAAGCCTGTTGGACTTTACAGAGCAGCTCCGTTTCCCTCAAAAGACTCCCTCAAGGGGGGGTCTATCTCCATCCCGGACGGCTCCCAACGTGGCCGCGACCCCCTCTCGTGGCTTTTCCAACCTCATTGACTTTGATATCCCTCCTATGCCCACACCCCGCAGCGTCCCTAGCATTACTGCTCGGGAACTCGAGTCCCTCAAGTCAAACTTCTTGTCCGAGATCAGTTCACTCAAGGCCTCATTGAGTGGAAAAGAGGCCGAGGTGCAATCACTCAAGGCTGCGGTTGGTGATGCAGAGAAGCGTGTCGGTGAGTCTCAGGAGCAGCTTCGCGAGGAACAGACCATCAAGGAGCAGCTCACGGCTGAAAAAGAAGGATGGGAGAACCGTGGACGCGAAATGGAGAGTGTATTGCGCAAGGTCAGGGAAGAGATCGTGGAGAGTCAAAAAGAGCAAGAAGAACTAGAACAGAAGCTGGAGGAGAGCGAGAAAAGGCGTGAGGCAGCCGAGATGCTGCACCAAGAAGCGGAGAGCAAGATCGCTGGAATGCGTGCTGGAAAGGACACAGAAAAGTCTTCGCCTGAAAAGCCCAAGAACACAACGGACACCAACCATGAAGTTGAGATCGCTGTTGAGCGTGTAGCTCGTGAGCTCCATGCGCTGTACAAGAGCAAGCACGAGTCTAAGGTCACTGCTCTGAAGAAGTCATACGAGACCCGATGGGAGAAGCGTGTGCAAGGACTCCAAAGCAAGATGGAGGAGCTTACTGAGGAGAATGAGCGTCTACGGGCTAGCCAGGATGCTAACATGACCAAGGTTGACAGTGCTGAAGCCGAAGCTGAAGCTGAAGAACGCAGAGCACAAGCAGTACGGGACAGTGCGGCGATCAAGGAGCTCACCGCCGATATTCAACGGCTTGAGGCTGTTGTAAACACTGTGCAGCTCGACAACGAGTCGCTTCGCAGCATGCTTGGGCGGGAACGTGTGGAAAAGGGCGAGCTCGTTCAGCTCGCAGAGGAGATGATGAGTATGCAGAGCTTTGTTGCTCAGACGCCCAAGCCTCAGCAACAGCTACAGCGCCCTCAATCTGTGTCCCGCCACCCACACGAGAAGCAACATGAAAGAGAGCCAGAGGCTAAGACGCCCAAGCGAAGCGCGGATCACTTCAGGAGTAGTGTCAGCCGCGTTTCTGGACTTCGTGCACCTGGCTCAGCACTCCGAGCACCTCATGAGCGAACCAAGAGCACAGGTGGATTGCCTCGTCCTGGTGGTGCCCGCAGCGGCATTATGAGCTCCATCGAAAAGATGGGCAACTATCGGGGACGTGGAGGCGAGTAAATGGTTATGTGACGCAAGAGATATGACGAGCCTCAAAAGGGCAGATGAACGACACAACTCATGACACGCAAATTGTATGACGGCAAATTTGTTTTTCTGCTTTTTCTGCTTTTTCTGCTTTTTCTGCTTTTTCTGCTTTTTCTGCGAGGCATTGACTGCTCGAGGGATGCTGGGAGCTCCCTCTGTAGCTTGGCGTGGTACTTGTTACTTTTGATGTTTGTGATATAGATGTCACTGGCGTCGGGGCACTTTTAGATATATGAACGGTAATTGAATTGGGTTAATACTTATGACAAGGCTTCTCTTTTTAAATGTGACAACTCATCCATCATTAACCCGTTAAAAGCTATGTATGGTTTCAAGGGTATTTTCATTCATTATATGTATAATTGAACCTCGACTCTATTTCATCATCTCATCAAAAGAGTTTGTGCTTCAAATTTTGGGTATTGACTATCAGTTCAACCTGACATTCATTCATCTCCTCATATACTAGTCTTCTCAAGGATTGGGAACCATCTGTACGTTGCTTGTTCTCACAATACCTCTGTTTCTTCTAGAGGTTATAAGCCTTCTTGGCTGTTCCACCAAAGATCATGGCACGCTCCTCGTCACCTAGGGTCGCCATCCAGCACATGCGCTCGACAACGCTGCGCCATCTAGGCCAGCCATTTTCGTTGTCGACAGTGCATACAGGCCAGTCGCTGCCAAACATGATGCGGCTAGGACCGAATGTAGCAAGGGTGATGCCGAGCCAGCCAAGAGTGGCCTCGAAGATATGGTTGGGGTCCTGCTTTCGTAGAGAATCGGGCATCTCAGAGAAGCCGCCCGAGAGCTTCATGTAGACATGAGAATCTTTGCTAAGAGCATAGACGGCGGTGCGCCAGGCATGGAATCCTGGATCGGATGTGACGTTGATGACGCTAAAGTCTGGTTTACAGAGATGGTCTGAGAGTAGTTTGTTAGTTCATAATCAAGATAAAGGATAGTAGTGTTGACGAACTTAGCACCAACGTGACCTTTTCCTCCTCTGGGACACCGTCGTGGACACGTTCGACGAATGCGACCACCTCTTCGAGCTGCTTCTTTCCTCGGCGGTGCTGATCAACACCAACATCAAAGGTGAATCCACGACGGCCAAGCAGCTTTACACCCTCGATGAACTTGTCGTCCAACATGGTGCCATGAGGCTTGTCCTGTAGCAGATAGCGGAAACCCTTGATCTTAGGCCAAGCATCGCCAGCTTCCTCCTTGACACGGTCGAGATAACGCTTCAACACCTCAGGACCGCTGACCACAGGCGCCCAAGGAACAATACCCAAGCACAGCTTTGCATCCTCGGCCGTGTGTCCCTCGCCCTCACGCGGTTGGCCGAGGGCAATACGCTTGAGCCAAGAGACCTCAGCTAGGGGAGCCTCCCAGCCAGATCCATCTGCGGCGCCGGCTTCGACATCGTTCTTGCGGTCTGTCTCAACAAAGACAAAGCCTAGGAGAGATGGAGCTGAAGAGGTAGCTTCGCGGTATTCTTCGAGGGAGTGCTGGCCGGCGAGAGGGTTCTCAGGGGTGTACCAGGAGAGCGAGTCGAGTTCGGAGGCTGGGTAGAGGTGGATATGGGAATCGATGATGGGAAGGATGAGCTGGTCGTCGGACATGTTTGCGGTTAGGTGAAGCTGCTGTTGGATATAAAGATTGGAGCTACAAGAGCTGAGCTTTGAGAAGAAGGAAGGGTTGTGATATTCCTTCTAAGTATAATCAATTCGAATTGGGGGAAATGATTGATGACTTCTAGTCTGATTGATCATTAGCTAGAGGATCAATGTGTTGGTTGTATGTAGAAACAATGTTCCAAGTAACTACGGTGAGACAAGAGTTGACTTATGCTACAGCCATATCCAATCGATAGTAGGGAGTTACCCCGCCATGGATAAGATCCCCTCCCCTGAAGGGTCCTGTTGAGGTCCCATACAACGTTCAGACAGGACAGACAACGTTAGTGGAGATTCCCGTTCTTAACATGGAATTGATCTCGCAACGGCTACAAACTTACAAAGACACTTTTAACATTATATCACTTGAGGACCAAAAGAGAGTTTGTTTCATTTCATGAATAGATTCAATCGTCATCTATCCTAGACAGCTAAGCTATTTCATTCATTATTCATCCATTGCTCATTACTGTCCTTGATCATCCACCTCATTCATACTTCGTAATGGCTAGTCCAGACCTTCATCCATCGCCAGGTCATGAACCACATCCAGATATTAATTGTCAAGAGAGGGCTCCTCATCATCAAGGCAGATGAGATTTCTCATGATTTGACAGAATTTGTTCTGAGACGACCTCTTTCAAGGTCTCCCAGCTCACTCGAGAAAGAAACAGAGTGAGGAAGAAGAATTACGCTCGCGCAGCCACGATATGTACCCATCGTGGACTGCGTCAAACGGTCGCAGCATCGACCTAACTGACGATCAACGTACCGGCGCGGCTGATACATTCCGAGACCAGCTCGGCGTGCCATCCGCGTCAGAAATACGTGACGCAGGTCGGAACGAAAAATGATTGCTGATATTACCACAACAACATAAGTCGAGTCATCCCAGCGCTGGTGTGCTGCCATAGGATGCCCGATACAAGGAGTGAACGGCTAAGGGTTCTCTCAACCTCTTGCCAAAGTCTTCGCATTACACCAATGCATTTATGCAACGACGCCGTGGCGGCGGGAGCTGGCGGGAGAGACAGGCTCGTACTCATCCTCGTCCTCGCTGTCGCTGGAGCAGGAGTCGCTGTCATCAAAGCCACATCGAGATCCGCCGCAGTCGAGCTTGACACGGTCGCCCTTGCGAGTGATACCGTAGCGCTCGCAAGTGCAAGAGCTGACGTCGGATCCGGGTGTGCTGTAGCCAGAGAGGGACGAGTTGGGAGAAGAGCTGTCGGAGCGGTAGGACAGGGAAGAACCGCTGGAGGAGACTGGTGAGGTGCTGAAGTCGGTGATGAACTCGTCCTCAATGTTGGCGCTGCCGAGACGATCGGCAAGCTCGTCAAGTTCGCCATTGTCGTAGTAGGAAGCATCCAAAATGTGCTTGGTCGCGTGGGGAGACATGGGCTTGGGGGCCTGGATCTGGGAGATTGACAGGGGGCGGCCCTTGGGGATGTCTACGGAGAGCTTGGAGCTGTGGCGCGAGGATCGCGAGGATCGAGACTCCTTGTCCTTGGAGGAGTGAGAAGAGCTCTTGCTGCTGGAAGAAGACTTGGATGAGGATGACTTGTGCGAGGAAGAAGACTTGGACGAGGACTTTGAGGAGGAAGAAGAAGACTTGGAGGAAGACTTGGAAGAGGATGAGCGAGATGAAGACTTGTGAGAGTCGGTGGGAACGTCGAGAATGTTCAGCTCACGGCCGGTGGTGGGCTCAACAGTTGAGGTGACGCTGGGGTTGTGGGCAACGTGGTAACCGTCGATGATGTAGTAGTACCAGTATCGTTGGCCAGCCTCAAGAGTTGAGTTCTGGAATCGAAAGGTGCCCTTCCAGGAGCCGGACTTTGAAGAGGACTTGTCCTTGGAGAGAGGGAGCTGGCCGGCATAACCGTCCCAGGAGCCGAGAAGGTGGACAGTCTTGACGCCAGAGGAGACGCGGAGAGAGAAAGAAAGTTGAATAGCCGACATGCTGACTTGACTTGATTATTTTATATGAAGTTGTTTGGGTAGCAGGGTGCTGAAAAGAGTGCAAATGTTGATTTGATAGTTGGCACGAGCAAGTGAAATCCGTGAATTTCTGTAATTAGACTATTATAGCGGGCGTGATTGGATAACAAAAAACAAAAAATGTCGTTAAAAGGGATGTTGTCTCTAAGCTGACCAGCAACTTGATTGAATTGAGTTTCGAGATTGTTGATGCGGGTGATTTCTTGGGATTAGAGACAACAAAAATTAGAAGTATAAGAGACCTGCTCTATGAGGGGGACAAAGAAACACAAAGGGGGAAAAGGGTAAGAGACCCAAAAACAGAAACCGGACTTGCGATTGAAAAGGACTTGCTGAAGAAGAAAGAGAGAAAAGGAAAATAGTTGTTTGGGGTGTTGGTCCTGTTTATAAGAAGCGGCCGTGTATGGCGGCCATAGTGTGAGAGTCGGCTCCCCGTCCGGTTGCCTTGTTGAATTCGATAGACCACACAAAGCAAGGAACATAGAATAATACAATTTACAAGATGCAGCCAATGGGAGGCTGCAGACAAGGAGATGGCGAGTTCATGTCGACTATCATCACTCAGCATCACACTTGGTTGTGGGTGAAGGTAGAGGAGGGTTCCCGGGTCTAGCGTGGGCGGTTAAGCAGAGAGTGCGTGCATCAAAGAGTGGGTCAACGATGCGATATTTAGAAGCAGCCCACTGAGTCCCAGGGAGGTCCCAGGGAGCGGGGGTCCCGGCATAGAAACACTGCGCCAATCACATCCACAGCACCGCTAAACAAGCCCAAAGGTGATCCCCCGTTGAGCGTCTATATCTCCCCCGCCATTGGCCCGTGACACCGCTAAAAGCCATCTCTCGTCACGCTGCAGGCCATCCAATCATATCTTGTTATTCAACGTCGTCAACCACTCCAGCCCCATGCAGAGGCCTCAACATTGCATTTGTTCTTCACCAATACTAACAAATAACAATCTATGGATCATGCAATTCCTCCTCCTACGTACTTGTCTTCATCTCACATCGCATAGCATGGCATAGCATTGCATCGCATCACATCTAATCTGCCGTAATAATGTCCTGCCTTTGCTTTTGATATCTCCCTCCATTATTGGGCCGCTCTTCAATCGGGCGAGACGTAGTGCAACCCTCGAGTTCATGCGGCCGTACTCAAGTATGTATGTACATATGACTTACTCTGTAATTCGACAAGTCAAGAATTGGCTCACTTGACCGGCCGACTAGTTTGACTTTCTCTCAGCTTCAGCGGAATGATATGCTCCGTCATCATCGCATTGGTGGTAGTATATTCTACCACGGCATATCTTATTCACGCTAAATACTATCACAGAGTATCCATACCTGCGCTATTGAATTAAAACAGAGACATGTGGATTGGTGGTGGTCCATATACAGGCCGCTATACAAGGTACATACATATCAAGGCCTCGTTTGTATTCCCATGTCCAACCACCTCCCTTGACCATCCCTGGCAAGCTCCTCATTCCTATGCACACAGAAATCTCTGATAGAAAGCCCAGTCCAAAAGTTATGGATACCGCTGAGTACAATTCGCATCTTCAGGTACCTTATTCGATACGTACAATGGGTCTAGGCATACCATCCCCATATTCCCCTCTACGGCCCGTCCGCGAGTGCCCGGCACAAACCTCCAAAACTTTACCATTATCCTTCTAGGTCTAGCATCGGTGGCATCGGTCCTCCGTCATCCGACTACCTACATAGTACATGCATGCTATGACTTTTTAGCTCCGGCGGGTATGTGAGGTCCGTCACACAACTAAAGAGTGCACCCACCGCCCTCTTTCTACCTACAAGGTCTATGCTTGTGATAGTTGCTTGCTTTCAAGTAAGTGAGCGGGGGAATTTTTCCACTTTGTAAAAATCCAAAGGCGAGGTAAGGATCATCAACAAGGAACTTTGGCTTAGAACGTGACGCCTTCGTATGCTGCATGTCCAAGTAGGTGGAGGAGGGATAACTATTGACGAGTGAGGTTGGAGTTGTTATCGCCGGGACCTATGCGACAAGGTAATGATATACGACGTTTCCACAGATGATCCGAATCACTTGACAAAGGTTGCACGCAAAATGGTCCTCTATACTGCGAGCTTTTCTCTACGAGGACTCATATGACCTTTTTCATGCTGTAAGCCGACGCTTTTGTGTTGAGATGCATGAAGAGTTGCCGCTGGCAATCTGCCTTTGCAGAATTTGCGGCCCTGAGTGTAATCATGGTGGATTTCATGCTTTAGCTCTGGGCCGCAACTGGTTCTGGTCAAGTAGGTTGTTGAAAGGCTGAATCATGTCTTGGCCAGTTAATAAGTTTGTATTTGTTTATAGTCGGTCAACCGATCACCCATCTTATGCCAAACAAAACGTAATGCTTATAGGCTTATAACAATGTGTGAAATATATTTTGACAATTCTTCAAGAAACATTGACAATACAAGGAAACTAGTGACTACAAGCCTGTATCGTTGAATGTGTATGCATACGAGTTCAATATATGGTATGTAGCATGTCCGAATCATATAAGCCACCTGGGTAAGATCGACACAAGACAATTGTTACGACATTGATCCAAGAGAAACAAACCGACTGCTTACTCTGCCTCATGCTAGTTCATTATAAAAGCTCTGACATATTTGATTATATCTAGAGTTGCATATTGCGAGTTTGAGAGGTCACGTGGTCACCCGTCGTGATCTCACAATGGCCTCGTTTCAACGCGTTACTCGTCGCGTCTGATATCCGCTGAATCAACATCAATTGGACTTGACCTTCCTATTTGAGTTGTACGGCTGCCTAGAAATTAGACTATGCAGTTTAGTTTTTTATCGCTCTACGGAAGAGTCGCAAAGCCTTTGATTACAAACCAAACATCGTGAATGGGGCTAATTTTTTTATCCCGAGTTTCTGTACTAGTTTTCATCTTAGACTTGACTGTCACTCACTCTCAAATCATCTCTCCTTTGACAGAATTTGCTTTTTCATGCGATATCTCTTGACAAAGGCATTCGCTTCATCTTATCGACAAACTTGCCGTCCTCTCACAAAGTCATCTATACTCGGCTACCGACTTCATCACAAAATGACGGCCAACTTTTCAGTTGACGATGCCCTCGTTGGAAAAGTGACGTCCTACGTTGAGAAGTACATGTCCAACTACGACGCATCTCACGACTTCAATCACATCAAGCGTGTTCTCCGCCTCTCTCACCACATTCAATCTCACACTCCTTCGACATGCCGGTCTCTTGTCACTCTAGCCGCACTACTTCACGATGTCGGCGACAAGAAGTATCTCCGTCTCGGTGAAGATCCCTCACGAATGGTAGCATCGGTACTTGTATCCTTTGGCGCACCGCAGGATCTTGCCGACACTGTTCAAGCCATCTGTCTCGGCGTCAGCTACTCCTCCGAAGTCAAGGACCCGGCGCACACTCGGGCCCTGGTGGAGACGTATCCGGAGCTGGCGGTTGTGCAAGACGCCGACCGGCTGGACGCCATTGGTGCAGTTGGCATCGCAAGAACGTTTGCGTTTGGAGGAGCAAAGAGCCGCACGCTGGAGAACACTATGGAGCACTTTGACGATAAGCTGCTGTTACTTGAGGGAATGATGAAGACAGATGAGGGGAGGAGGATGGCCAAGGAGAGGACGGAGAGGTTACGGTTGATGAAGCAATGGTGGCAAGAGGAGACAGCCGAGTAGATGTAGCTCTCCAGAAATTTGATTCATTAAAATCCAAAACATAATCAATTACAGACTCAAACAATTTTATCTCGGTTATCCAATCTGTCTTACAACAGAGGAAGGTTGATAACTACCACCAATTGAATCTCGCTCACTGTTCGATTCTCCATAAGGCTAAAAGCACAGTCAGGGCCCCCGCAAACCTTACGAGGAGTAAGAAGAACCCTTACGGGCGACCTTACGAGAAAGGACAACACCAAAGGCTAGAAAAGTCGGGGATTCGGTCCAATTGACACCCTTTATTCTCACCTGACTCAACCAACATGGCTGATCTGCGTTGGCTTCTTGTCTTACATGAGAACCTGTATGGACTAGATTAGTCCAGGGGCTATGACAAGAAGGAAGGACAAGACATCAGCTCGGGTCATTATTCGCAACGTAACCAAATAGGGGATATGAGGTCGAATATAAGGCCCGTGATAGTAATTGCCGCTTACTTCTCTTTGTGCTTCTCACTCATCAATATACTGTCTCTCACATATCGCTTACAGTACGACCTGCTTGACTTAGACATTCACAACGCCTACAATGGATACGCTCCCCACAGAAATTGTCATCCAGATCCTGGACAACCTTCCAACCCCAGCCATCAAGCAAGCCCGTCTTACATCCCGAACATTCAACTCGATTCTCGCAAAACGCACATTTGAGGTTCTCGTCTCGTTTCTAGACCCGAAAGTGGCGCAAGACACAATCGTCGCTGTCGCACAAGATCCTGTGCGACGGCATCGACGACCCTCGATTTGGTCGCCAAGATGCAGCGTACCTCGGAATTTACCCGTCGACGACTCATTCCTCATGGCCCTCTGGATCGGTTTGCGCGGAGATTCATGGGTCGCAGGTGTTGAGGGAGACAAGTTGGACGTTGGCAAGTGGAAGAATGGGGTGGGAAAGGACATGAGTGAAGATGAGTTGAGAGGAGTCTTGTTTCGATATGCACTTTATCTGAGTTATATGAGTGAGTGCGAAAAGGAGCAGGACATACCACAGGCTTGGGTTCTCAACTTGATGTGCGGAAAAACAGGATGTTGAGATTTTGTGCATCAACATACATGGATCAACATGCCATTTTGCAGGGATATATACATGGCAACTTAATAAACGTATCACAATGGTTGAGAATGGTACATGAATATTTGCGACCGTCTATATTTTATAAGTCCAACCTTTGACAGGTGCAGCGGAAATCAAAATCTAGTCTAAATGAATGGTCGCTAGTATGAAGTATTAAATGTAAAAATTAGCATATCTATAAAGTCGTTTTGCATATCGCGTTCGGATCTCATATAATGCATTCCCCCAATCCCGTCATCGCTCGGCCCAATCACATTGGTGTCCAAAGCGGAATAAAAACAACCCCCTATATACTAACGCCGTTCGCTTTCACGAACAAAAATCAAATCATGCCCAAGTGTTATGCTTTTCATGCATCATGTAAGGATCGTAAGAAGTTTTGAAGAAAGAAGTAAGGTGTAGTTGATCAATCAGTTAATCGATCAACCAGAAGAAGGTCCAATTTAGATGAGGTAGGCAGCGGCGAAACCGACAATGGCCAAGAGACCAGTGACGGTGTTCATGCCAGCACCGGCAGTCACAGGCTCGGGAACATCAGAGGTGGAAGGCTCGTGGTCCTCGTTAGAGTCGGAGCCGGAGCCGGAGCCGGAGCCGGAGGAGCTGTCACCACCGTTGCTACCCTTGCTTCCACTGTCGCTACCCTCGCTGCCACTGTCGGTGCCGTCGTCATTGCTGGGTTGCTCGCCCTGAGGAGTCTTTCCACCCTCGGAACCGGAGTGAGGAGGAGGAGGAGCGACACCGGTAGGGTGAGCACCGCCAGAAGGAACGGGGTGGTAGGTGTGGGGAGGGTAAACAGCGGTACCGTTGTGGGCGTGATCGACAGGAACGGTGTAAGTGATGGTCTTGGTCACACTCTGGCCGTGGTTGGTGGGGTGAGGGTAGGCGTAGGTCTGAGTCTTGGTGATAACGTCCTGGCCAGGGTGAGTAGGCTCATGAGGCTTGCTAGGCTCGGTAGGGTTGTGGTGAGCAGGCTCGGTTGGGTTGTGGACCTCAGTGACAGGGCAGATAGTTGTGGAAACAGCAATAGTCTCGGTTGTGACATGACCAACAGGGCAGTTGACGACGGTGGGAGGGCACTGAGTGACGGTGTATGTCTTGGTGCTGTAAACAGTGCTGGTAGTGTACTGAGTAGGCTCAGTGACGGTGCCGTTCTTGTAGACAGTGGTGAATCCGACGTGAGTCTAGGGTCATGTAAGTCAGTATGTTTTCAAGTCCGGTAGTGCTTATGAATAACACTCACATCGTCGTAGTGAGCGTTGGCAACAGCGGCCGCAGCAGCAAGGATGATAGTGGAAGTCTTCATGATAGTGTTTGGTGCTTGGTATGTATGTTTGTGTTAACGAATGTACTTTGTCAGTGTATGTAAGTTGACAGAGTGGATCTTTGAACGAAAGACGATGGTGTATTAGATTGTATGAAGGAAGGGGCTGTAGACGAGGCAGAGCATTTCTTATATCTCATCAACATGGTGGCCCAGTTTGTTGGGTATGTAAGCGAGATAGGGCGGAGCCGACTAACTCATGGTTAATTCGATTCTATTCCAGGCGAATGGCGGCCGACTAGTTCGGCGGTGTTACTAGCAGGGCTGATGATAAGCCATGCCGAAGTAGTGGCTGTTGAAAATGCTAACGATGGATACGAGGTGTGGGTAGGGTGGACTTGTCCGGTGCCAATACCCTGGATCTTTCCGTATTGTTGTCAGATGTTAGTGACCACTCACGGCATTCCTCCCAGTCCCGAATAGGCATACATGGCCCAAAAGAGCCGTGATGTTTGTCTTGGCCCTGTTATCGACAACTTGCAGCGGGCCGTAGTAGCCATGTAGCCATGCTACCATGTCGCTCAACTGCACCTAGCAAAGTCTAGAGCAAAGCTTTGCAGACGTGCCCCACGGTGATAGCTCCCAAGCTCACCGAGCTTTACAATTTCAAATTTTCTCTCCATCGCCCCAGCAATAGTGACCCAAACCTTGGCAGGCAACATTATATGCAGTATGTCCACTCTGCTCTGCACAATTAAAACGGGAGGGTCCGGGGACTGATGGACAATCCAGATCGGAACCCTACGCGCATCGCATGGTGTGGCTATGTCAGCATGCAACGATTCGATCTTGTGAGAAAGCTTAAACCACAAGTTAATTGGGAATGGCAGACGTAACGTCAGTCTGCCATGAGTGGTGTAAGGCTGCCACCAAGAATTGAAAGGTGGCTATTCTTGGAATATGGCGTTCTTCGCCCACGGAAAGCTAGCCCAGCCCTGTCCCATGGGCTTTTGTGCCCAGCGCCGGGCCTGCCGGTCAGCCACATTTGCCATTATCCAGGGCATGCTCCGAGATGGAGCCGTCCCTCTAGGCCAGAGCCTCAACAAGGTAGATCGCCGAAGCTGGTAAAAACCAACGATGGAAATAACTGGAACGTTTCGTTTCAACGGCCTCCAGTTCAACCGATGACTTCATACGAGGCCTCGTGGCTTTAATCCCAGTTTTGGGTTCTCGATCTCCAAATAGATCGTAACTTAGAATAGAATAATGTGTAGTTGGGGACTGGAGACTGAAGACTGGAGACAAGGGTCTGGAGATCTCGGATTGTGCTATCGCGCAAAATAATAAGCCTCGAGCACCGTATCCTCTTGACCCGCTGGGTGAGTCAGTCAGTTGGCAAGTGACTTTGACCAACACCCTTCTTTGTTCATTTGCTGTGCCCTTCGCTTGCAAAGCATGGCCATATGGAACATTCCCATTCGCACAGCGACTCGTTATCTATTTTGCTCTTCGTATTGACCACACCCTTTTCATGTGGCTCGTGGTATCTTCCAAAGTGTCAACCTGTCACTGGTTCGAGAATACCTACCCTAAAAATGACAGGGTGGGGGGATCGTGGTAAAAACTTTCGTGGTAACGTTGCCAGGTTGCACGAGAAACTTTACCATCTACCACCCGTCAGTTACGTAGTTGATGTAGGCCCTGTGGCTTGTTTTAGTACCATAGCCACAGCCTCCGATTCTAGCGTCGGCGATCGTCATCCAGTAAGCTTACAAGAAGCCGTGTCAGCGGCTTTGATAAATATATCATCCAGCCGTTTCGTTCGGATTCGCAAGTTGTTGTTTTGATCGTTTCATCCAAGTTACGCCATGGAGATATCCGTGGTAAAAATTTGAGTTCAGACTCAGCTTCAGTCTTCCAACACTGCACAATGTGAGTGAGTCTTCCAGCCAGCCCTCGTCTAGGTGACATCGGTCAGTCGAACATTCTGCGGGTACAGCCAGACTTGGTTTGGACAGGGGATAAGGCGCGATACCTAACTTGAGGGAATTAACAAGGCTGCCTGCCATACGAATTCGACAGCGGGTCGTATCTCTGTTCGTCCATCCATATCACTTTCTCCCCGCATCGTCCAGTCCCAGCAGCGATGATGATTGCTTCATTCCCTTCGTTTCTCGTACGATGACCTCTTTGTTACGAAGTCCAGTGACCAGAGGCGCAAGTGACCATCAAGGGATCTTCCGAGTCTTGAGATCTGGATGGAGGCTAAACCTTTTCTTCTCTTTCCCACCACAGAAACTTGTTGCGGGGACTTGGTGATGGTCGGATAGCTTTGTATGTTCATCCTCTCTGCGCTATAAGCTTATCAAACCGCCCCTGTTCGATTTTTTGTTTAAACTGCACCAGTAGTGGGGATCATCAGCTCGAGTAACCGGCTCGGCATGGTGCCGTACGCTCGAGCCCTCAAAATAGCGGATGCCATGAGGGTCAGAAGCAAGGGGTAAGTTCAATTGGGAAAAGTCGATTTTATGAAGGAACTTTGAGTAATCGGCGTGATGTTGTTTGGACAACAGTGGAATTTATCACATCAAGGAATCATCACAGGCAAACATGATCAGTGTTTTTTCTAATGACACGTGACATATGCGCCGGGCAGTCGAGGTAGGAGCAGAATTGAAGTCGAGTTACACATACAGAACGTCGCATGATGAGTAGCATTTGTTCATAAAATACATATTTACTACCACCTACTCCAAGGGGCAATGGAAAGTTCCTCTGAGCTTTATTAGCCTTGCAGGTTAAATGGGTGAGCTAAGGGTGTACTGTAGTGTAAAATGACATAAACTGATCCACTGATTCCATCTCTGAAGTTCTCAGAAGACAAAAGCCAAGCTTTCTAATTTCCTGAGGCCTGCTTACTTACCTGTGTACCTAGCCTTGCATCTCACTGTTTTCTTATCTTCATATTGCTGATCACACCATATCAGCAAGTGTTTATGCCGCTTGTGGAAAGCCCTTATAGTTCGTTTTCCCTGTCCCACGCGATGTCACTCTACTAAGTGTGTTCTTGTTAGGTTCCTTGTTGTTCTCTTCTACTTTCATGCATCCTGTACCCCCATGTCTACTTGTCATTACTATGTTAGCGATGCTGTGTGGTTGTTGACCACGACTTGATCATGTTGGTGATACCCTCATCTGATAACGAGTTAACCCCCCCCCTCCCCACAATCATGGTGTAGAATAACTTGATGACATATGTGTCGATCGTCAACTCACACACTTAAACACAACGAAAAGTGGTACAGTTAGCTATAGGGTAACCGAGTAGCAGCTGGAGTTAGAGCTATGACGTAGATACTACCAATCTACCTATATGAAGCTTAGTCCTTGCTTTTGGAAATCGCTGATGATGGATGTATGGTATGCTTTGATACTGCTACATCAGTATGAGATTTCAATATGAAAAATGAGAAAATATTATCGTATACCTTCGTTGGCCGAAGCGTTCGAGTATATGACAACATGCAACTATCACGGGTTGATCAAATGTCAAATTTCAGGAACACCACCTTCATCCGAGATGCAGGGACTCAGGGACTTCCAAGTAGTCAGGAACTGAGAGTCTTCGTGATATAGCACACTAATCAGCGGGCTAAGCGTCCGTCTGCAGGGCTGAATCTGAGACGTGTGAGGCCATTGCCTTCAGCATTGTCTCAGAGCGTAGCATTCATGCTCATATTCTTGTTAAGTGTCGATTCGCGACAAATGAACAAGGTCAGGAAGGTATAACGATGTAAACCAGCATTAAATGGGACCGTTGGCGGTTCATGAGCTGCAGTCGATTGACAGCATCAGTCGATACCTGCCTATCTCAGCCCCGACGAGGACAATGTACAGAAAGAGAAAGGCTGGTCTTCGCTCCGCTCTGCAAGACCTGCAGAAAAAGGATTCTGATTCGGTTTACGAGCATGCAATGGCAGGAGAAAAGAGGGACGTGAGGGCTGTGAGCGAATTCAGTTGGAGAGGTGCTCTGGGAGGTGAGTGGCTGATCAAGACAGTACCTATGCTGGCTTGCAGAAGCTCAAGGTTGCCGTTTATTCTTTTTAGATCTAGTGGTCTTGTTCTAAAGTCGGTAGGGTTACGCCTCCGACGCAGCGGATTCGTCCCCGCGACATGGAAACTTGGTGGTGTTGCGAAGCGGGTAGCATTCAAGAGATGTGATTCATCCAAGTGCTATGGTGAGAAGGATGAATAGAAGAGTCAGGGACAAAGATATGGGCGGACGCGGGGGCTACTGTCCAAAGAAGGATGCACGAACAAAGAGAGAGGGCTTTTCAGAACTCATGCGCGTCGGTGTATGTAGAGAGGCATATTCAGCCAGCCATCAATTTGCTTGATAACTGCAACTGCTATTGGTACTACTGTCTTGCATCATCGCCGTACATCGATTAGGGGCGGGGCAGTTTGTTTCTTCTTTCTATGCTTCAAAGACAGGTTATGATCCTTGCGTTTTTTTCTACTTCAGTTCCTCTCGACAATGAAGGTTGAATAAAAGAAATAGCAATTAACCAGGATTGTCTCCCCCAACCCCAACACCCACGAGTCTGGCCTCCAATGCTGCATATCGTATCCACCAAGTTTGAAGCGATTCTCCCTCCTCTTCTCTTCGCACACACACACGCGCACGCACTGTCTCACAGTACGAGGAAACAACGTGAGTTTTAGCCTTAATTGAGACGTCTGGCTTTGCCCAATAGAATGCTCAAAGCAGCATACAGCAAACTGTCTAGACTAAGCTGCCAAGCTACTTCACCGTCAAAGAAACTTTATGTCCCTTGCGCCCATGGGAAGCGCCCTTCGGACCGTCCCAGCAATCGCTTGTTCACTTGTCGCTCACAAGACTCGCTTGGCCTCTTTGTGTCACGGCGGTTCAGCCGTGGTATTCGTCCACCATTGCATTGCATTCTAACCCCGAACGCATGTAAGTGGGCTGGCCAGTGACTCGACAGTTACTGCAAGAGTTCTAGATTTGACACCTTTATTCTCTTTGTCTTGGTCGGTTGATGAATGGCCTAGATTGACTCAGTCGTAGCTGAGTCCCCGTTGTTGTTTAATCCAAACCCCCAATCTAAACGGGGAACGGACACTGTGATGGACTCGACGAGTCGCTCCTGCACTTTGCGACTCGAGCCCGTCGGACCACTGCAGCTCGTGAAATGCACACTGGGACCACTGAAACAAGTCTCCCAAGACCACTGAGGACTGCTGGAAACTTGCCTCTCTTTAGCGCGTCCCACTACTGCCCCCTCCCTTTTGACCCTTGATGGGACTTGCTTCTTCTGGGCTTCCATGGTATGGTCGGGTCCTCCACACCCCCGTCATCCATCTATCTCCTACTCTACTCTACTGGCTGGCTCTATACCTCGCTCAAGACGCCTCTTCATCTTCTCTCTCGTCATCTTACCTCACCCGTTTTTTTCGTCTTTGTTCTATGCCAGCCTCTTCACCCGTGGTTGTTTTAACCACAGCCCGCTGGTAATCAATATAACTCATCATACATATACCAATTTTGACGCGATTATAATTCGGACTCTTTCATCCCAGCATGCGCTTTCGACTGTCGCGCTCGACCTTGGACGCAACTATTTAAGCCAGGTTTGCGATTGTGTTCGGCGTGCCGGTTCACGTCCGTAGCCGCGTTCAACTGTCGCTTTCTGATTGAGACCTGCCATTACCCTTGAGGCGCGTCGCCTACTTGCTTGCATGTCTCGGACTACCGTCTAACTTGTTCATGTTGTGTTCCGCAACTGTTCTAAAACCCTGCTTCTGTCCGATGGCTGCCAGCATGCCAATACTAAACCGTCCCAACATTGTTGTCGCGAAGCAAAAGTTTTAAAGATCTCTAATAAACCAAAGTCATGCTCTCGGGTGCACATTCCATCTCATCGCCAGTCATGATGGCACCATCCGCCGATTATCCCTCCAAAGCACCCTTCGAGGCCAGCCCAACAGGTCAGCTGCAATTCAAAAGACACAAAACCCTGCCGCGACCACGCTCCGAAAGAGCATCTGAGTTGCCTATACGAGTAGCAAGTCCTTCAACTAGATATGGTCTGGTTGTTGATACCTCTCGTTCCAGCAATGGCAAACAGCCATCAAGTCCACGAACTCTTAAACATCAGTCACGGAGGATAAGCAGCGGCCCGGATCTGCCACCAACTCCACCGAGACATTCGCGCCAGCCTTCTGACAAATCCTCCGGCAAGACTAGTAGCCCCGCTGCAACCGATATTGCGTTACGGACTCCCCAGCCATCCCATCTACGTTCGCCTTCGACGCCTCCTAACCAGAAGAGCCCGCCTACGCCTGATGTGACGCCGCCTCACCATTCCACAAGCCGCCCAAAACTATTGAGGCCTGTTGCTGGCGACCGTGCTGGTTCAAATACTACCATCGGAGAATCTCAATCTGGCTCCTTTACGACTGCCCGGGAGGACCCTATATCATCAGAGGATGAGGGCAAATCTGCAAACACCAAGAACTCGCGACCGAATGTTCGTCACGTTTCCGACACAAGTAACCGCATTCCTAGACCTGACGCACTGGCCTCGGCTTTGGCCAATTTTGCGCCTCGATCAGAGGGGAGCAGCGTATCCAGGTCACTTGGAGGGGACTGGGGCCACAACGATAGTGACTGGGGCTCCGTGAGCGAGGTAGAGCAGGAATGGGACCACAATCTGCAAAGAATGGTCACTGTCAAGAAGCGCCCTGAACCACTGGAAGTTATGCGTTCAAGTCCAGCCAGGAGGGCAAAGCTCATCGAGTCAAACACGGTCACATCAACACAAGCCGCTAAAGCTGTGCGGGGAATGCCTTTACACCAGAGAGCCGAAGTGCTTTCCACAAGAGCCCTTTCGACTCGTGATGCTCCTTCATCAGTTGCATCAAGTACCATCACAAGTTCTGACCCACGCAGAATGTCTGTCGCCTCAAACAAATCTACTGTCTCAACTGTTGTAGAGGCATATCTTTTGGATACGACCCCAAAGAGACAGAGAACTCTGCGCCATGTGCGGAAACAAACCCTTTTACGAGAACCTACCAATGCGTCATCTGTGTCAACAACAGATTCTCTCAAGTCGGAGAGATTGCAAAATGATGCACGGATGCGAACACGACCAAGTGCTCCTAAATCTGAGAGCCAGTCTTCAAACGTGACGACCAATTCTATCTCGAGTAGCAGAGCTCGACGCGAGATCCGGAAAACCGGTGCTATACCAGTGGTTGTTGTGCCTGATCGGTTGTCGTCCCACAAGACTAAATCGAGAGAACCGTCGTTGAGGTCTCGTTCTAGCCGACGGTCAAGCCAGACGACGACTGTGACCAGTGTCAGCTCCACAGTAAACGATTCTTCCTCTAGAAGGAGTGAGCCACCTATTGTTCGGCGCCCGGTTCGTGGTCGTTCGTACTCTGCATCCGAAAGCTCGGATGAGAGAACCATGGATTACCCCCCTGTTATACCTGCCCGCTCGTCCTCTCTTTCTGCTCCTACCAGCCGCAATGGCTCAAGGGCCAGTTCATTGACGGCCGAAAGCATGAAACTTCACAATGCTTTGCAGGAATATCTCAATAAGAAGAAGGATACGCAGGAAGTGCCCGACATTCGATTTTCACAGGCAGCTCAGACAACGCAGACGCTCTCAAGCCCTTCTCAAAGCCGTCGGCTGTCAAGCTCGGAACACCACGATGAGTTTTTGAACACGAAAGGATATGGCTCACGAAACACGCCATTTTCGCAGGCTTCTGTTGACACAAACGGAACAAATCCAGTGGTCTCGGAAGCTCAGGCGGTGCAGATGTATCCTCACCAGAACTCATCTCTGTTGATGGTTGACCATTCCGTAAAGCCCTCCGAGTCAACAGATCAGACACAGTCGGAGGCCGAGGAAGACTTGGACGTTCAACTATCAACAGACTCATCAGAAGAAATTCCCAACACACCTCAGCCAAATCTTTCTCTCGCAGATGTTGACTCACCACTCCGAAACCCTCGAGCGCCCCCAGAGCCACCGAGCCATCCGCCGTTCATCAATTTTATCCCCGCGACACCGTCAGGAACGACTCCTGCTCACGAGAAGATGGCGCTAATGGGCAACTACTTTGAGGCAATGAACGAGAAGCCACCCCGCAGACCTTCTGTGGTCCGTCGAGCTTTCAACCGTACACGACGCCACTCAGTTGATTATACACCACCTTCACGAAGACCCTCGAGCTTCCTTTCACGGACTCTATCGCTTTCGCGAACTGGCCGTATCAAAGGCATGCCAACCATGGAAATTGAGCCCGAATATCCTAGTCCCGACGATAGTCCTGTGGAGGAGGACAAGCTGCATCCTTTTTGGCGCCCCCAATGGTCTAGCGATGATTTGTACGAATGTGACGGAGACTGCGACGATGATTGCGATATTCATTGGCCGGCTGAACCAGCTGATGAGGTCTATCGATATCCTCCAGTGGACAACCGACCCAAGGGACCACAGAGAAGTTTCAGCTCCAGAGTGAAGCGCACATTTGCCGTCCTTCCGTCTCGAGAGGATTCCCATTATACGAGCTACGATTGGCCTACTACTGAACGCCGCACTATTGGACGAACCGCGAGCGGAAACCTACGAGTTATGAGGCACCGCTCGAGTTTTGATTCGTTGCGACGAAACTACAACGACGATGAGAGACCACACTCTGCGGACGGTGATGTTAAGAAATCGTTTTGGCGAGCCAACAGTGTTCACAGGCGAGCCGCCAAGGAAAAGAGACGGCTTTCTCTTGGAAGTAAGCTAGAGGAGCTGCAGAATCTTCCGCGTAGATTCAGCGAGAAGAGACGCGAAAAGCGTTCGCAGGAGCTCCGCAAGAAAATTAGCGGGCCGAAAGAAGTTCGTGATGGGGTCGGAGAAGTGATTCGATCGAGCACTGCCCGCGACCATTACCAATCATATGAAAGTATCGTATCCCGTTGAGCTGGTGCCTAGTTTGGCTGTGTTATCAGCAAAAGGGGTTATTCTCGGGGAAATTATGAGAGGTAGACAGCTATTGCTACTCAGAAGATATAAAGACAAAAGGTTCACGACAGAGATGATTCACGCTTTACGAATGATGGGGGATTACGAAAACGGTTATGTTTATGCTTGCCATCTGGAATTTTGTTACGAAATGGTCTATATGGAATGATATTTGGAGGACATTTGCACGTTGCTACTGGGCAGGAGTGGCTGTTCATGTAAGATAACTAATGCATATATATATATCAATCAATTTGCTTGTGTCTGAAGAGGCAGTAGATAAGAGGCGATCGACTGTTGACACCATTTACATACACTGAAAAGAGTTGTGATTGATGTAATCAAAATTGTAGCCATTTGGAAGAAGGATAAAAAAGTTCTTCGATTCTAACCCTGTAGTATCTCAGGCTGGCGATACTTTCCATTTTCCCAGATACTGCCTTAACGCCTAATTCGCCAACAATGCTATGGGCAAAACCAGCCCCAAACTCGTCCCTAGCCACTCAGTAGAAGCTTATCGCTTCTCGTGTCCAGGAGGGGGTCCTGCGCCAGGAGGGGCAAATCCAGGTGGTGGAATACCACCGGGAGGGAAACCCTGACCAGGCGGAGGCATACCGGGCATACCGGGGAACGCGGCACCGGGAGCGCCAGGAGCTCCTGGAGGAGGGAATGGGAAGCCACCAGGAGGAGGGAAAGGAAAACCGTTAGGAGGAATGCCCATGCCATTGGCCCCTGGGAATGGAGGCATAGGAGGCATACCTCGACCGCCGCCAGGAGGTGCTGTTTGGAGTTAGGTTCGTTCTCATACGCGAAGATCGTAAGGAGGACTTACGAGGAAATTGTCCAGGAGGTGCGCCGGGCATTCCGGGGAATGGAGGAGGAATACCTGAAGCATGTTAGTCTTGTGTTTCCTCATGACGATTTCAGTACTTACCACCTGGGAAGCCGAAGGGAGGCGGGGGAAAGCCGTGGCCAGGCTGATTCTGAGGAAGCATAGGGTTCGCGTGGGCTTGGCCCTCGGCAGCATAAGAAGATGTGATTGAGTCAATGACAGACTGGGCCTTCTCGTGGCCAATTTCTACCGATGTTGTTAGTTGCAAGATCGCATCGCGCGTTGGAGAAGTAGCGTACGTTCGTAGTAATCGACTACATTTCGTAGATGGTTTCGGCCGCTGTTATGAGCCTTGCGCACGCTCATGGAGTCGTGCGTGAGGTAAACATCGCAGTAGTCGCCTGGTAATAAGATGTCAGTCGGAGGGGTCTTTGTTGATTCGCGCGTATTGGAGGAGCTTACAGAAGACTGTGATAAGAGTTAGCAGGAGTTTTTAGATGTTTATTAGACGATTCGAGGTCAAACTTACATTTGGGCATCTTGAAAGCAATGCGCGATCGCTATTATGTGAATAATTGATGAGCAATGATATAGTTATACGTTCAGTTTAAAGCTCAGGCGCGAAAACATCTGGAAGTTGACGAGGCTGCCCCACACGTGATGGCGGCGACAAGGCCAATGCCAAGGCTACATATAATTGGCTAACTCAGGGGCACCCTCTTTCCGCTTGTGGGGCACAGCTTCGACTGGGACACCTTTCAGTTTAGACTCCAGTGCAAGCCCCTTGTGTAACTGTAGTAGAACTATCCTACGTAGCCTTTCCTCTCCAACCTACCATCCACGATACGATTCAACACTGGGAGAGGAAGACCGAATTCTCGATTACCTGACACAGCGTCCGACCACGACAATGGCTCTCCAAAAATCATTGCTGCAGTATTTCTGCAGCGTTCTGCTGCTCGTTAGCTCCGTTAGCGCTCTCAAGTTCGACCTTATCGCAGGATCCAAGGAGCGCTGTGTTCGCAACTTTGTCGGAAAGGACACCCTTGTTGTGGTGACAGCGACTGTCGATGGCTACAAGGGCGATGGCATGGTGGTGAACCTCTACGTACGTTGCGCCAGATTGAGGACAGATTGGTCTGAATTGGAAAATTAGTCTAACATGCATGATTGCAGATTCGTGATGCCGTTGGCAACGAGTACGGTCGTCCCAGGGACGTTGTTGGAGAGTCAAGAACTGTCTTTACTTCTCACGCCGACGCTGCTTTCGATGTTTGCTTTGAGAACATTGCCTCCGGCTGTACGTCTACTCGGATCCAAGCATGTCATGGATCACATGCCAAGCTCCTGTTCCTACCTAACAACATACTGACAATTCTTTAGCTCAACGACTTAACAGCCCTACCCGTCACATTGAACTCGATATCGATATCGGTGCCGATGCTAAGGATTGGTCCGCCATCCAGGCCACCGAGAAGCTTAAGCCTGTCGAGGCTGAGCTCCGCCGTATTGAGGAAATCACCAGCGAGCTTGTTACCGAGATGGAGTACCTCCGCTCCCGAGAGCAGAAGCTCCGGGATACCAATGAGAGCACCAACAACCGTGTCAAGTGGTTCGGTATTGCTACCACCTGGCTCCTCGTTGGCCTCTGGGCTTGGCAGATCATGTACCTCCGCGCATACTTCCGATCCAAGCATCTTATCTAAAAGAGTGTTTTTACATGCGCATTGTCTACGACGAAGCTCATTGGTATCATAAAGAGTCGGACATCATCTAAAGACCATGAATGAATCTTATTGTGCAGTCCTTGATCTGTAGATGTGGCTGTGTAAGTGGACCAAGTTCTTCAACATGTTGGCGTTGGAATTCGTGGCAGGTATATGATTGGGATTAGAAGCAGGCTTGGTACTTGCCAGACCTAGAATCTGTTTGGAAGGGTCGAGTGTAACAAAAGTCATGAAAGAGAATAATTTAACGTCTATACATATCAATGCTAAGTAGTACTGGTTGATGTTGAAAGTGCAGAGGAGAGTTCTAACTGTGGCGCGTGCTTGGCAATATCAATTGTGGCGGAAGGTCAATTTTGGTTGGTGCGCTGCCACTCATTCCGTGACTCAACTTGGGAAGGTGCTGAAGCCTGAGCTGCCCCTCCATACCCACCACCTCTTAGAAGAAAGACCCCGCGATACTTGGACAGAACAAAGAAGACCTCTACAACGTTCACCACCAAGGCCAAATCGAAATCATGGCCGATCTCAACCCTCCCGCGACTGCTGTTCAGGACCAGGATATTAACCCCTGGTCCGTTGAGGGAGCTCAAGGCGAGAATGGCGAAGTTGCTGCCATTGACTACGATGCCATTTGCTCGTGAGCGCCACACCCCAAACCAAACGTACCAGAGTTGCACATTGAAGCTGACAGTATATAACAAGGAAGTGGAAGACCTCAAAGATTGACCATGCGCTTCTCGAGCGATTCGAGCAAGTGACAGGCAAGAAGCCCCATCGCTGGCTCCGACGCGGCCTCTTTTTCAGCCATCGCGACTTCGACAAGATCCTCACCAAGTACGAGCACGGCGAGCCCTTCTTCCTCTACACTGGTCGCGGTCCCAGCACCGGTAGTCTTCATCTTGGCCACACAATCCCTCTCGAGTTCACAAAGTGGCTGCAAGATGTCTTTGATGTGCCCCTGGTTTTCATGTTGACGGATGATGAGAAGGCGCTATTCAAGGACAATTTGACATTTGAGGAGACTCTGGCATATGCCATGGAGAATGCTCGAGATATTATTGCGCTTGGTTTCGACCAGAAGAAGACTTTCCTCTACAGCGATCTCAAGTACTTGAGCAACCATTTCCTCATGAACGCCTGGGAGTTCTCCAAGCTGGTCACCTTTAACCAGGTCCGTGGAGCGTTTGGCTTCGATGGGAGGTAGGTTGATGAATTGCACGCTCGACTCCAATACTGACTTGATATAGCTCCAACATCGGCAAGATTTTCTTCCCCTCGGTGCAGTGTGTCGCTGCTTTTGCGACATCATACCCCGAGATTTGGTCTGACGAGCCCGCTACTGTCCGAACAAAGGCGCTTGGCAAGATCCAGTGCTTGATTCCCATGGGTATCGACCAGGACCCTTACTTCCGACTCGTCCGAGATAACGCCCACCGCATGAAGAACCCTTCACCAAAGCCTGCTTTGATCCACTCCAAGTTCCTCACTGCCCTCCAGGGCGCCGGTGGCAAGATGTCATCTTCGAACCCCAACTCGGCCATTTTCATGACCGATACTGCTAAGCAAATTAAGGTGCGCAGAAAATTAGTGATCCTGGAGAGCGAATACTGACAAAAGAACTTCCAGAACAAAATCAACAAGTTTGCCTTCAGCGGTGGCCGAGAGACACTCGAGGAGCACCGTGAGAAGGGAGGAAACCCTGATGTCGATGTGTCTTACATCTACCTCACCTACTTTGAGGATGATGATGAGAAGCTCCAGAAGGTTTATGACGACTACAAGAGCGGATCCCTTCTCACGGGTGAGTTGAAGAAGATGGCCATTGAGGCTCTCCAGCCTGTTGTCCAGAGCTTCCAGGAGCGACGAGCTGCTGTTACAGACGAGGTTCTCGAGTCATTCATGAAGCCCAGAAGACTACAGTGGGCCGGAAATCCCAACCCTAAGCCCAAGGAGGATAAGAAGAAAGAGAAGGCTGAAAAGAAGCCCGAGGAAAAGAAGACTGAGCTGCCTGACCGTACGGTTGAGAAGTCTGCTTAGACATGGAGACAACAGGATATGGATTCGTTCGTATGTACGAGAAGGGAGATATAAAAAATATTTACAAACAAAAATGGTGTTATTGTGTCTATGAAGTGAATCTTCTCAGCGATATGATGCTTTCTACAGTATCGATGGTGTAAGTCATCTGCCGAACCCTGAGTGATAGATAGAGATCCTTCCCCGGACCCACCCGCGCCGACATCGAAATTATTATTCGGCCTCGGTTCTTAAGTTTCGGAATCTCGACGTCAACGACCGACGCCGCATTTATTTTGTTTGCCACTATTTTCCCGATTCACTTACAAACACCATCAAAGTAACCTATCGTTTAACATACCGACGACATCACATAATTGTAACATAAACATAGCAGTCATGGCTTCTTTCATCTCGCGCTCGCTGCGCCCGGTCGCCGCCCGCCGCTTTGTCTCCATCCCCGTTCGACCCGTCCGACCCCTCTCTACAACCGTTTCACTGCGATCCGACAACGTTTCTTCTCAGGAGTTTGAGGTTGGCGAACTTCAGGGCGCAAAGTTCAGAGTCGAGCCTCTGCGTCGAGTCGGCGAAGACGATGCCACTAAGCGAGCTCGCCTCGTCTGTACGTCGCAATCCAGCATCCAAACGAAGTATTACTAACACCAGACTCAAATAGACCAGTCACGAAAGCGCGGAACCCTCGAGTCTGATCTTCTCCTCTCCACCTTTGCAGCCGCACACCTTTCTTCCCTGTCTCCCGAGCTTCTTGACCAGTACGACCGTATTCTTGACGAGAACGATTGGGACATTTACTACTGGGCCACACAGAAGGAGGAGCTTTCTTCGACGAACCCTTCATCCGCCGACTCTCCATCTACCAACAACATCGACGCCAAGCCAACAGCCGACCAGGTTACCCGCCAGCCTCCTTCGGGCGAGTGGGCGCAGACCGTGGGTAACTTCAAGGCTGCTTACAGACCTGTGCCCTCGCGCTGGAAGGACAGTGAGATCCTCGAGAAGTTGAGGGCTCACGTGCGAAGCCGTAGCGTTGACGGTGGTGAAGGCGGTGGCATGGGCTTCATGCCTCCTCTGGGACCTGCCGAGGTCAAGAATTAAACCCTTACTATTCGAATGAGGGATATGTCGACGATTGTTTTGTAGAAGATAACGAAGTCATTGTACTATACGTCAAACACCATGTATCATCACGGCCATAGGGCCTAGAATTTTAAATCTCAAGATAGAGCATGCACAGCATTGTAAGATGCGTTGGTTAATTATCAAGAAAGAACAAGAAGGATATATATAAGTATGAGTCTTTGTGCTTTCAAAACAAAACACAGCGCTTCCTCTCTCATGCTTCCAAGGTCAAGAGAACTATACCAACGTTGTAAGATGCCAACTGCCACTCTCATCCCATTCCTTTTCTAATGGCACAAAAGACACAAGAACTACACATCTAAAAGAGCCTTCCAAAACCTCAAAGAGAGTAGAACCAGAAATGAACAAGTAGGCGTTGAGTGAGAAGAAAAAGGCGCATCATCTTGTCTCGTTTCGTCATCAATATCATAGGCTGTAGGATAAATAAAGCAAAAAAGCAGAGGGTATCAAGCCGATTCGTTCCATTCCATTCCAATAATTTCATCCTTCACCCGCCCCCTTCTGGTAGAATACTCCCTAGGCTCCTCAGAACCTCAATAACTGGCATATCCCTTGTTCCTGCGCTTGCCTTCTCCCTCTCCTCACGTTGTCGAAGACGCAGAGCGCTGACACTGAGGACCTTATCCGCTTCCTTGCCTGCAATCAGAACCCGCTGCTCAAGCTTATGGACGTTATCAGCGAGTTGGTCGACCTGGAACTCAAGCTTCGATTGTATGGTCCGTAGTCGTGATTCTGTTTGTGAACGGGCTGCTTCAAACGACGCTTTATCGTCTGCTAGGAACCCTCGAATTTTCCCTTCCTCGGGATCTAAAAGATCAAAGTCGGGCAACACAATAGGTCCAGTCTCTTGTGGAGTGAAAAGGGGCGGTTGTTCAGGCAGCGGTTTTCGTATTGCTTGCCATGACTTCTTTTCCTCTTGTAGTCTACAAAAGTCAGTGTAAATTCAGATTTTTCTGTGATAACTATAGCGAACCTTTTTATGTTTATCTCAAGCTGTGCCATCTTCTCATCAAGCTCCACGTTCCTGGGGTTGGGTTTTGATACTACAGGGGCCTTGGGAGGAGCATCGTCCTCTCTAGTAAACCAGTCTGAAAACTCGGACCGGGCCGCAAAGTCTTTTAGCAGTTGGTCTTGGATGGCACGAGCTGTTCAGGTCAGTGTTTGCACTTACGACGAATAATACCCAAAAGGGGTCAACTTACCACCAAGAATAGCATTAGAATTCGGTGTGCCATGACGAGGCTTCCCTGCCAATGCGCGCTCGCCACACCAGGTCAATAGTTGTTTCATACGCCGAGGTTCCGTCAAACCCTCGGCTTCAATGTGTTTGTAAAAGTCTGATGGGTTGACTTCCCGGTGGGGTATCGCTGTTGAGCCACCCTCGATTAATGAGCTCGCTCTACGTCCTCGGTTACCCAAGCTGCTTCGTCTGTTGGAGTTACCACCCTTTTTCCGCATTTCTTTGTTTCTATTGATGATGGGTGTGTCGCTCATGGGCAGCGCAATTGTGGCGGATTGAACAGGCGCTTCTCGCTGGGGCGACTTGTCCCAGTCTGGGGGTGGTTTGGTGGAGTTGGTGACACGGTTTCCGCGTTTCTTAGACGCTCCATTGGTACGAGAAGTTGTCGCTGCTGGTTGTGGTGCTGTTTCTGGTTGAGTATCGGGTGTAGGTACAGGTACAGGTGTAGGTTCTGGTTCTGGTATTGTCTCCGGTTGAGGGGCGTCATCCTCTGGCTTTTCCGATCGTCGCGTGCTCCTCCTGGTCGGTTGCTTCTTGGCGGTCTTCGTCGGTGGTTCTTCTGACGCGTCCGCACTCGCTTTTTGTCTACTACTCTTCCTTGTTGTGGGCTTTGTAATCGCGATCGGTTCCTTCTCTGTTGGTTCCTCTTCCAATATCGTCCCATTCGTTTTTGAGCTCCTAACACCGCGTTGCTTTGTTGCAGGACGTCCCTTCGAAGATTTCTTGACTGGTTCGGGCTGCGGTTCCGGTTCTAATTCAGGTTCCTGGTCCGTCTTTCTCCTCTTGGATTTTCGCACAAATGCGAAATCGTCATCATGCTCGAAATCCGTCACCGCCGCTGGATTTCCCTCGTCAGCGCGTCGTCCTTCTCGAAAGCTTTTACCGTCGTCATCAATCCACTTACCAGCGAGACGCTTGCTTAACCGTCGCTCGCGCTCGTTGCCCATGCTAATAACTTGAAGCGGCCGCCGAGTCGTCACCAAAGTCGTCATGGGTGGCACATTCGGGACTGTTGGTGATGCGATTTGAAATTCCCAGGGTCGCGATGGTGGGAAATTGTTGGTATGGTGGAGGTACTGAAACTGTCGGCCAGGGTCGAAGAGGCGCGTCACGTCGCGATATATATGTTTCGTGTAATTAAAACTGCTGCGCAAAACGCTCAGATGCTATGTAAATGTAATTCACGATGGCTCGGTTCGGCAAGAATTTAGTCGACAGAGGATTGCAGTCCGCGACGTGGTTGTGATTGTTTAAAGCACATTGCCTTGTTTACATGAGGGATGATTTACCCATACAGCGCTAAGCCTATTTAAACCGCTTCAAGCTATCGCCCCACCTCGAAACTCCTCCCGTTCTCACCAAGAACCAGGCCCTGCAAATATCGTCAATGCCGACCCTGACAGAGTCTAAGACAAATCCTAGCAAGCCATTGAAAAACTACCTACTAAGCATTTGAATAGCAGCAGAAACAAATTTACTTTAGCGTTTTATAAACGCCTTTTGGTGGGGTTCATGCAAGATTTAAGCCGCGGTGAGGATAACTGTCAGCAAATACCGAAACTTAGGATATAGAAAATACAGCCTAATAAGACTAGGCCAAGACAGCATAAAATGGCTTAGAGAATCTTTGCAACGTCAAGATGACCATCTTCGGTTTTGATTACAGTACGTTAAGTGATACTAAGGCTGGCTTCAACGGGCTCGCTCTTGGTATCAATCTTATCCCCTCTGTTAGATAAACATTCACTCAAACAATCAAAACAAAACATCTCACGAGTGCTACCTTTCTGTAGTGTGTACTTATCGTATTTCATAGTTCAACTATCGTCCATTTAAACCAAGTAACTTCTTGTTGCCTGTAGCTACTTAACAAAAAAGCGCAAAACCAATAACACCAAAGACGTTCATCTCCTAGGATCGATCCGGATGCTCAAAACGCCCCCCAGGCACAAAAACAGTTCGCCTGGCCAAACACCTTTTTGAAGTGCGCGTTCCGTGTGCCTTGCCAGAATAAATACTTACGTACAAGTTAAAAATTGTAACGGCGCCACCTCTAGTAAGAAACGCCAACAGAAAGGCGTCCCTGCTCAAACAAGAGTGACAGGTTGGCTCCAAACGACCCAACAAGCTAAGCTCTTGGTTTCAGACATCGTCCCCGTCTGAACGCTATGTTGCCTCTGATCAAATGTTGTACAGCCCAAATGTGAAGTGAAGATAGGAGCTGGCAGGCCCCGGAACGGCAAACCCTGCAACCCTGTGTATATGCTTATAATGATAACTGCCTCGGAAAGGCTAATCGCCTTGTGATTGAGGAAAATAGGGATCATCAAGTCCCTCTATCATGCGACTTGGTGAAGACATGTCTGCTTGCTCCACCTTGATTTGTTGACTTGGCTGGGGCTTTGTCTCGTTCTATGAGAATCGCCTCTGGACACCTTGCCCAGCCATGACTTGCTGGTTGGACATGGGTGCTGCCATGCCATAAGGATTCATTTGGGGGTTGTAAGGCTCCACAACCTGTGACATAAAAGCGCCGTGTATCCCTTGTTGCTGGGTTACAGGGCAGTCCTTATGAGCAAGAAGGAGGGTTTTCAGGTTGACGACTTCCTCCCTTAGCTGGGTAATCTGTGCCGTCAGAGCATCGTTCTCAGTGCTGAACATCTCGACCTTGGTCTGGAGATTAGCCAGCCACTGCTTCTTCCTTTGGCGACATTTGAGAGCCGCAACGCTGAAATTAATTAGTAATAGTTCTCAGATGATGCAAGGGCTGAAGGATACATACCGGTTGCGCTCAAGGAAGTTCTTTCGCTTCTCCTCATCAGTCATCTTTGACTTTCCGCTACCATCTTCATACTTCATCTTAGATTCGTCATCAGACATCATATCCATGTCCATGTCCATAGAATTCGTCTTTGACTTCTTGTGGGCAGGTGTCTTTGATGGAGGTTCGTCGGCCTTCCTTCGACCATTGGTCGCGGGAGGGTTCTTCTTGCCACGACCTCGAGTGTTGGGACGAGCTTGCTCACTCTCATCCGACATCATGCTGCCCTCGCTCATACCGCGACCGGAGCCGACAGAGCCGCCGTTGATACTTGACATTTGTGGTGAAGTGTTCATGTTCTGAGGCGCAACAGGGGCAGGGTGTGCGTGACCAGAAGCACCTGACGTCACAGCGAATTGGTTTCCGTTCTGAGCACCGTTTCTACCCTGGGCCAGCATGAAGAGGCCGTTTGCAGCGTCGTTATCGTGAGGGTCGAAGGGGCCCGACGCAGGCTTCGCTTCGGTTTTGATGTTGGAAGCACCGTTTGGCATTTCCTGGGGTTGAGAAGTGACAGAAGGTTGCTGAGGAGGTTGCTGGGGTTGGGAGGCTGATTGTGCTTGGGATCGCGGAACAGCACCGTTCTGATCGCGTTTAGCGGCGGCACTGATAGCAGTTCTGTGGAAATCAAGAGTGCTAGGTGTGGCTCCTCCACTGGCAAGTTGGGCAAAAAGTGCTTGAGAATTAGGACTTGGGGCAGGGAACATAGAACCACTGCCACCTGGTGTTAACCCTGTCCTCAACGAGGACTCGTTGGGAGTAGGAAATCCGCCACGTAGATGATGTGTATCGCCAAAGTAATCGTTCGCTGGACCGGAAAGCATTGCAGGGCTTAGAGGACCAGTACGCAATGAGCCACCTCCCCAGTTGAATGGTGTCGCGTTGCTTCCGGGTAGTAGTGAAGATGGTGATGTCAATGCAGCAACTGAAGGCAGCTTTGTTCCTCCTGGTGTCTCTGGAGCGCCCCCGAAGGACTGCTCGAATGGATTGGGCTCCAGACTGAGAGATCCGCCGGCCTGGACCGCGAAGTAGTCAGGAGTGTTGCCTTGTTGTTGGCCGGGTCGAGGAGGAGGCGCAAGGGGTTTGGCTTGTTCGGCATTGGCAGCCTCTGTCTTGACGGGTGGATCGGCTGCCCTGGCGTCGGTCGTGGTATCTGCAGCGAGGCAAGATGTGAGCAAGTGTCACAACAAATTGACGTAGAAGGAGTAGGATAGACGATGACGGAGGACGAGGAACGGAGAAGGAAAGCGATGACGAAAGAGGATGAAGAAGAAGGGATATGGATAATCAAGAACGATGACGAGTATACGTCATGGCAGCGGAAGCGGATAAAGTAAAAAGCAGATATGTATGTGTGCAGTCGAAGAGAGGAATGGGAATTGGAGTACAAGAGGAATATTCAAAGAACATACCAGGTCGAGGAGAGCTGTTGGACTGCTTGGGGGACTTCGACTCACCTCCAGCAGAGGCTTCAGTTGTAGTCCCCATGATGACGATGATGTATTATATTCTGGGGCGGGCGGCAAGGTTGAGAACTGTATTGGACTGGACTGGAAGTGTGGGGTGGGTGGCAGTAAGAGCAACGAGGATAGAGGAAGACAAAAAAGTCAAATGAGGTCAGAGGCAAAGAAGAAACAGAAAAGCAGCGCGGCAGCCGTCTGCGACTCTTACTACAGGACGGGACGGTTTAAAAGATAGACCGGGGGCGAAGACTGTTTTTCGACAAGTCAACAGCGCGAACAGCTCAAAGCAATATGCTCCGAAACCTTTCCAACCAAGAGAAAAAAACGCTCCAAGCCTTGATGCTCGAGCGTGGGTGTATGAGAGAAAATTGCTTGAGACTCGACAATACTCGGTGGGCAGACGTGGTCAAGAGGCGCGCGTCTCTCAAGACAATCAAGAGACAAAACTAAGCGAAAGATGGGTTGAGAATTAGGGGATATGGAAAAACAGACGCGAAAAGCGTTTGCAGTGGAGTTGAGGCTCGTGCCTATCGAAAATAAAATGATACGATAGACTCAGATAGAGATTCGCGCTCCGTTTCGAATGTCGACAAAGCGGGCGCTGCTTTGCTTGCGGGATTGCGTCGATGGACGAGGATTGTGAAAGGATTAGATTGAGAAAAAGACGTCAGAGATGACGTTGTGGGCAGCGAGAGAAAAAGTAGGCGCAGAAAAAAAAGGCGGCGGCGGCTGGGCTCCTGAAAGTAGTCAAAGCCTAGGGGGCGAAAATAAAGGAAAGGACTGCCCGTACAGAGGGGACGCTAAACCGGCTGACAAAACCCACTGCACCTTGCCTTCACCTTCACACCCAGTCTAGTCGGTATACTGTGTGCACTGTATTCCGGATTGCATCGTTCGATCCTAACCATCCAAAAGGGTCCGGGGAACCAACCAGACGCCTCAGTTTGGTGCGAATCACTCTTGTCACTCTAGTTGACTTTCAAAAGGTAGAGGCTAAGGAGGGGAACAGTGCTTTACTGATTGAAGAACCTTGTAAGAAACAGAAGAGCCATGGAAGAGCACCAGAAGCAGAGTCGATCGTGATTCTCGGATAGCATCCTTCGAATCGGTTTCCAGTCACGCCGAACACTGACCGTATCGCACACAAGTGGATGATGCAAATCGTATACAACAGACCTCGGTTGCAATTGATATCATGTTTGGCTTGAAGTTAACAAGAAACAATCTCCGAATGAGAACCGGTCGCAATTACCTTGAACAGATCCATGGGCCCAATTATCAGGAAACTTTGAAATGAGATATCAGACGTTTGACACTGTGCGGACACAAGAGTTTTCCTTGACTCCACACCCCATTTCCAGCAGCAGCAGGAGCCATTTGGAGTGAGTGGGCCCTTCCACCGTCATTTCCACTGTTCAAAAGCCAATTGGCTTGCTTCACGTCGCGATGACGCAAGGAGGTGCCTTGTTCGACCTCATTCTGAGAACGACAACATTTCCTTCCACCCTCGCTCAGTCTTGGAAGGCATTCACAACCAGCCTGGCCTGGCCTGGCCTGGTCGTGGATCGCACCGTTTCCCTCCAGATCAGTTCCCTGATTAATCCCGACTATTCCACTGTTTCAGTCGTGATCCAGATCCAGATTGCAACACAATTAAGTACTGCTAACCTACTATAGCTATGCAGCAATCAAGCTATCAGACTTTGAGGAACACCCCCATCAACAAATAGCTATGCAGCAATAACAAGCTCTTGGCTCATGCAACCAATGCTTAAAAGCTGGTGCAAAAGCTCCGTGCTGCTGGAACTTTATGATGAGGCTGGAAGCATGCACCCCCGCTTCTTGTTTGACATCTACAATACGGTCAATTACCTGCCTTTACCTATGGCAACGAAATCAATCAGAAGTCCCATTTTTGTATCAATCTCTTTGCTTTTTGTTGGATATCCTCAATAAGACCTGTCTGTAACCCATCTACCATTCATCCGCACAAGTAGGTCGACTCACGGTCCCCCTCGGCAATGGGTTTATAATTCGAAGTGTTGTTGAGGGATCGTCGTCGGTTGCAACACCCCAGCACGTACACGCATTTCGCTTCATACTGTAGAAAGCAAAAAAACGGGCTTCATTCAACGTCGTCTCGCTGCTGCAAGCCCTTTTTGGTACAAACACAGCTTTGACCGACTCTCTTACCCATGCGACCATGCCTCCCCTGGCTGGTGCCCATACACAAGTACTGTTTTCGAAAGTCTCGATACGGGGGGCTTTTCTCTCCTGCCAGTCTTGAATCTTGATGACCGACCCGACCCCTTTGTTAGTGGCGACCTGGCAAGAAACCTCCGTCTTCTTCACTCCATCAATTTGATACTGGCTCTTGACTGGATCTATCCTCGTTTTTTTACAAATCGAGGCTTTACGCTAAAAGCCAACCCCCTGAATTGTATCCTCAATTCAATCTGGCCATTCACAAACGATTGCATGTGTTCACGCACGAGTGTGCGTTGTCTCGTGATTATATGTCTTCGGCTTTACTCAATATCGATCGCCGTCTTAATCTTTGATGGTGTCTACGGCACTCAAGATCCATCCCAGGAGAGATCTGACAAATATCTTTTGTCGCTGGCGTGGGGATGAGCTTGTATCAACTCAACCAAAGAGAAACCAGAAACAAGACAAGCTTGGTAATATCAGGGAAAACTTGGTCCGTCCGACACGGAGCAAGCACAGTGTCACCTTGGATGTACAGACACGCTTCGAGCCAGGCACTGTGTCAACACTCGATAATACAAAGAAAGCACAACATGACTTGCTTATGACGTCAGATTTACCATTCGCAGGATAGAGATAGGCAATCTTTATTGTTGAATGTCTTCCCTCTGCTCAGCAGTTGCCAGTTGTTTCAAGAGGAATGTAGGACATCAGAAACTGATATTGAGTGCGCCATGCATAGACTAGAAGAACAGGCACCGATTCCCTTGTTCAAGCATTCAACAGACGCACTCATTAGTTGCTCTCACACTGACTTCTTATCTATTCATCTGAAATGCCGGCCGTCACTGGCCGTCTATGTTACCGTTTGCTGGGGCACAGCTTACAAGGCACAAACGATTGCTACCTTGGTCTCTGTCTCGAACCTGTAGTCCAGTTACCTCTGATCCCCGGATCAGATCAGATCCAAGTCGGCAAGCTAGCCTAGCTTGGGCCACCGTTCCGTTCAAGCCGTGCCTTGTCGTGCATTTCTAAGCGTGCATTTCCATGCTTTTCCATCTTATTAAAGCACCAGGCTAAACTAACTGGTGTCGATCGATGCATGTACATTGGTACTTAGAAGGGGGGCGAACGGTGCTGTGGTAAAGTGACCATCCCGCTTGTTCCTCCGGCCAATATAACCGTCAGTAGAAGCTCAACAAAACACAGACTTGGTATCGCATTTCATGGGCAATTGGGATCCTCTTCTGGTATCCATGCTGTGAATTGCTTCCCCCCGCAAGCACCAGGAACAAGACCCGCCTAGTCTTGGATTATGACGCAAGACCAGCCAGCACAGACAACATAACTCAGACAGTCAATTAATCTAGACTAAACTGACAGCTCTAGAAACTTGGAAACTTAAACTCGAAGCCAAGTTTAATATCACGAGATGGGTCCAAGACCTTGGGCTGAGGTGCTTGTCTCCGCCCCAATTCAGATTATCTTGCTTGGTCCGAGTCGGAAACAATCTTGAAGCATCGTAGCAGAGCCGCGCTTCACCAAACTTTAATGCCCCATGTCATTTACATGACGTTTAAGTGGACTCGGCCGAGCGACATACCATTCCAGCAATTCGACAACACCACATCTTGTGTACCTCAAGCATCTGGTATCATCAATTTGGTCTACCAATTTCTAAATTCCGGTGGTAGACTCCAAAATACCCGCAAGGCAGTCTGGTCGCTGGCGCGTCGGTCCGTCTTGTCACCTAGATCCGCCCTTGTAGTTCTTCCGTCTCACAAGGAGATCGGTTGTTCAATGGTAATCGAGATCTAAATGGCATATGATCGAGATTCGGTGTACAACCCGTCTTGGACAAGAAAAGGAGGGTGGTGTGCAGTGTCTGGTCGCGCCAAGCCTTAAACGGCTTTGCATATTGGGTTGTCATCGTGGCCTCACATTGAATACGTCTATATGTAGTAATATTGCTGTGATTCTGACGCACCAAAGCATAGTGAGATAATACGAGACGTGCAATCTAATTAGCTCACGTTGTTTAATTTGACTCAGAGCTACGGGTGAGCTGTTACACCTGCCTGTGAGATTACCCTGGACCAGCCGCGGTGATAACTGTTGAGTACTATTCGTAATGACTGACTGGGAACATGTCGAAGTATAACATATTGGATCAAACTAAATAAACGAACATTACCTAGGGAACTTGAGCGTGGTTTATCACACATGGCTGTTCTACAGTTCCATTATCCGTGACTTTAGCCAATACAGTAGCCAAATCGGCCGAGAAGTCGTATTCATTGAAACAATAGGGATTAATTTCAGGGACACTCGAATACTACTACTACTACCAAACTAGAAGTATAGTAAACAATTGGATGTACGGACAAATTAAGGTCTCCTCGTGCAACATATGAACGGTTGTTCGTACGTATAATTCCTCACGATGATCGACTTGGTAGGGCTGAGAAAGCATCGTGTTTATTCTCGTCTTATTCCCTAAAACCTCACTATCCGATTCGCCACCCATCTCCATTGTCATGAAACTGTAACTCAACAACAAAGATCAAGAGCTCGCAAATGGTGCCTGTTTTAACACCACCAAGATAAATACATATCCACCATCAGACTTTCACCGCGTATGGCGAACTGGTACAGAAAATGAACCGGACTTTGATTTGACATACAGTTCGAGAGCCCAGCACGTAAAGCGACACCGATATGGGCTATGCAGGACTGTGTTGGATTCGAAGTCGGGGACATATCAACAATACCAGATCGCTAAAGACCGAGGATAACGCCCAGAATTTGTTGCGATATTCTCAGAACCATACACAATTTGCAAGGACTCTAAAACAGATACCCAACATAAAAAAAGCTGCGTAGCGAAACAGTCTAAGGAGATCAGAGTTTCATAGCTGATGTAGCCAGGAAAGGTTGATACCAGCCCAATGAATACCAAAATTGTGTAAGCCGGTTCTTTGGGGCATAATGCTAGTCATATCGCTTCTTATTCAGACGCCAAACCTCTATCAAGCAAAGCATCAGAATCGTCGCGTGAGAAAAAAGCGCCGTTCAGATAACCACCTGCCTACATACCAAACATAAGTCACTTAATATCACGCCATCTTCAGATCTCAATCTTCGACAATCGTCTGATAGATGCACGGAGAGACAAATTCTCAATGGCATTGAGATTTCACCGAGCTCAGCTTCCTATCTGGCTACCTAGGTGTTTCAATTACCCCCAACGGCTAAACCTGGACGAAATCATTTCCTATATCGATCACCGTTTTCATTACTAGCCCGTCCGTTATATGCCATTTGTCGATAACACCCGCCGGAATATCATGCAGAGATACTATTCTCCGAATAACAACATCGCACCACGATGGCATTTACCAGCCTCCATCGTCACCGCCAACGGTCTGAACAGCAGCGCTGTCATTAGCTCCCCATCCGTCGCCACCGCCATCGGCCTCTTCAGCCGGGGGAGCCTTGCACCGGACCTTGGTATGCCCGTACTCCTGGCAGTTGGAGCACTGGACCTTGCTCCCTACATGCTAGTTAGCTACGAGAATTGACAACTTGAACCAAGAATGACTTAAAATCTCTTGGCAGAGGGCACTCCTTGCTGAAGTGACCGACCTGGTCACAGTTGCGGCAGGTCACAGTTGACATGTCTCGGGGCTGGTCACATTCCTTGGAGATGTGTCCCTCTTGGCCACAGTTTCGGCAGGCACGACCACCACCCTGAGGGCAGTCCTTGGCGAAGTGTCCAACTACAACAGTTAGGAGCCGACTGATGAATGTATACAAGATGAACATACCTTCGTTGCACTTGCGGCATTCGACGTTCGCCGGGTTGGGAGGCTCCTCGCAGTCAGCGACCTTGTGGCTGGATTGACTATGGAAATCAGCTGCTGTCGGATATCAGATCAGTTGCTAGAAATACTTACCCGCAGTTCTTGCAAGCATTCTTGTCAACGCGAGGCTCGGGACCTGAGAAGTCAGCATCAAACCAGTCGGTCAGGGGACTATAGGCCCAACTTACAGTCTCGGACACGGTGACCATCAGCGCCGCAGTTGTAGCACGCGATCTTGGGTGCGTCGGTGCGTTCCATCTTCTCCTGAGTGCAATACTTTGAGATGTGACCCAGCTCCTTGCAGTTGGAGCAAAGAGGGAGACCTCGGTCCACAATCTCACCAGCGTCGTCCAGGCGCTCGAGGATTTCCTCCCGGTTCTTGGGCCACCCCTCAATCTCCCGGGGACGGTCGGCCTGTTCGGTGAAACGGTAGGAAACAGTGTACTTCTTGTCGACATTACCCTGAAGATCCATGTTGGTGAAGACCTGAACAAGGGTTCGCTCAGTGGAAATGAGCCAGAGACCAATGGCATTGTCGATGAAAGCCTCCTGAAGCTGGCGGTAGGTGATTTCGCCATGCATAGACTTGATGTATTCGTTCACAGCTTCTTTGGCGTCGTCGACATCTCGATTGGCAACTGCCGCCTTGATCTTCTGCCAAGCAGTCTCGGGGTCCACGTCGGCAATGTGATCACGGTTGATCTTGCGAGGCTTCTCGCAGTTCTTGCGGAAGTGGCCTAGATATGTGAGCTCAGAATCATAAAGGTATCAGTGAAACAAACCTTCTTCACCACAGTTCTCGCAGACCATGACTGGAGCCTCGGGGCAATCCTTGCGCATGTGACCTTCCTTCTTGCAATAGCGGCAGGTCATCTCCTGGGGGTTAGGACACTCGGCACGACGGTGACTGTAATGCATTAGATGGTTTATTTTCTGTGATGGATTGATTCCTTACTTAGTCTCGCCGCAGCTAAAACACTTGTCGTCGCCACCAGGCTGGCCGTCTCCGAGGCCTTCGGCACCATCAAACCCAGTACTGCCAAATCCAGCATCGTTGGTGAAATCGTTGCTAGTAAGGTTAACTGGGATGCTCAAGACCACCACGTCTTACAAGAGATATACATACTTGTTGTGGCCATCATCACCATAGCCGTTGGTAGAGCCACCTTGATCGTTACCCCAATCAGCCATGATGGTTTCGTTGGGATGAAAGGTACTCGTGCGAAAGGAGTCAGACTGCGCATGCGTTAGAAAGATCAAAGGAGCCGCCCAATTTGCAAAACAAAAAGTGATGAAGCGACACAGTATAGGAAAATAGAAGGAAATATAGAAAGAAAAAGAGTGTATGTGATCGAGGGATCAGGGCCTGTCTGGCCTGAAAGAAAGGTCGTGAAGTAAAGACAACCTCCACAGGCTCGAGAATGGTAGGTACCACAACCCCAAACAGCAGTACCAACTTCAAAGTGCTGGTCTTCTGAATGTGCAATAGGGAGAAAGAAGAGGAAAAAGAGTTAGTGTGCACATACGTTGAGAATTGAGGATCAGGTTGATCGAGCTGCTTGGGACCCAGATAGGTAATTGCAGCGGATGCCTGCAGTGGTTGGTGCGAAATGCGGGAACGAATGACGATAGGCAAGAAAGAAAGAATAACCTCTGCTCAAGTTTCGCTCAACAATGGCAACAAGGCACGATAAATCTGTGCTTGATGCAGAGTGTTGACGGAAAAAAGTGTGCGGTTGAGGAAGGGAAGAGAAGAAGAAGGGAAAAGGGGGAGATGAGAGGTAGGAAATATAACCTAAGGAAGGAAGGAAAAACAGTGAATCACTGTTGCCTGGAGTGATCGCGTTTGGAAAAGAGCACGCGTTTGATTTTGGGAGAAGGTGAAGCCAAGGCAGGAAGAAGTGACGGCTGCCGGGAGCTCCCAGCTGGCAGTCACTTTACCGCAGTGCAGGCACGGTATGTAAGAGCAACTGCCTGTTATTCAAAGCACAGACTTCAAGCAAATGATAAAACAAAGAAAGTTTAGTTATCGTCAAAGGAACAAGTTGAATCACAAAGGCATACTTGCATTTGGTTTACAGGAGGTTATACTGGCTTGGCCAAGCTAGTTCAATCAATCTAAGACTATGTTAATAGACATACTTAACATACTTCCTTTATAGATAAATAAATCATTAGACTAATACTATAAATATATAGTATATTAATACCAGAATTATACTTAGAGATACTTAAGCATTAAGCAATAGGCTATACAAGGAAGTCTTATTATCCCTTTATCATATATCTCATATTTCAGATGCACATATCCGGCATGTCGAACTGCGAAGAGAGGAAAGTTACTCTATCCGAGACATACATTTAATTAAAGAACCATTAAGCAAAGATGCTCCAATAGACTACCTATTGGCTGAAGCACCAAGTTGTCTTAAAGTTCTAGTGTGACACCAGAACACAGATCATCACCAGGCAAACGGTAAACCTGAGAAGTTTCAGACACAATCAACCAACCACAAAACAGCATCGGCATTCACTCCCGACCCCGGAAAGCGCATCTCCACAAACGCACATAGAAGGCAGTCCAGAATTTTAGAACCAGGATTGCGGTCCTGTCGGCGGACATTTCCGCTCACGAGACCACAAAGCCCAGAAGCCAGGAGTAACAAAGGTCAACCTATCGCAACCATGCATATTAGAGCCCAACGAGCAATCGTCCTTTGTCGGATTGGCCCGATGTCGCCCGCTGTCCGTTTTCGACCCGTACAGTACCTAGAGTACAGACCTGAGCCGTGGGTAGAGGTCGCAACCCGTTCCCCCACCGTTGGTTAGGTAGATTACCAATGATCATATGTCAGCCGAAACCAAAGTGTTGGTAGAGGACAAAAGAGAGAAAAAAAGTAGAGACGTGAAATTATAGAATGACCGGAAGGGCCGAGTCATACGGTTGACATGCAATATGGTCAATCTGAGATTATGAATTTCTTGCATCTCCGGGGAGCGTAATTACTAGCCAGGAGATAGTAATTCTTAGAGGTTGCTTTGTTATCAACTTATCAGCAACTGCACCACATCTTTGTTACCACTGCAGCATCCATGAGGAAACGCAATGCTGCGGGTGTGCTCCGCGCCTCCGCAGTCGGAATAAGGGCCCTTGAAATCCATGGACTGGAAACCCCCGCCGTGGAAAAGCAAAAGGCGACCCCGCAATACTGATATCAGATGTAATACCGTTCATCTGATAGTCATACCACACGGTACGATTGCTGGTGTATCAGCGTGGATCGTACAGTTAAAAAAGGATCTCACACGGAGCCGCTGTTTGCATTTGACTAATAGGATCCGGTACATACTACCAACGGCATCTGAGTCAAAAGTCAGGGCCTAACGTTACCATCATATCTTAAAAACGTCCAGTCCATCCTCGTACAACCTTTTTTACTTTTTTCTTCTTTTTCGCTCCCTAAGATCTCATTCATTTTATTGTCTATTGTCTGCGATACTATACCACAATGGCGCCCGCGACCATCACGATCGATAACAGCGACGACTTCGTCATGCCTGTCACAAAGTCTGCTCAGTCTACATCGCCACCCAAGCGAACACTTCTTCTGGCACCTCCCTCTCTCGCTGCCAACGCGGACGCCCTGTCAACCGTCCTCGCGGATTATGACCGCTCCATTACCGACCTCCAGATGTTAGACCGTCTATCCGTGGGATTGGTCACCCTGCCTTCCTCCACCTACGACCTTGTCCTTGTCCTCTCCGATGCGTCTTCCAAGCTGGACGAGTCCCTCACACTGATGAAACGAACCGTTCTGGGCCCGGTTGCTGAATCTTTGAAGCCCAGCGGCCGCCTACAGTCTCAAAATGGCATCAATTTGGAGGAGCCAACTTTGTCAAAGGAAGCAGTCCTGGCTGGCCTTGTGTCGTCGCATGGCGGCTTCGAGAAGCCCGATTATGGCGACAATGATGGAGCCGTCACATTGAAGTTCGGCAAGAAGAAGACTCAGCCTGCTCCTTTGGCAGATGGCTCTGTTCCGCTCAACCTCAAGAGGAAGCCTGTGGAGGCCGCTCCCAAGCCCGTGATTCCCGCTGGTGTTGGTTTCATCGATTTGGAAGACGACCTCGATGATGATGACTTGATTGATGAGGATACTCTTATGACTGAGGAGGATCTTGCCCGCCCTATTGATATCCGTGAGTTCCTCTGCAAACTTGTGCACAAGAAGACTTGATTCTAACATCTCAATAGCTGCTGAATGTCTACCAAAGGTTGGCAAGCGTCGCCGTGCATGCAAGGACTGCAGTTGCGGTCTTGCCGAGCGCCTTGCCGCTGAAGACGCCGACAAGCGTGCCACAGCCGACAAGCAGCTCGAGAGCATCAAGCTCGCAACCGACGACCTGGCCGAGATCGACTTCACAGTGCAGGGCAAGGTTGGCTCGTGTGGCAACTGCTCACTTGGCGATGCTTTCCGATGTGATGGATGTCCTTATATCGGCCTTCCACCCTTCAAGCCAGGTGAAGAGGTCCGGTTGCTCAACAACGATGTGCAACTATAAATTGGTACACTTTCTTTTTCAGGGACGAAGGCGCAGCACTGCAGGCGTATACACAAAATTTACTTGATGGATTGGTTGTTTTGGGGGCATTGGGCAGTATAACAAAGGCTTCAACATCACAAAGCCAGGAAGCAAATGGGAGGGTTTACACGGAGCGCTCTTGATCTAGACACGGAGTTGTTGGCGTAGTATTGGACCAACTTAGATGATGGCAAAGAAATGATTTTATTGAACGATAAACCAAAACAAACGCCCAACTTCCCAAGTGTGACATGGCGGAACCACCCTATGCAAAACGAACAGAAACCTAAACGCCAGTCAAGTATACATAGCTGTGGTGAAGTGTTCTAGCAGCAAGACAATGTGCATGTTATATCTCGATCGTATCTATTCGGCGTACTTGGTGACAAACTTCTCGCTACCATCTTGGTTCCTTGGGAACCTCGCGCTTGTGCTGGTGCCTGGTGTTGTCACATGCAAGTCATCAAGTTCGCTTTCATCGAAAGCGGCAGACTCGAGATCGCCGGGCTGCGACTTTGCTCGGTGTCCAGTAGAGCGCCGGGAAAGATCGTGGTCAGCGAGAACAGAGTACGCAGCACCCTTGCGACGTTCGCGCCAGATCCAGTATCCCCAGGCGATGGCGCCAATGACGACAATGACCAAAACAATCTCGCCAGACTTGTAATAAGCTGCCCACTTGGCTTCATCCAGTTGCTTCTGATGTTCTTGTTCAGCAGCGTTCTGAGTGCTGTTCTTAGCACTGCCAACAGTGGTTTTGGGCCCCTTTTCGCCATCAATGAGGCTATCAGCAGGATCACCACCAACACTGCTGATATCCACACCCATGAAGCGGTCCAACATATCCCGGCTTCGGCGCGGGAGGTCAAAAGGAACCATGTGTGAAGAGTTGTAGACCAGAACGTAGGTCAGGTTTCGGGCCTCTTGCCAGAAACCAGCCGTCTCACCCTCGAAATCCCAATCACGGCGGGGAGCCCAATTGCCGGGTGTGACCTCAAAGCCCTTTCCACCATTCCATTCCATCTTGTTAATCATGTTTTCGGTTCCAATGTGGTTGCAGATGAGATCCTCAGCTCCAGAAAAGAGCATGATAGGAACTTCCTTGAGAAGATTGGGCAGGAGCTCGACGGAGGGCTTCGAATTCTTTGCATTGAAGGCGCCTCCAACAGCACCATTGCACTCAGTCCATCCAACAGATTTCTTAATAGTATCGACGTGAAGAGCGCTAGTCACCTCGGGTTTCCTCAAGTAGGGGGTCAAGTGCACCAGATCCGGGGGCCAGTTCATGCCACAGCTGGGGTAGGAGTCCTTGAGTCGTACGTCGTACATGTTGACGCATGCGTCGTCGCCGTCACCCTTCTTGGTCAACTTGAGCATGTTGGAGAGGATGCCTTCGCACTCTCCATAATCTACATGACCAGCGTCCGAGGCCATCATCTTTTCGCAGCTGCGCAGATCGGCTTGGAGTTTCTTGTGGTCGTCGGAGTTTTTCTCGATGAGGCCCTTCTCAATGCCGTATGTGATGTAAGCGGGATACTGCTCTGCTGGAGAAATCCAGCCATTGCCGATCAACAGTCCTTTCAGGTTCCATGCGGTTTTGGGGTCCTTCTTGTTCCGGTCGAGGATAGCCCTGGCGATGTAAGGGATGTGCTGTCCAGCATAGGACTCGCCTGCGATGTAGATCTAGATTATATCAGCAAGTTGATGTTCACATGGAGTCAAGTTCTACTCACGTCATCGGTGTCGTATTGAGGAAAGAGGGCAAACCACTTCTCGAGGAAGATGACGAATTGGTCGGCCATCTCCTTAAGTTCATGAATATAACTGTTGGTATCAACGGAGCTGAAACCCGTGCCGACGGGGTTGTCGACGAAAAGAAGGTTGGCGAATTCGTTCCAGGAACCATTGTTATATACCAAGTTGTCCTGATCCTTAAGTCGATAAGGACCGATTTCCATCATGGAACCATCTTCGGAACTGCAGCCTGGCCCACCGTTGATCCAAATCACGGTTCGCTGTTTATCGGCAATGTGCTGGTTCTCGAAATGCCAGAAGAATAAATTTCCATGCGATTCAGGGGTGACTTCGATATGGCTAATGCGAACAGACGCGTCAGCAGAGAGCACAGGGAGGAAACGTAATAACTTACCCAGCATGCATGTTGACCTTGGGCCCATCAGCGGGCAGGCCGGGAAGGTTGCGAACATAATAGTCGGCGGCGGCAGCTTTTGTTGAGGTTGCTGGATTCACGGCAGCGACCAGAGTCGGTGCAAGGGTTAAGGAGAGTAGAGCGGCCCATCGTCTCGGAGACGGGATTATCGATATGAGAGCCATGATGTATAAAGTTGCGGACGAAAGACGCCGCGGGCGATGGTGGAGGAAACAGAGGAAGCAAAATATCCTGTTGCCAACCAATAAATAAATAAAAACAGGAAAGAATTTCAGGAAACGGATGCCCTGCCTGGCGACGAAGACATGAGCAAGCAGAGTTGCGACTGGAATGGACGGTCTTGAAAGATAAAGGGACAGTTGCAGGAGAGATGAGGTGGCCTTGGGACTTGGGACCTGGGACCCCGGGTTCTAGTGGGGGCCATGCTGTAGCTTCCGCTGTAGTATTAGTGGCGGTAGAGCTTTGATGCTGGTCGCAGTTGCCCACCTATCCGAGCTTGGCGGTGCGCCCTGGTTGCGGTTCGCTGCTATCCTTCCGCAAGAAGCAGTCTCAGGGGTCCGTATCCACTAACAGCAGCCTCCAATTTTGGGTTCCATGTTTCTCGGAGCTGATGAACCCGAGCATTTGAGAAGGTTTCGAACCGAGTATCACGTATACGTACCTCAAACATGGAAGTGCATATCTTGTTGTTTCGTTGTTTGTTATTCAGTACATCACTTGAGATATGATTAAATGTTTGTTTTGGTTGTATTGAAGTTAATGTGGCGCTGTGAAAGACACTATTGGGTTGTCAATAGGAGCGGCTTCTTTGCTGTGGTTACACAAAACCATGCATTACTCACGGCTACTACCGGAGAATTCAATGTTTATTTCCTCTGGTCATGTTCAATTAATCAATCTTTCCAGTGTTAACACTCATTATAGTCAATCACTTACCATAGTCTTGAATCACACATTCAGTCTACTCACATTGCATAACTGTTGAAGCGGGACACACAAGAAACTGTGCCTCCACTGACGATCACTAGATTCCTTCCATGCTTCAAGCTATCGGTTGGAATTTTCAAAACCCTCTCTTACCAGCCAATCAACGCCATCACACTCTTTTGTGAAGCCTCACATAGGTAGACAACCAAAAGAGAACTTGTTCTCTCTCAATAACTATCAAAGAAAGAAATCGATACTTTGATATTCACCACCAAAATTTGCCTAGTGCATTCACCGCATTGATACAAACTCAACGTTGCCCCTCATTGCAGAACAAAGAAAAATGGCAGCTCCCGGCAAGACTTTTATTGTCGAGCATCTCGACCCTGAACTAGGCCCTTGGTCAGAGCTTGAGTATCTCGCCATTGCTCGTGAGACTCAGGATACCAACGGCTCTTTTATCCTTTCCAGTTTGCCTCCTACTTTCAAGGTTCCAGCAGACCTCGCCAGCAACCCTGCCTTCACTGCCGAGCAGCGTGGCGTTGAGGAGCTTTATGCTGCCAACAAGTCCAAGGTTTGCCTGCTTGATCCATCTGCCGCTAAGGACCTTTCTCCTGAAGATGGTGACACCTTTGATGCCTTTTTGTTTGGTGGAATCCTCGGTATGTTCTGAAGCCGGACTCAGAAAGCAATGGAGAGAGCTGTTGCTAACATTTCATGTTCAATTGACAGGCGATGATCCCCCACGAGGTATGTGTTTCTTACAACACAGCACTTACTCATGCCAACTAACCGGAAACTCTAGACCGTACTTCAGAGCTCCGAAAGAAGGGCTTTGAGGGTCGCAGACTTGGCCCCAAGCAAATGACGACAGATACTGCTGTTCGAGTTACCCGTATCGTTGTTCAAGACAAGGGTTTGTTATACTCATGCTTACCCCTGTAACTCACAAGCTCACCATATATCAGTGCCTGTTGACCAGGTCCCTTACCTGGACTTCCCCGAGCTCAAGTTCAATGAGCACGAGAGCACCGAGATGCCCTTCCGCTATGTCAAGGGTGAAGATGGCAAGCCTATTATGCCTAAGGTTTGTGAACTCGAATGGTTGGACAACGTTGCCAATCATAAGCTAATACTCTGACTTCTGTAGGGCATGGTTGAGCTGATCCAGAAGGATTCCGATAAGGCAGTGAATGACCTTTTCTAAGTACAAAAATAGTCTGGTGAATATATTGTCAAGTCAGAAGAAACTTGGCTGTCGGTTGATACACAAACCTTGCTCAGCACATGCCAACCCCATATGGAGTGGTGAATCACGAGTGAAGCTCCAACCATGGGCAATAAATCCAGCGATTTACTTTCTGCGTGATGAAAATGCGATCATCATAAAACCGTCTAGTCAATTCACGAGTCGCTTGGACATTATCATGTATTCTCATACACACAACGCCTCATGTCTCCAAATTCTAGTTCAGCGCCATATATGTTTCAAATAAGTCTGCTATCAAATATCATAAGTCAGCAGAGCTGGAGAATACCCGAAACGTCTAACAATTGTTGTCCTTACACAATATTCTGACATTCTCAGACCTTAAAATTCACCCTACATCAAAGTAAATATCGAAAACATATACTTAGGCACTTGATGATATAAGACTAAACAAACAAGTAAATTCTCCCGTTCAAGTTTTTAAGATGAATCAAGCTATATTTTATTACTAAATTTGTATGAAATTCTCCCAAAGCATCTGACGGTTCTGAGGCATGATGAAATGCAGATAGACGGACAGAGATGCAACAAACGAGGGTTTTCTACAACAGTAGCCAATCGATTGGCCTGTACACTAACACAGCAACAAGCCAAATCGTGAACAACCCTACTTCACGTTCTCATGATAGATCGTGAGTAGAGAAATTTTATGATGCTTTCATATCTTACAAAGTCCAGGTCATTGCTTGGCCGAAAGATTTCCCAATGGCCTCGATGCTACTCCCAAGGCACATCACGCGCATTAGATCCTCTGCGCATTCTCTTCTGCGGCTCGGATGAGTTTAGCTGCGCTTCTCTGAAAGCTGTCTATGAAGAGCATAGCCAAAACAAGGGATTGATTGAATCGCTAGAGGTTATGGCTCTGCCGCCAAAACGTTCAGGAAGAGGGTTTTCGTCTCTGAAACAAGGTAAGTCAAAAGATTGACAAAGTTTAATGACATGAGACTCATGATACAATATAGTGCCTTGTAATTTACTAGCAGAAGAGTTGGGATTGAAAATACACCAGCAAGCAACGTTCAAAGGGTGGAATGTAAGCCTTAAACCCCCGTGGACTGAGTTACGAATCAGTTACTAAACCCTTCTAGCTACCTGAAGGAACAGATCTAGTGATTGCTGTGTCGTTTGGACTTTTTGTACCGCCAAGAATATTGGGATCAGCCAAGTACGGTGGTCTTAATGTGCATCCTTCTCTCCTCCCCGAGTAAGTCTTGTGTCATGCTCACCAAACCGAGAACCTAACACTGGCAGCCTCCGTGGACCTGCTCCAATCCACCATGCGATACTAAGGGGAGACAGTCATGTCGGTGTTTCATTACAAACACTGGACGACAAATCCTTTGATCACGGAACCGTGCTATCCCAAACTCCGCGCCCTGGGATACCAGTGCCATCAGACTGCACAGTTCAAGAACTCACAGATCTCCTTGCTCCAGTCGGAGCCCAGATGCTGGTACAAGGCCTACGAGACGGCGTATACGTACCGCCACACCAGAATAGAGGATGGAAAGGCGAGGAGCTTGACCAAGGGCAGCTCATTCATGCGCCAAAGATTAGCAAAGCTGATGGACATATCAGGTGGTCCAGCTGGACGGCGGATAACATCGTGCGAGCGATAAGAGTCCTAGGGTCCGTTTGGACAGAAGCCGTCAGTAAGAAGGGAGAGAAGAAGCGTCTGATTTTCCAAGACGCCGAAACCGTGTCCCCTGACAATGTTAAGATCGATGGTACTACAGTTCGTTTTATAGGTCATGGGCCAGGTTCATTCAGCGCTCTCGTGTCAGACCAGGGTGACGGTAGCTATGTTATTAGGACTTCAGACGATAAAATGATTCGGGTGAAGAAGATCAAAGTAGAGGGAAAGCCGGAGCGACCGGCTGACGTGGCACTGAAGCCCTACATCGAAGTTTAAAATAAAATATCTAGATTTATACATAAATACGTGGTTCATTTACATTTCTATTAGATTCGAGCAACATATCATGGTCTCAAAAAGAAAATGGCGGCGCGGTTCATCAAGTTCATTTTCATATATTGCAACATGAAATCACTCCTGGGGTATCATTCGAGTCCATCCTCCATCTGAGTACGTCAAGTCTCAACATCTCATGCGAGTCTTGTACGAATCCATTCTGCCCATTTGCACAGGTCCTCCATGTGTTCCAGCACCTTACCCAGGTCCGCCCGTGTAAGTTCCTTACCCTGTCTCTTTTCACTTTCGACACGAGGAAGAACGTTTTCTTCAGCAATCTCGACAACTCCATCCTCCAGGATCTTCAGAGAGATATTGGCGATCGAGTTCTTGAAGGGAAAGACAACCTGTAGGTGAGGCATTGGATGAACCCATAGAGTGACGTCGAATTTCAGCTCCGGGGAGGAGGGAGATGCATTGTTGTCAGAAACAGAGGCTGATTTCATAAAGTCTGCCAGCTCGTCCCGGGTAGTGATGTTAGACTTGGGTGGACGTACCGCGGCATTCCCTGGCTTAGGTAGCGGCCCAACCTCTTTAGTCTCCGACCCAAAGCTGTTCTCAAGCAAAGTTGAAAGGAAAGCATACTGTCGAAGAAGTGGGAGCATATAGATAAGCTGTTGGGGATGAGAGAAGGGGATCTCAGTAACCCTGTGCGAGTATACCTGCTTATAAATATACAGCGTGTTGCGATGGGGTTTGACAGCCAATTTCTGATCTTTGTCGTAGATACGGACGTCGCGTTTACGGGAGATTGCGCGGAGCTCACTAGGGTCCTGACTGCTGCCTGAAGGTATGGGAAAGAGCAGACTGTCAAAGGTTGGCAAGTATCCGTAAAGTTGCGGTGCCTTGATGTTGATAATGTTGTATAAGTGCGACCAATCGTTGTGAGACATAATGATTGGCGGGTCAAACGTAGCAGTGAACATGACTTGCGGTACCCTTGCTGTGGAGAGGTCAGGCTGAAGCACTTCCATTCCTGCATTCTTGTTCTCTTCTGTGGATGGGAGCACAACGTTGCCGGGCTGTTGCCAATCCAGATTGGGCCGCTTGGGATCCATTGAGGGTTCTGCCTTTACAATGTCCTTGGAAATCCAGTCCTCGGAGACTCGCACAGGCATCACCTCATCCACTATCGGAGCACATCCGATAAGGAGCGACCAGACTTGTTCTTGAGATGCAGTGAACAAAGCCATCTGCTCATTTGTTGGCTCGATGTGGCGAAGAACCTTCCAATATTGCAGTGCTACTCCCACTCTATCTTTTGAGTGCATGACGGGGCAGCCATGTCGTGCGCACATTGCTGCTGTGGATAAGGCGCTGTTGGACTTGTTGCTCATTCCTGGCTCTTCGCGAAGCTTAGCCACATCCCACTGATGAAGTTTTTCCAGGCTCGCATATATGCCCGTTATTGCTTCATGGCAATCGAGTCCGGGAATGATACTGAGCTTATCCAGAACAGCTAAACGCTCAAGGTTAACTGCGAACTCATCGAGGGTTTTCGTCAATGGACTCTGATTCGGGAGCAGTTGCAAGTCTTTTAGAAGAATTTCACTTGCTCGGCTGACGTGCTTCGTAACCGATGCAGCAGATTCTGGAAATGCAAGAGAAATATTTTCGACGATATTGTTGTCCAGAATGATGTCCAGCTGAATAGCCGAACCTGCTATAACGAGAGTTCTTTGTTTTCGGCCGTCAGGTGCTGTGGTGTCTTCCGAGAGGCAGTCGAGCCCTATGCGCTGGGCCAGACGTTCCAGACCAGCCTCGCTTACGAGTCCCTTCTTTTTCTTGGTCGAGTTAGTAGAGCAAAAGAGCATAAAGAATAGGACACGCATACATCCAAGGTTGCGATAATCGCTTCCAACCGCTTGAGCTTGTCGTCCTCGTTTACGAGAGATGGCAATCCACTCAGATTTCCAACATCGACATTGTTCAGGTTCACGTCAAGGCCGCCTGCAATTCCAAGAGCGCCCATAGCAGCAGCCGTGGAAGGGCTATCGAAGTTCAGGGGGACATTAGACATGTGCGCCATGAGTGATGATGCGGCAGGCGACTTCTTGAACTGCTGAGGCGAAGATTTCGGCCCTCGAGGGGAGAAAGCAGCGTGAGCGGGGTTCGAGAAAGGTGTCGACACGGGAGGAGTTGCGGCGGCGAGTTGCGAGGGGGTGCGGCCTTGTTGTGAAGCGTGCTTCACAGCTGTTGGTGTCGCCATTGTGAAGATACCAGGGCCCTCTTTGTGAGGGCTCGAATCGCGCGATGTTTGCTAGAGGAATGGCAGGAATGAATTGAAGAAGAATATGCGTTTTATATGAGTAATTTATACTGGAAACTATCAGTGAAGCACTTGCGATGAAGAAGTTGAAGGATGGAGGTTGGAAAGTCAAACATGGAGTAGCTCTACTTGCACAGCTCGGCCCCACCAAAGCCGACAGTGGAGGACCCCTGGTCCATCATCTCAGGACCTACAGGGCCTTATCGTTAGTAGAACTCAAAGATTTGGGCGGAGCCTTTCTTCAACACTGAATTTCCATCTCACAGTGATGGCTTCCTCTGGAAATCTTTCCCGCACAGTAGCTCGTGCTGCTGCTCAAGTATCAGAGTCTTCAATTCGTACTTCTGCAACAAGATCCAATAGATATGAGCTCCAAGAGCGATCTCTATATCTTTGGGTTTGGCCTGCACCCGTCAACTCTACAGAGAGGCGCTCAATCTTAAAGGCACTTCAACAACATGGGCCAGTCGAGTATTTTAAATGGCTACCAGTATGACTATTCCGAGTTGTTGTCTACATATGGGACAAAACAGCTGACCACATTGTTCTGCAGGGCCAGGGTTCTAGTAAAGTCTTGGGTTCCATCTACATATCTTTGATGAAAGAGAGCCAAGATGCTGCCAAAGCTATTTCTTCCAGTCCAATCAGCATTACGGTTCCCAAGTCTAGCACAGAGACAATATCTGTTGTCAAAATAAATGGTCGCAAAGCAGAGTTCCAGAAGCAAGACTCTTCAAAAACAGGGAGTTCCGAATTTGTCGTCGAAATTTCCGAGACTCTCACATATAGACATGAACAAAGCGCCAAAAACTCACCTTTGACCAGACCGTGGCCTGAGTTTGTTGTAAAGTCTCCAACGCTCGCATCCAAAACTCTACAGCACTCTCTTCCAGACAGCATCGCGGCCGTTGGCTTGAGGCACTGGGATGTGGACTTGGGTGTGCAAGAAGTGGCAGACAACAAACGATTTGAAAGAGAGCAAATGCGCAATTGGCTCCCAAGCAAGATAGCAGATCTTCCCCCGAAAGCGAAAGCAGAACACGGTCAAAACGAAACAACACCCATGGATGGTTCGCCAGGGGCTTCGATACAGACTTTGCCCGGGATTTCCATTGGCAGCTTGATAGAAAAGACGGCAGAGGAGTCAACGGAGGAGTCAACAGAGGTTTCTGCTAATGAGATCGCAGAGACTTCAACGGAGACATCCGCAGAGATCTCGGTAGAGGAGTCAACAGCGTCGTCGACACAGGACTCCACTGAGGTTACAACAGAAAATTCGACGCAGAGTGTGGCAGAGAAGTCACCTGAAGGTCAAAGAGACAACAATCAATAGTCTTGGGCCTTCAACAGCATCTGAACACTCAGAGAGGGAGCCACGTAATACCACTTATGAGAGCCAAGACTGAGATATCAACATCGGGCCCATGGCTTAGGCGGCACTTGCGCAACACGTTACTAGTGTTCCCACCATATTAACTCAGCCATGTTGAGACAATCACTTTTTTTTTTTTGGGAACACAACGCAGATCATGGCCGTTTTGTTACAGAACGCAGCGCAAAACGAAAATGGGAATAACCACACTTACACATCTTTCCTACTCTGAATATTATACAGTACATGGTGAAATAAGCAAGGTTTAACTAACAAAGATGGTTCGTGTTGGAATAAACTAGAGATTCCAAGCAGCTTCCGAGGAACCGTTAGTCTTGGTGTACTACTCGCTCTTCAAGTTCTCTAAATCATTCAATTCAATTGCCAAGATGGGAAGTGACGTTGGCATCGGAAAACGGGAGAGCTTCCTACATACGTACACGCAGCAAAAACGCTGGAGCAAGGATCCCAAGTCTGGTTTGGTGTGGTTTCACCTGGTCCGAAATGCAGGGTCATGATCGAGAGAGAGACAAGACCCCCCAAAACAAGAAATTTGGAGCGGCCCACAACTTGGCATGATGAGCCACGATTCGACCAAAGCCACTTGACTCTACGTCACTTAAACTAGGTTCTGGAATCGGCATCTTGCGAAGAGGAAGCTATACCGCGAATTAGCAGGGCTTGGCTCTGATCATGGCGGATTTCGGCACACACGACCGCTGGAACAAGGCTTGGTGATGACGTCTCACGTAACAGTCACTGCAACTTGCTGCAGTTATGCTGTGTTGGTTGAAGGTTCCTGGCATGGCATCATGACCCGAAACGAGGGTGTTCTCACACAACCTGTATAGCTATAATATCTCGGCCTTCCTCCTCGGTTTGTTGTTTGGAATTTTCGTATCAGAACAACCAATATACCCATTTCGCTATTGATATCAAGAGATTCTTGACTTGAGCGCAAGCCATCCCACCGCCATCACTACCACATATCACTTACACCACCACACCACTTCAAAATGGGTTTCGGAAGATTCATCCACTATATTGGCGCCTTCTTTCTTTTGGCAGCAACAGTGATGCTCGTCGTCGTGAGCATCACAGCTCCTGTGGTTGACCACATTGCTCTTCTCAAGGTCCGATATGGAGGAGATGGCGTCAATTATGGTACATTTGGTTATTGTCAAATGCGAAGCGCCGGCAGGTAAATATTTTATCATCCAAATAAACATGTTCGCCAACTAACAAACTCATAGTAATAGTTGCTCAAAGGCTCGCATCGGCTATGACCCTACCGACGCTTTCAACGGCCTCGATCTGTCCGAGATTGGCTCTGGCACTGCAAAGGCCTTGACTTATGTCATGGTTCTGCACCCCATCGGTGCTGGACTTTGCTTCATTTCTTTCCTTTTGGCTATTGGCGCTGGCATCTTTGGCTCGCTCATGTCGACTCTTATTTCCATCGCTGCCTTCCTTGTCACCATCATCGCTTTGGCTTGTGACTTTGCTGGCCTCTCCATCATCCGACGACGAATCAACCGCGACACCTCTGCCACTGCTAGCTGGTCTGTCGGTATCTGGCTTGTCCTTGCCGCCGCTATTCTCTGCCTCATTGGCACAATTGCCGTCTTCATCACCTGCTGCTCTGGCCGTCGCCGCAAGAGCCGTGAGCAGAAGAAGATGGCCGCTTACAGCACTTCTCCCACTCGTTACTAAACAACCTGTTCCCATCGGCAGCAACGCCGATTACACCACCAAATATTTCACTTTTCATCAAAAAGAGATGGACTAATTACAATGTTTGGAACACGCCAATACCCCAAAGTTTTCATTAACTGGAATATGAGATCACGAATTGTCTATTTATACGGAGTCTTTGTAGAGACGATACCAGTGTGGCGCATGTCACATTGACGATTTACTTTTGTTATTTATTTAAACTTAATACATATACCTCAAACATTACTCGACATCACCTTCATCGTGACACAAGTGACATGTCTGACATGTAACTAACTAATCAACCAGACGGGAGATATTAACACCGTCCCACAAGGGCAGAACAAACGTCTCAAGCCGAGAGCTCTTCAGCGCCATGTCGTTGAACTCTCGAATAGCCAAGATGCTTTCCACCTGGTCTCCCGGAAGCTCATCGTCACCGAGTGCCTTGTCATCGGCAACCAAGCCTCGACGCAGGACATTATCCGAGACAATGAGCGTTCCTGGGCGAAGAAGCCTGCTGGAACTACCGGGCTTCGATAGTTCGAGAAGTTGTTTCAGGTATCCAGGATAGCCAGTCTTGTCCGCGTCTATAAAGACAAGGTCATAAGGCTCAGAGGGGTTGAGCTTGGGGAGACTGGCCAAACACATTAGCATCGGTCGTATGAAACATGTTCTTGGAGCAACTTACGATTCAGAAGCGGAACCGATAATGATCTCTGCATTCTTGACGCCGTTTGCCTCAAAGACTTTCTTGGACAATTCAGCATACTCAGGCTCAAATTCCAACCCGGTAACAAGCCCATCGGGACCGACAGCATCAGCCCAGACAAGGGCGGAGAACCCAACATAGACGCCAATTTCAAGGACTGTTTACAAGCTTTAGTCGTTGTTCTCTTGTTCACTTAGACGAGTCGAGATATAATATTATTGGCTTACCCCTCTTGGCACCAGTGGACTTGACCAGAAATGTATTGTACTGAGATTGGAACACAGAGCTCATGTAGTTTGAGTCATCACGGTTAGCAGAGATGTCTGCATGATAATCGGTGATATACTTGGGCAACGCTGTTGAGTGTTGTTCCGCATAGTTTGTCACCGTCTGGCCCAATTGGGGCGAAGTGTAAAGAGGAACGCTATTGTCCTTCATTTTGAAAGTGTATATGAGTAATTATCTGGTTGATAACGAGAGAAAACATGGCAAAGAGTCTTTATATACACAAATGTGTTGTTGATCTCGCCATCTTCCCCTCTTGGGCCCACCAATAGAGCGATCCTATACGGTACGTTCGGCAACGCCCTCGGATTTAAGATACATTAGTACTTATAACAAAGGTCCGCTGAAGTCAGATCGACCTTCAAAGATCAGGTCGGCGATATTCACCGTGTATCCGATGCTTATTCCGAAGAATTTACCACTTTGTAGTGACCTTTTGTCATTATTCACATGAGTAACGAATGAGTGTACATATCAAGTAAAACTAAACGAGTGGACAATCAATTGAAGAACTGTACAGCTGTCTACATACACAATTCAAGATAGTGAGAACGGCCATCCTCCAATGATCTTATGACAAGAAAAGAACAGAAAAAAAAAGACATGACAGACCAAGATCCTTCTCTCTACCGAACCATTATGTCTTGTCTCAACATTCAACTTCCCTCACAAGTCTGAGGTTGGAGCTCAAAGGAGCATAACACCAACAATGCCGACAACAATGGTGCCGGCAATGGAGACTGTGTTGAAGTTGGCTCCGGACTTGGAGACAGTCAAGGGGACTCGGGGAGCCTCCTCAAAGCCATTGCCCTTGGGCGAAACCTGCTCAGGGTTCACAGGAACGGGAGCAGGGACGGGAACTGGCTTGATCTCCTCCAGCTTGGGCTGAGGAGCTGGGGCTGGGACAGGCTCGACCTTAGGATAGTAAGGCTGAGGAGCAGGAATAGGAACAGGCTCGACCTTGGGGTAATGAAGTTGAGGAGCGGGAGCGGGAGCAGGGCAGCCCTTGATCTTGTCGCAAATGTCCTCCTTCTTGGGCTCAACATAGTTCTTCTTGGGGTGCTCCTCCTTCTGGTACTTGACCCTGTCACAAATAGTCTCCTCATGCTTGTGCTGTCCATGACCCTTAGTGACCTTTCGGCAGATATCCTCATACTTCTCCTCCTTGGGCTCAACATAGACCTTGGGATATTCTTTCTGGTGCTTGACCCTATCACAAATGGTCTCTTCGTACTTGTGCTCTCCGTGACCCTTGGTGACCTTGCGGCAGATGTCCTCGTACTTCTCCTCCTTCTTAGGCTGCTCCTTGGGCTTCTCGATCTTGGGAGCTTCAGGAGCCTTGGTCTCCTTGGGGACGATGACAGTTACACCTTTGTGTGTGTAGGTCTTGGCACCATGATACTTATCATCAGTCTTCTCAGGAGCATACTTGGTGGTCTTGGTCTCAACCACCTCGCCCTCGTGGTTCTTACAGTGCCAGCAGCCGGGTTGAGCCCAGTCATCACCACACTTGTTGCAGGGCTTGTGGTCACACTTATCACCATAGCATCCGGGCTTGACCACGGGCTCATGGATCTTGGTGTAGGTATGATGCTTTGTGATAGGCTCGTGAACGTAATCGTACTTCTTACCATCAACAATGATGGGTTTCTTGTAGTCGTACACATCATAGTGATCGCCATGGTGCTTGTGATGTCCTGTGATAGTAGGCTTGTAGTAATCATAGGTCTTGTGTGTTTTGGGATCAGCGTTATAGTCGTGATGTTCCTTGTTGTACCCATGGTCGTAATGCTTGTTCTTGTCGTGCTCGTGCTCGTACTCCTTCTTCTTCTCCTTGACCTCGGGTTCCTCCTCCTCCTTCTCCTCCTCCTCCTCCTCCTCCTCTTCTTCTTCTTCATTCTTCAACTTTTTCTTCAAAAGCTTGAGCTTCTCGTAGTCTGCCTCGGATTGCATCTTCTCTTCCTCATTCTTATCATCATCCCAATCAAAGAGGGAACCGACGTCCTGAAAGCTTTGATCATGGTCCTGACCATGCTTGCCAACATCGGTCTCAGCCTCGCTCTGCCAGGAGAAGCGGTTGGCCTGGGCAAGACCGTTGACAATGGCCATGACGGCCAAAGCGTTGCGCATCATGATGAATGACTGAAAGATAATGTTGTGTACAAAACGATTGACTTGATGCAGATGAAGAACTATGTCTGAACTTTATTGCAAGTCAGAAGAAGCTGAAAAGAAAGTCTTAAGCACAGACAAACATCTGGTGAACGCGGTTGATTTATACTTGCGGCTTTGCATTATTGATGGCTGATGGAAGAGAATCCATTACGTTGCTCGCTCACATGCAAATGTTGCCCTCAGTTGAGGCAATAGGAGACACCGATTGCCTCAGACACATGAAGCCAACTCACCATAAATTCCTTTGCATTATGATATCGCATGATTAAACGACTTAATAATGAGACGATGGCACAGTTAGGCTTCAGAGGCGACCTCTCTCCATATTCATGAATATATCATGCGCATCACCGCCGGACAAAACGCCCAACAAGGTTTGTCAGCACCCATGACAACGGTGCGGGCAGGTCAGGTATTCGCAGGCAATAGGAGAGTGGCTCACACGAGAATGGCAGTGTTGAGGAAATGCTGGTACCTTTAATCCAATTGATGTTTCGATGCTACCGCTGAAAGACCGAGCATTACGTCCACCAGCTGCGCGACCCACAATGCTCGCTATTACCTTGCACAATCTCAACCCCTTCTTTTATTTTGCAATACCTCCCATTCTCTTTTATGCCGAAAATTGCCTTATCCGAACGCCCCTGATATCAGCCGAGCAAGTCAGGCCCGCGGTAGTTATTCCGTCTCTGCTTCTCCAACCATAGCTTATTCCTATTCCTCTGGAATGCCTGAGAATAGACCGAAACGCATTCGGTGGCTCTGCGGAAAGTCAGTACTAAGTTCCATGTGAAAACATATCGATTGCGTAATAGAGGAGAAGCGCTTTGGATTCAAGGCGGGACCCAATAGAAACACAAGGGAGTGGTAACGCACAAATGGTAGCTTAGGGATAACGACTCCCAAGACAGCCAGCAAGTTAATGGTAAAGTATGTCAAGTCGTAATGTGTGTAGTGGGTGCTAACAAGGAAAAGGCCGATCGGGACACTGAGAAGGAACTTCTTGGTTGGTGTGTATTGTGCCCCGTTATCAATCTGCTCCCACATGTTGAGGTTGTCGAAAGCGCCACTGTTGAAATCGAAAGGAACACCACGGACATGATGGAACATAATGTAGGAGCCAAACATGTAGGACATGTTGGTAAGGGTCCATGAAGTCTCCTGTGAGACACCAGGGATCGCGTCGAAGATAATTTTGGCAGCGAGAATCAAGACAATGTGGATTGTCCAGGCACCTGTATGATTGGCAGTTTGGGTCAGCATGCGACTTTTTGAGGGTTGGTTGGTGCAATTTGCACTGCGATAAGAGAAGTGATGTACCTTTGGCGTTTGTCCAGTTGGCGTTGAGATTAGGCAGGGCAGCCTGATCACTGATTTGCTCGAGAGTCTCAGGAGGCTCATGGTAGACTTGGAGGATACTGCTAGATCTCCTCCTTCGAGCTCCAGCAGCTCCTTCTCCTGTGTTTCGCTCGGGCATGTTGAGATAGATGCTACCCCGGCGCGGAGGTTTGTTCGCCGCGTCGTAGGAGACGGTGCGCTGAAGTAGAATTGGGGAAGACAGCTTGGCGGTATTGACGGGGTGAAGATGAAAAATAAGCGTCAGTCGAACGGATGGAAGGGGATGATCGACGGGTTTGAGGCTGAGGCCAACGGACGCTCAGGGTTCGAGCGTTGTTGGTGGATGATAGTATTTCTTTTTGAATTGGGACTAAAAGAAGAGTCGTAGTTGGATGTTTCCCCCTAATGATGTCACGGGATGGCGTCTGGGGGCGAATGCAAGGGCAAAGAGAGTGGCTTTGTTTGTATGTTTGATGCTGTATAATGAGAACAGAAGTTAAGTCAGTCAGACGTGGTAACGGCGCAAGCCAGTATCAGTTAATGAAGATGGGTTTGATGTGATGTAACTGGAAAAGGTATCAAGAAAGGAATCAATGTGGAAGGACTGTACGAGATGAGAGGGGATGGGAAGCCGAACCGGAATATTCAATGTCCCTCGTGAGATGGTGAAGGAGCCACTCTCATGAGAAAGGAGCCGATAGAAGGATGGAACAGCCAATCGACAGAAAGGGACACGCAATGCAACCTGGACAAGCAACGGGGATTAGGCGGAAGATGTGGAGCCTGCTGCTGAAATTAGCGACTATAGCGGGTGAGCTTGCAGCGGTAGTTTGCTGGAAGCATGGTTAGTCCGGGGATTATTCAGGGGACCTTCAAGGGATAGATTGGTAGTGTAGGGTATTTGTTCAGGGGCATTTGACTTTGGTCCGTTCCATATTATTAGGGGACCTGACCTAAGCAGGCATCAGACTTACCTGACTTTTTATGGTATTACCAACTATAGAAATCTGTGTCTCGTGATGTTTGGAAATGAAGCCAGAACTCGATCTGAGCAGGGATTCACGTGTAGTATTGAGATCCGGAGATGGTAGAAGAGGCCGAGAATTGGCCAGAACGAGGCTAGTTGTAGTCGGGGAGTTGCTTGCAATACACGACTGCAACGCCAAGGTCATCCAGAACAATCTTGACGTTTTGCTTCAGCTACACGTGATCGGCAATTTGAACGAACAGCAAACGTTGTATTGCAAGTAATGATGGTTTGCAGTTTTGTCTCGGTTTGAGTCAAACAATAACAACTGATACTAAAATAATCAATCGTGCTCTGTTGTAAAATGATTGTTGTGATTGGACAAGTAATAAGAAGCGAGATCTGTAAAAAGATTGGGCGGGGATATCGCAACGAGATTGCTATCCGATATATGTATCTCTGTCCTACCCGAAATGAGAAAGCAAAAGACCCATGACAATCTCAAGATGGCGTGGAATGACATGTCAAAGCTAGACCGACTTATCTTCAGCCACCTTTTACCATTCATTGTCCACGAGTATGAAGACGAAATAGAAAGACAAGACGTCTGATGTAGACCCACGATATCTTGACCAACGCGTGGAATCGACCTGTAAAACGACTGACATGAGATGTTGCTCCGACAGCAGCTGTTGTTTGGATTAGTCAGCAGTAAATCAATACGGGCTAATCTTCGGCTTGTCAACTGATACCTACCAACCTTTCCCCTGCAGTGAACTCTCCCTGATTGGCTAGCAGAGGAATTTTCTCCCAAGCCTGGTCTTTGAACTTATCGATATCATCACAGCTTTCATTTCGCGTCTCCTTGATACGAACGAGAAGCATCGTCGCATCTCGCTTCAGCAAGAAAGCTTGACTTTTTACTGTTGAGTACTGAATCAGTCAGAGAACCCTGAGTTGCCTTTGTAGCACTATTGAATGCTGCTTTTTTGCTTTTCAATCTCCTGCCTGAATTTTACTCAAATGACTTCATAGGTACGTTTGTTCATGTACGTATTTTTTCCCGTCCTCGAAGAGATCAAGCCAACGCAGGTGAGACCTTGACTGGATAAATGCACGTGCTCACTAGAAAACTACTTCTGGTGGACATTGTTGATTGAGATCTTTGACTAGGATACTTAATCACGGACGAGTATTATTGAGATAGCCAAGTGGTTTTGAATCGAAAAACTCCAGATCTTGCTTTGTTGATCAAGAGTACTCGGTATTCTACAAAGAAAATAAGTTACCCTGCGGCTTCATCACCTCGCGTTCCTGAAAACATAAGGAAACTACCATCGCTTCTACAAGTTTCATCCATTGCCGTTCTCCCAAGATGGCAACTGAAGACCCAGGAGACGTCATCTATTTGTCCAGCGACGATGAAGCAGAGGCTGCAGCCGTAACTACAGGGACCAAAAAGAGGTCTCTCGAGGATGCATCCGAAGCGAAGGAAGCTTCTTCAGCACCCGAGTCTAAGCGCTCGAGGAAGAATGGTCCCGTCACACGCTCCTCCGCGACCAAAAGCTCACAAGATGAAGACCAGAAATCTTCGAATGGCTCATTGAACACGAGTGAATCTTCCGCCGGAGATTCCGCACCTGGAGGTACGGATGATATTCCTGACTTTAAGCATTCGGAATGGAGCTTCAAGTTGCCCGACACTTCCGAGAGCAAAAGCGGCTCCTGGCTCAAAAGATTCAAGGTCTGGGTCAAAGCATTTGTGCAAATGAATTCAGCCATTAGCAAAGGCATCGATGTCCATGTAGCTGAGTCTGCTTACGCTTGGTACATTGATCACCTGAGGGGAATGAAGCCGAAGAAGAAAAAGAGTGCCAAGCAAGTCGCGAAAGAGTTTGAAAGTACTGGCGAACTTGGTGCTTTCCTCCAAAGTCTCCTACCCAAGGGGCCTGGACCTAATCAGTCAACCCTAGACAGTTTGGTGACAAAGCAACCCAGCAAGGAACCCGTCCACAAAGGCAAACGCTCTCGCGGTTCTAGTGTAAGCGAGGGAGAGATCGATGAAGACGAGTCTGAGAGCGAAGCTGAGTACGAACCAACACTTAGCACAAGTGAAAGAAAGGGAGGAGGGGCCAACGAAACCAATGGCGACTCGGCACCCAAAGTTTCAAATCACCAGAGTTTGCCGATAATCGAGACGCACAGAAAAGTTCCTACCGGAAACGATGCGTTGGAACAACAACAGAGATACTTCCCATCAGCCAGTAACCCTGCTCAAATGTGTCTTCTCTGCGGCTTGAACACACACTTGGCGCCGAGCTGCCCGACGCTTGTCTGCTCATCATGTGGAAGTCTGGACCACTCGATTGTATGCTGCCCTGAGAAAGAAAGGTGCAGGAAATGTCGTCAGGTTGGCCATCAAACAAGCGGCTGCACTGAGAAGCTGGCGTTGACCAAAGAGGAAGGACTTGCTTGTGTGTTCTGCAATTCAACAGATCACCTTGAGGAGGAGTGCACAGAAGTGTGGCGATCGTTTCACCCAGATGTATCTACGGTCAAAAAGGTCGCGTTCATTCCTGCATCGTGTTCTGTGTGTGGAAGTGATGGGCACTTTTCCTCGGATTGCAGAACTCAGCGTACCGAGCTGTCTAACCCTACCTGGTCTGTGAAGAACCGTGACCAGTACATCGACCCTAATTGTGGTATGGCAACGATCGAGGAGGCAACAGGAGGAAATACAACCGGCAGATCCGCAAGGGCTCCTGAGCTCAGAATCCGCGGCCACGCTGCGCGGACGACAAACGTACACTACTCTGATAGCGACTCGGAGGTCGAATTCTTAGGGAATAAACGCGTTCAGAAACCAGCCGTCGGACAAATTCGAATGGCCAGCAACATTCAGATGCCAAACACGCAAAACAACCGGCCACGAAGGAACCCCAGACAGAATGGACCAGCCCAGCCTCCCCTCCCTCCTGGGCCCCCTCCTCCTGGGCCACCACCATCTATGCGAGGGTTGGGTTCATTCTCGTCACTCCCACGAAAGCCTCCTCCGCGAGACTTTAGAAATGTCCCCCCACCATCTCCCCCTCGAGGCTCGCAGGGACAGGGGAGATCGTACGGCAATAACGCACCTCCGTCTTCTAAGCTAAGAGGGGGTGGGCGTGGCGGCCGAGGTGGACGGGGAGGAGGAGGCCGTGGACGGGGAAGGGGCAGGGGCAAATAGAGAGCTCCTGTTTGGTTAGTACATTAAGAAAGTACACAGCATTGGTTGGCGCAGGGCTAGAGTTTATGGTGCATTGATATACTCTCGGAGCTGAGTGGCTCTGGGAACTGGTTGGCGCATGAAAGCCGAGCTGTCTGCCCTGAGCGGGACTCATCCAGACTTGGCGAAAGGGATCGTAGACTTTGATACCCACCACTTGTTGCTATATTCAATTTAGTTGATATGAGCCGTTTGAAACGAAACACAGGGTGACAAGATTGAAACACTGTGGACGATGGAGTCAAGTGTCTTTGAGACATGGGTGACTCTTGTAATGAGTGACGATTTCGCCTGTACCAGGGCTCGAGGCAGCTCGAGTGGACGAACGAGTCGTAGAGAAGGTCCATATCTATTGGTCTAAGCTAGACGCACACTCCTGCACAAAGACTTGCTTGCAAGGGTCACGCGTGGATTGAGACAAACTATACAACGGTCGCTAGGCACATATGTCAGATTTGCTACGACTCTAGAGTTAGATTATGAACGAACATCTTTCCCATCACGCAATATTTACGACATAATGGAAGGCAAATCATCTTATTGGTGTCTCTTGACAGAGAAGGCGAGATTTACTAGATGAAAACGACCAGTTGACAATGAGTGACATTTACGAGTATGTAGTAGACAAGTGACAAGGGTCTTGGTGTGACAAAGTCTCGCGACAATGCAGCGTCACATCCAAGAAAGAAGCAAGATGCATTAATAACCAGTGCCCTATACTCTAGCGTGAGCACGGATGGATCCATCGCCACGAGTTTGGACGCGGCAGAAGCGTCTTGCAGCCATAGAGTCATAGATGCAAAGGGCCGGATGAGAACGAGCTAACTACCTAGGCTATGTTGCGTTGTAGGGGTGGGGAAATAAGAAGCTTAATAGGGATGCATGTTTTAGGGTTGAGGCTTTTACGTCCTCTTGATTATGACAGGACCTTTTTCAGAGCAAGGTTGTACCAACAGGGATATGATGGGTTGGATGGATGGTTGGCATTAAATGGCAGAGACTAGTATAGTTTGTGACTCTTCGCAACGTCCAGTTGGCAAGTGGAACGTGGATGAGCCTGTTGAAAGAGTCCAAGTTTCAATGAGGGTCGTTTGATAACCTATAGAGCCATTGTTTATACTGACGAAGTCGAGTACAACAATATTATACTCTCATAGAGTGTAGTATTCTTTCCGTCCCGTCCCATCTAACTCTGACTCTTAGTTGTCGTTGACTAACACGACGGTTTAGAAGTTGGAATATAGTAAGACACAGCCTATCACAGCGCGACAAGTGCCGTTGAAACAACGCGTCTGCCGCGTTGTTGGACACAACAATGATTGGATAGAAACTATATGCATGTTTCCTGGGCGCGGGACCATGGATGGAGAAGCGCTATCGATAGACATCCGATGGAAGAGGTACTTGGATAGTACCTGAGAAGGAGATCCGGGAGGCCTGAACCGAATGGGTCAAGAAGGGTCGACACATGTGGCGAGGCTGGAAATAGAAAGCATCTGCATTGAAAGAGTTTGCAGTCGGCCTCTTGAGTGGTTGTAGATCTTGAGGCCATTCAAGTACCAGTCAAGTTCACCGCCACGATGCCCCTCGCGGCAGATCTGCATTGACAAGGATATATAAACCAAGACAACCAATCAAGATACGAGCGCAACGCGTCTTTAGTCTTTCTTCCAACGCGCACAAAAAGTCTCCACGATCTTAGTTAGACAAGACAGGGTCTTTGAAACTCTGAGTCACTGACAGCCAGTCGTTGTTAGTCGAGGGTGACCATCTCACGATAGCACCTGCAGCCGACCTACCTTAGGGTCAGGAGTTAGAAAGAGGTACAGCATGAGAAGAAATGGGGCGGGGGAAGGAAAAAAAAGCGAATTTTCACTTTTCTCGGTCTGATTTATTACTGAATTAGACAAAAGAGCGAGGCTGATCTTGGAGATTATAGTCAAAGTAGATATATCTCGACCGCCCGGGCCTGGCGCTCGTGGCCTGTCTCAAACCCTTTGTCTTTCTTGATACTACCTATAATTGAACAATCTATCTGAATACCACATTGACTTACATCAACTACTTGACTTTGTATCAGACATATCATACACATCTCAAAACAAGCATCAAACACTCAGAGGCCAAAGCCCTCCCCGACATGAGATTACAATGGCATCCTCAACAGAACAACTCTTTCTTGCCATCTTAAGAAGCGATCATATCAAAGACTCTCTCTTCCCTCACCTCTCAACCACAGACCTCTGCAACATTCGCCAGTCCTCATCAGCTTGCTGTAATCTTCTCACCAAGCGTCTATTCACTCGCATCCACGTCTCCTTCTCCGCCTCAACCTTTACCAAGTCAGCACGAGTTGCTGCTCTCGCTCGTATTGGACATCACATCGAGCATCTCACTTTCTACTTCCCTCACTCAGATGCTACTTTCCTTCCTCCTCTGGTTCACCCCGTCTCTGGTAATGAGATATGTTTTCTATACACTCCTCACACGAGCATGGGCTCTGTGCTTTCACGACCCAAGTACGCCAACGCTGAACTCGGCGATATCCTTACACAGCAGTATCCCCCTCTATTTCATGCTGCCACCAATGTCCCTAGCTTTATCAATGCCATGCGCCACTTCACTAAGATGCGTCATCTCACTATCAGATGTCCTGGACAAGACCCTAGAGAGAGATATCGTCGTGATATCGTCGACTATGCTCTGATCAGCTTGCGTATCTCTCTTGAGCGTGCTCCCTTAGACAAACTTCACAAGCTATCACTCTCCCAATTACATCCCGCTGCCTTTAACTATCTCCGTCATGTGAATGGCTTTGGAACTGTCCCCTCTGCTGGACGTCGATGGCGACAGATCAACAAGCTCTCCGTCTCAGTAGACGCTTGGGACTTTTACGGCACATCGCCTGGCCGTGATCATCTTAAAGTCATGGATGAATACATTCGCGCCTTCGCCCCCAATCTTGAAAAGTTCGCCTTTACATGGCTTGGCCGCAAGGGCCCTTGTCCAGTTGCCCTGGCTGCTGATCCCATCTTCGCACCACCCCGTGCCTCGAGGAAACTCTTCCACGAGGTCACCTCCCCCATGTCCCCCCTGCCTGAAACACCTGGAAAAGGTGCTATTTACTTCCCTAAGCTGCGATACCTTCAAGTTCGCAACGCTACTATGAACGCGCCCCAGCTCAGTAACTTGATCAACTCTCATCGCCCAACGGTCAAGGAATTTGACTTTGAGAGCGTTGCTCTCACTGATAATGGAAACTGGGACGACGTTCTTGCTCCTATCGATACTGACGATTCGTGGTCCCGGAGCAACAGCATGGCCGCCCAGTCAGAGTACAGTCTGGTCACAAGCCCCAGCTCTGAGCATCTCCCCAGTCCAAGTGCCGCCGTCACTGCCGCTAGTCGCGAGCTCTTGGATTTCGACCTTGGTGGTTTCCCCTTTGATGACATTGAGAATGAAGTCATTGACGATTTTCAACCTCACGACGTTCTCATCAACGACGATGTCTTTGCCCCTGTATATGAATCAGATGCGGGCTTTAGTACAAAACTGCGAAAGAAGCGCTCTCGCCGTCGCAGAAGAAAGCATCGCAGCAGCGATCATGATACCCCAGAAACCCCATCCCCCTCACCCAAGTCCTCTCTACGCTCTCTATCGCACCGCCATAAATCCAAACGCCAACCTTCAGTGGAAGAGGAGAGTCTCCGCCCCTGTACTCCCGTTCCCAACATCACTGCACCCCTCTTAATCAATGATCCTCAACCTGTCCTCCTCCAACCCACTACCTACGACCCAACCGCAAGGAGGAGTAATAGTCGGGATCCTAACGAGGGTATATCTCCTGTCCAGCGTAACATAGAACAAGAAGAGGCGCACCGTCTTCTCGCCGAGGACGCCGCCGCAAGAGTGAGCGCACTACAAAAAGCCAAAGCAGCTGTCCTGTCCAAGTTGAGCCGCGAATTCTGCCAAAGCAAGAAGCCTCGTGTTGGTGAGGCGAACGCGTGCCGGTTCCTGGCAGGCCGGGATCTCGGCACAGCCTTTGGACCTAATATGGTCATGGAGGACCGACGAGCGCTGGAGAGTCGGAGTGTGCTTGTTCCTCTGATGTTTAGTCGCTCATGAGAACAACGATGTATGATGGGATGAGAAATGTATGAAAATCAAGAGGCTCTTGGAGAGAGTGCTGCTACGACTTTGTAATGAGATATGATATCATGTCCTTTGTTCTTCATGTATTTACTAGCAACATTTCTTCACGGAAGTAAGAATGTAACATTATGACCCCTAACAAAGCTATTCGTTCTTGGTGATTATGTACTTTCCTTCTTGATTGTCTCCATTGCTTTGACATATTCCGATACTTCTTTCAATCCTGTGAGCGTCAAGTCTCGTCTTCGTCCTTCAATGATGACAGTAGGGACCGAGTCGATGTCCATGCCGATACTTCTAATGTCCTCTTTTGTTTTCCTCTCACCCTTTGTTTTGTCCCCGACTAAGTCATTTGCCTCCTTCTCAACTAGGCCAGCTTCGACACAAGCCTCGACCAACATATCGTCTTCACCAGGATGTCTTCCTTCAGCGAAGTACAGTCTGAACAATGCATCCACAAGCTTGTTGGTTACTTCTGCCCCATGCGTCTCCTGGACTTGCTGAATGATCCGGTGAGCTGGGAATGAATTACCGGTTGGTCCTGTGAAGGCGATTGGGATGTTCAGCGGCTTTGCAAGCGAGATCATGTGTTCCTCGAAAAGCTTCTGCGCCTCTTCGTTGTTATTATGCTTCTCATGGAGAGCATGTACGGCGCGGTCTGGGATGGTTTCAGGACGGCTGGGACTGGGCTGGTAGGATGAGAATTGGAGATCAAAAGAGATTGAGGATGATGAGGGAGAGGAGCGGAACTGAGTAAGGGCCTCATCAAGCCTGAGATGTCAGTTTAAGCATCAGTTCGTTAGAGTAGAGTTGGTCAAGGATATGTACCTCTTCTTTCCCAGGTATGTCCTAATATGAGATTAGTGACAAGTCATTCTATCAGTGCATACAAAGAGTTCATACCAAGGACATACGGTGTCCATTACCAAGGTGATCTGCGATTCGTACATGTTGATTTGCTCGTCTTGTGTATGAAAAAGAAAAGTTCTATTATTCGAAACACCACTGGCATTGATATATATATTAATGCGGGGAAGTCAAGGCTCCGCATCGGACCCCAGGAGCGATAGAGTGGCAGTTTGGCGACCGAACATTCAAAGAAGTATCATGCCAGGAATCACATCACGAGTATATACATTTTTACACCAGATGCTAAAGAGCGTTGAAACTGGGGGTATCTCGAAACGTGAATTATATCTCGCTGTACTTAATCAAACGTCATCTTGGAACCCGTGTGCTTCACCACCGCACCCGTCAATCTAGCAACAGCAATATCTTCAGACTCCTTGAGAGGCTTTGTTGTGCCCTCACCAGCGCCCTTGTTTTCGCCAGCTCTGTTGTCACCCCGGTCGTTTCTGCGTGGTGGAGGACGGCCTCGTGGGTTGCTATCATTGTCGGCTGCCTTTCTGTCCTTGCCAAATCGCTTCTTGTATCGCGCTTGGTCGTCCTCGGCCAGCTCGATCTTGAGCTCACGGCCCATCAATCGGTTCACCCACCACTTGCGCGTCTTGAACTGCTTCTGTTGGGACTTGTCCTTCTCTTCATCGTCCTTGAAATCCTCTTCTGTCTCAATCTCTTCCTTGATCTTGACAAAGCCCTTGACAGCCCACGCCGCAGCCTCGGGCTCCTTGAACTTGACCCAGCCAAAACCCTTGCACTTTCCGGTGTCCTCAAACGTGGCAACCTTGATCCATTCGATCTCGCCACATTTTTCAAAGTTTCTGGACAGGTCCTCATCGGTTGTCTTGAAACCCATGTTGCCTACAAAGATCTTGCGGCTGGCATTTTCGTCCTGCTTCTGCTCTGTGGCGGTTTTGCCGTCGGCCGCATCCTCAGTGGCCTCAGCCTCCTTCTTGGGTCGACCCTCGAAGGATGTCGCATCCTTGATGAGAAGTTTTCGGCCGCCGAGGTCACTCTCAGTGAGCGAAATAGCAGAGACCTTGGGTCCAATGTCTGAGAAATCGACGTAGGCGAATCCCTTGTTTGTAGGTTTGGCGCTCTTGTCTCGGCCGGGCTCCTTGTTGGTTGGTAGCTTGATGCGAGTGATCATCTCGTCAGTGATGACACCTCCAGAGTTATCCACGAGCCACTTGCGCATCTCGACAGGCGTGATGTAGAAAGGTAGGTTACCAATCCAGACACTGTGCTCCGACCGGGTCTTCTTGTCCTTGCCCTCCTCTTTCTTCTCGTCGTCGCTGCCTTGCTTCGCGGGCAATCCCTTGCCCTTCTTGAGCGCACGCTTTGCGCGCTTGGATGGAGGCTCGGGGGCGTCTACGTTGACTTCGATTTCCTCAAGCTCGATCTTGCGCTTGGACGAGGACGCGGGTTCAGACTCTGCCATGTCGACATCTTCTGCTTCTGCTTCTGCTTCTGTGGTTTCAGTCTCAATCTTTTCGACCTTGACGACCTTCTCAGGCTTCTCAGCCTTTGATTCTGATCGGGAAGACTTGGATTTCTTCTCCTTCTTTTCTTTTGTCGCCATTTTGTGTTGTGTCGATGGATCGTGATTTGGTGGACGATCTAGAACTCAACTCAGATCAGATGCATCCAAAGTTGCCAGAAATTTTCTGCGAATTTGGTTGCGATAAGCGATAAGAGACTCGGAGGAGTGGGTCGTCGTCGGCCGAAGCTGGACCCTGCAGATACTTCCGATAGTGGGTCTTTTGGACGCCGACTTGGTGAGCTGTCGGCCGTGTTGAGGAGCCCAGCCTCCCGGAATCTCGGAGAAGTTTAGAGATCATGATGACGGTGAAATCGTGAGTCATCAATTGAAGGTGTGTTGTGATTTTCTATGGATATTACGTGTCATCTTGTTCACATATTGTTACGAAAGATTTATACTGGAATTTCCTTGGCGCTGACATTATGCAACGAACAACAGTAAGACGTTTTATCGCTACTAGTTTTACAAACATGGAGACGGAAGTTAATTTATATTCCCATGCGTATATCCAAAGTCTAATAAGTCCTTGACGTAGTATTGAGGGCATTATGGTGTCAGTGCAGTATCGGAGAGTAATTCCCTTGTTTTCGAGTTTCACATTAATCGGTAATACCTCAATGTCCATGGCTATATCCACTCTAAGAGAAGAAAGACTCAATTCTAGTCGAATTGTTATTCCTTGCAAATATCGACACAATTAAGCTGATCTCACTTTTCACCGCCTATCTCATTTAAATCTCATTTAAATCTCAATAGACAGGGGCTTCGTTGTCTCGGCTGTGACCTAGATGTCCAATGAATGAGACATTAAAAAACAAAGCATTGAGGTCCGTGTATCCTCCGCTTCCAGAATGAAGCTTACCATGGAATAGCCCTGTAATCAGCTTCTCATCGAGCATGGTCTACCCAGTTTGCTTCATGCTATTGAATTGATCGACCATCTGGCAATCTTCCTGAGAGGAATTTAAACACCACGTAACAAACTACACCGTTCAATGCTTTGGAAACCAGCAGAACTGCACCGACACTCCACGCCGAGGCAGAACGGCGGATGAGCCGCAACGGACTACGAATTGGGGAAAGATCCCGATCCGGCCCCGTTATGACGGCCCGGGCTTAGTTAAGTAATCTCAATAATTCCGTGCCCAATTCAAGGCAATGTTACCATAACTAGAGCCGGTAATTTGACCGACCTTATGCCACGTGTGCTTGCCGAGTCGTAAAGGTTAGACTGTTTGTTGATATTGGATGAAATTTGCGTCGAAGACAAGAGTCATGACAAGCAGCTGAAAGACCAAGCCGGGCTACGGTGGAGTCTGGCTCAGTTGAAACCACCTTCGGGCATGCTTGGAATCAGCAGCCACCAATGGTAACACGCCCGTAAAGTTGCTAATAATTAACGCTGTTATGGAGGGTGAATATGCCCCTCTACGGGCCCTGTTCACGTGTGGCTTCAACACTGGCCCCGGGCGGTAGATTGGCTGTGCGGGCCTCAAGTGTGGCCCAAGCCGATGGATTATAGCGAATAAGGTACTTGTGACCCACCGACTTGCCTTGGCCTAGGCCTAGCAGGCAAAATTCACTAGCCCCAGACAACCAAAAACTGGAACCTTGGAAGGTCTCCCTCATTCATTCAAAGCCTAGTCCAACCCCAAACAAAGGCATTCCGTCCCGTCCACTTCTTCACTTCCCTCCACCTTTTCAAAACCATCTTTTCTCTCCACGCCATCATCAATCAGTCTCCCTTTTTATCGCACTTGAACAGCTCTCCTTAACGCATCGCAACTTATTGCGCGACGATTCTGCCATCTCAGGACTGCCTTCTCAGTCGTACATATTACCTATCGACCGATCATATTGCCGCTCATCATCCGTTGCCGACGCAGGCTGGACATTTAGGCTCGGGAAGACTCGATACTCGACACTAGGGAACTACCGTCGACTGTGATTGCTAAACAAAAAGCGATTTTCTTTCGACAATCCTTTTTTTATCGATTTTGATTACGCCGATATATCGTCTTTGAGTGGTTTGTTTCATTCATCGACTATAAACAAAATACCGCTGCCCACCGTTAACCACCTTAACAATCTTCAATCAACATGAACGTTTTACTCTCGCCACAACCTCCTGTCTTCCCTCACCAGCACGAAAATCCTCGTCTCTCCCCCCAACGGTCTCGTAAGTCATTGCTTCCCCCTTTGTTCGGTTCTCCGATGTTCTCTTAACCCTTTTCACCCCTTGTCGTGCTTGCCGCTAACCGACTCAGTGTCTCCATTTCACAACATGAACCCCCGTAAGCGAAAGGCTGACGAGGATGGCGACGAGACAATGTCACCCAGGAGCTCTCCTACCATCTCTGCTCGAGCTCTTGCTCGGCCCTCCAAGAAAGTCCGTGCAAATGAAATTATTGGACGACCTCTCGCACTCCCCCGACTTCTCGAGACCCTCGACACTTCGCAACTAAGAACTGTTCTCGAGCGCATCTGCGAAACACACCCTGATATTGGCCACGAAGTTGTCACTCAGGCTCCCCGCCCCTCAGTCTCGTCTGCTGTCGAAGTCTTGCAAGGGTACGAGCAGAAAATGAAGGATGCCATTCCTTATGGCGAGTCCAGCCCCGAATACACTTATTATCGGGTCAAGGAGCCGTTAATTGCTTTCATCGACGCTCTATCCGATTTCACTCCTCAATTCCTCCCACCCAATGAGACCCAGCCTACCAAGTCTCTCGAATTCTTGAACGAGGCTACCGATTTTATCCATAGGCTGCCTAACTGGGAACCTCAAGCATATCGACATCACAAGGAGACCGCATATGAAGAGATATCCAAGGCCTGGGCGCTCGTTATCAACGAGGCAGGCAAGAAAGCTGGGGGCCTCAACCTGCACTCTGGAGGATGGGACCAGATTCTGTCTCGACACAATGAACAATCTGGCGGCCGTCTCTCCACTGCTATCCACGCCATGTCCATGAGTGTTGGATGGATGGGTTCTAACGCAAATACTGGGTCTGGCAGTGCCTCAGACTCCATATTAAACCAATTGATGTCAGGTTCATATGGAGCTCCAGTTAGAGTTGGACCCTGGTAAGGCACGGGCTGTTCACTGAAGCCTTTTCGAGATTATGATTGCATACTGCGGCGCACCGGACGAGTCAACTTCGCACATATAACGACCGTATCATCATGACGACTTTCATTTGGTAGCATAGGTGGCATAGACTTGAGGCGCCCTTTTTTTCTTCTTGTGTGGCAGGGTGGTTGGCGTTTTGCGTGTCATTTGATATCCCTTTCCTTCATTTATGAACCAGTAGGGATTATTGTTATGTGGGTTGATAGCCTTTGAGTGGTATTCTTAACCTGACGGACAGGACATATTCTGTTTTCCGTAGCTAGATTTCTGATATACTTTTCTTTGTCATCTTAAAATTTACCTCGATGACATGTGAGTGATGCAAACTGTATTTGTACTTCGACAGTGGTAAGTGTAACAAGGAAGCCTTCCGGCATTACCCCCTTTCCGATATAACTCCATGTGACTGGTTCCCCGTCATCGCATTACGACCCCGTTACGTATTTCTACTAGTATCTTCAATAGACCCGAACCCGTCAAATACGTGGCACTACTGATGATGGGTCTCTTTACGTAGTGGACAATGCTTTCTGTCATGACGCAAAAGGACATCAAGGTCAAGCTGAGTTACCTCGATGTCTTAGGAGTTCATAAAAAAACTCGAATTTTTCGAATTTCTCGATGTGTGAGTTTGTATTCATATTCGACTTAGCCAAAACCCAGGCCATCTCTATATACTTGGGGCATGTCCCTCTTAAGCAATTAAAGGCTTTGAATAAAAGGATTGTTTCCCACACTCAAGTCAGGAGTCACAAGATCGATACTCGTGTGACCGATTACCCATAGCCTATATCAAGGACCGTCGAATTTAGCGTTGAGACAGCTGAGAAGATGGTGGGGCAATCGCGGGACGATCTGAAAACTTCGGTGGACCCTTCTGTCCTTCTATAGTTTCCACCAACTAGGCAGAGTCACGTGCTCTCCCGTCATGTCGAATGGGGGGCGCGACTGCCTGGACCGTTAACGCGGTCGTCCATTAATCAACACCCAGTCCGCCACCACTGAACAAATTTCCTATTCACTATAATACTCATCTCCGTCCCTCGCCCCATCGTGCTGCCTCGGGAAAATCTTAAAATTTGCTTAATCCTACATGTTTGCTCAATTCTACGTCGAGTGTTGAATCATTCATCATGCCTGCGTATGTTTCAAGATGCGTCGCGTTATAGGTCTATCACTAACTGATCTTCCAGTCCAGGTGATCAACATTCGGTGGTGACGAACCCTTACGAGGAACCACGTCCACGAATTGCTGAATGGGCTGCAAAGGACATTGCTACGATAGCGGCGAAGCTCGACAAACAACTCGGTCCCGAATACATCTCTGCACGCGCAGGCCCTGGTGGTACGAAAGTCCACTATCTGACTGCTGAGAAATGTATCACCTTGGCGAATGAAGTTTTCGGTTTCAACGGATGGTCATCTTCCATTCAGAACATTCAAGTCGACTTTGCCGATGAAAACCCCCAGACACAACGCTTCAGTGTTGGCCTGTCTGTCATTGTCCGAATTACATTAAGGGATGGAACGTACCATGAGGACGTTGGCTACGGCTCCATCGAGAACGCAAAAGGCAAGGCAATGGCTTTCGAGAAGGCCAAGAAGGAGGGCACTACTGACGGAATGAAACGTGCACTAAGAAACTTTGGCAATGTCCTGGGTAACTGCATCTACGACAAAGATTACGTGAAGCAAGTAACCAAGATCAAAGCCGAGCCTGTCAAGAAGTTTGATCAAGATAACTTACACCGACATTCCGACTTCATCAAACGTGATATTGCGAGAGCAGGACCCGCGGCCCCGGCGCCTCCCGTTGCTCCTGTAGTCAAAACCGAACCTGTACCGCCGCTCCCCGTTGCAGAGTCATTTGATGACTATCTTGGAGGTATTTTGTCCTCCGATGGATTTGAGGAGATCGAGGCTGAATATCTGTAGAGCTCGACGAAGCCGACTTTTGTGTGCCAGAAGATGGCCACCCAGACGAAATCATGCTTTCAACAACAATCCTGGGCCCATCTGCCAACGAAAAGCCCACCACCAACCCTCAAGCTCAACAAAACCAGCAACAACCTAACAGATCGAACTCTACTGGGCCCTCAAATCGAGCGCCGCAAACACCGATACAGGAGCAACAACGATTCAATTCTTCTAACGGTCCAAACGCCCTTGCAAATCGCCCACAAGGCGGAACCTCAGGACGTACAACTCCAAATCAAACTGGGAACCCACGCCCACCACCGAATGCTCCCCAAAACATACCCGAGACTGTAGGCTTCTTTTCTGCAAAGGCGGTTAGTCAGTTGCCCGAGTCCACTCTAGAAGGTTCAGGCAATGGTGCCATTGCCTTGCCACAAGGGCAGCAAGCCTTTAACCCAAAGGCAGAGAGCCCATCGATTCGAAAAACACCTGGCATTGACCACAATTCATCTAAGCCTGTTGCGAGGAATGGTCAGCATGTTGCTCCGACCAACAGTCAGGCAAATGCTGGTCCGACTACGCGATCCAATTCGAATAGCTTTACCCCGGTGCGGCCGTCCATGACCAGCTCGCAGAGCCGGGGAAATGTAATAAACCCATCACTCGACCAAACTCGTCGGATCGGTGCGCCATCTGGTCCAGGTAGTCCCCTGGCGAACAGAGGCAGTTACCGACCACCCGCGATGAAACGACCACCACCTACCGATGGACGAACCGCTCTGGCCGATCTTCCTGCCAACGGGAACGGAGGGGCAACGTCTGCTGTCGCAACTGGGTTGGATGCGAAGAGACAGAAGATGGCGTAGATTTCTTGAAATTCTGTTAGCTTTCAGGGGTGTACGGACGACATGAAACCCAGGCGTACCGGTTTTTCAGGGATTTGTGAATTGCAAGGAGCTTAGGTGTGGGATATTTCTTACGGAACAAAGCGAAGGGTTGTGATGATTGGAGTCTAGAATCAACCGAAAGAGAACCGGTATCCTATCTAGATCACGACATGTATTATATATTTTCCAACCAACCGTGTGTCAATGTTGGGTCACGATGTTGACAAATGGCGCTGTGATTGAAAGTGGTTGCTCTAGGTAACTAGACAGGCTACAAGAGAGATGGGTTATCCAAGGACTTATTTGCTTTATTTTCCCTTCCTTCTATTTGTACATGGCAGATTCTAGCCTGGTCGTTATACATGTTCTCCCGGAGTGGGAGGACTTTTCTTTTGCACATAAATACTTGCTTTTCACTTCAAGGCAGCTTTGCAAGCCCTGAATGGGCCTGCTTTACTGCATCCGGGAATCCAAGCTTGCCTGCCATCTCGATACACTGCTTGTACTTCTTGCGAGCCAGGTCATTGTTTCCGAGCATGGCGGCGACATCGCCCCAGTTACACAGGGCAACAGCACATGCCTCGTCACACTCGGCTGTGCGTTCGTCGCCAGTAACATCCTTGGCGTGCTTGTAGGCGTTCTTGGCCCAGTTTTGCGCAGCCTCCAGGCATTCCTTTCGGGTAGCAGGCATAGCAGGGTCATGCAACTCCTTGATCATGTCGGAGGGCTCGCTGTTGGCTGGGACAAAGATAGGGTGCTGAGCAAAGCTGGCGGCGAGGTTGTTCATGATAATAGGGCGGTGGCAAGGCGTTTCGCAAAGGCGAAGAGCCTGGAAGAACAGGGGGATGGCGAGGTGGAATTGGTTCTTGCGCTCATAATCGCGACCCAATGACTCCATAGCGCCGCCCATTTGTCCAGGGCTCAACCAGTCGCCCTCACCAGGCTTGACACCTTCAGCTTTGCGGCGACGAGCCTCCTTCAATGCAGTTTCAACAGCCCAGATGAGGTGTTTTTGAGAATTGTCAGGGTCGAGAACATGTTCATCAGCGTACAGCTCTCCAAGCTTGATAGCGATTCCAACAGTCTTGGCGAGAATGCGCTGCCTCTTGTGCCATAGGCTCTCAGGTACCTCATTTTCATCTGAATTTCCTTGCTCTGTTGTCGCAGCGCTGGTGGTGACTTGATTTGAAGGTGCCTCGGGAGTTTCTGACTTAGACTTAATAAGTCTGCCATCATCACTGACTTGGCCGTCTTTCACGGACTGCTCCATGACACTGATCCACCTGTTGCAATCGGCGAGGATGCCCTCCAAAACCTGGAGGCATCCGTTATAGTTCGTGATCTTCTCAAGCCAGTAAGAGGTCTGAATTCGAATACCCAGAACCTCGTCGGAGTATGGATCCAATCCATGCTCAGCGCATTGATCCATAGCACGCTTGTAGTACTTCAGAGCTAGTTCGGCATCGGGTTTGATGTTGGTGTAGTATAGAGCACGTCGCAAAGAGTTTGCGATAGGCTTGGGGTATCTTGTGAATTGGTAATGGTAGAAGTAGTTGAAGTAGAGGTAAACGGTGTATGCGCCGATGATAGATACCACGCCAAGAACAAAGATTCCTAGTGTTGTGGTACCTGGATTTTGCTTATATGCTGTCTTGATACCAGTTGGGCTCATGGCTACTGTAAGACTGCGAAGGCCGGCAGCGAGGGCTCGGCCAGCAAATTGACGAAAGGTAATCTGGGGTTGCGCCGAGGGTTGATTCTTCTGTGGTAACTGGTCCCTCTTGGCTTGTAGGTCTTTATCATGGTGTCCATTGGATGAATTGGTTGTCTTGAATCGATGTTGGTCTAATCGGAGATGGATAACGGTGCGGAAGTTGAGAGTGGTGGTTCGCGATTGGAGTTGGATGGAGAGAAGGCTGGCGTTTGTATTCTGCCAGCACCTCCCACGAAGGGGCTTCAGCGAAGCAATCGCTGAAACCGACATGGCAGGCCAACTAATGAAGTAATTGGCGAGCGATGTTAGTTGGTGATGATGACGAACATAGAAATTAAAAAGCTGCAAGTCAAATGCTTGTCGGTTAGTTCCATCATAGTTACTCGCGCACAGACCAATTCCGTTTTTGACGAATACAGGCCCGTGCGTTTCCAATCAAACGGGAATCTTCAGTGAGCTTCGGAACCTTGGAACCCGCTAAGAAGCTGACTTTGACCGAGGGTAGTGGGTAGGTTCAGGGTCTTGTTTGGCTTTGTCCTTGGCTTTGGTGGGGGAGGGGAGATTCTAGCATATGACGGAGGGGACGGACGGACATTCATAACATTTAAAGGTCCCACCACCCTCTATCAACTTAATTCAATCTTTGGTAATCTCTCATCGACCTCTACAATACTACAAATACAGATACCCTTGCAACAATGGCTGGAAAGTTTGAGCCCAAGACCGCCGTCACTCTCGACCCTCCAAAGGACGACATCATCTCCAAGGAGGAGCTCGCCAAGGCCAACGGTACGACCTCACCTCCTCAAGATGCTCAGCAAGGCATGAGGATATTGTCTCAACAACTTCGTCTGATCTCAAGCTTGGAGAAGAACGTAACTAATTGATCGACAGGCGCTACTGAAGGGGGCAAGTGCTACGTGGCTATCAAGGTAAGTCAAAGCACTCCTGCGAGTCAATATGCACCTTGACTGCGCAACTCATCTCATCCAAACAACACGACTGATCATTTTTCAACATAGGGCAAGGTTTATGATGTGACTGGCAACAAGGCTTACCTCCCTGGAGCTTCCTACAATGGTAATAACTCGTCTTAAACACTCTACTAGCAATGCCAACATACAGAATAACTAACCAACGTTTCTAGTCTTTGCCGGCAAGGACGCCTCAAGAGCCCTAGCCAAGTCCTCGACAAAACAGGAAGATGCGCTTCCAGAGTGGCAAGACTTGGATGATAAGGAAAAAAGCGTTCTTAACGACTGGATCACCTTCTTCTCCAAGAGGTACAACATCGTTGGTGTTGTGGAGGGTGCCACAAACACAGAGTGACTAGCCGCGTTGCCTCCAAGTACTCACGTCAAGTTATGAATTCACCGTTTCCAGTCTCAAATCCCGTGTGCTTGTGAAGGGTCTTGTGTATTCTGTCTCAATATTCTCCGCTGTCGTGAGTTTGTGGAAGCTCCAGCCATGATACGACGTCTTACTAAATGATGGATATGTGTTTCACATCGACAGGTACTTCCACTACATATCTACAATGTAGGCACTCAATCTCTAACAAGCTACATAACATTCTGGGATTGTGTGCCAAGAAAGGCCTGAGAACTAGCTACAGGCAGAAAATCGATCGCCACGTAGTCGTACGCCATTACAGAACCAGAACGTATTTTTTCCAGCGTAGCTCTCCCCCCATACATATTAAACAAGGTTACACAAAACGGGCCGCATCATAACCGCTCCATATGATATTCTTGCGTTCCGACTCTTTGTCTGTGGCGCCATTGAAGGTTACAGTGTACATGCTCGTAACCGCAAGGCAGCAGGGGTTCATACCCAGGCTTAACAGCTTCGTTTCACGAAGACGTTGCATATTGGTAAAATGAACTGTTAACTAGTAGCTCTGGGTGCCATTGTGTGTAACGGATGAGATCTTTGATGTCAGAATGGGGGTTCATGCATGCAGTAACTTTGCTCTATGCCACGGCTTGATTGGTACTTGTGCTACATCGCAAGACAACTTCAGTTCTGATTTTCAGCTGCCTATATATATATATATAATAAGAGATAAACCGGGATGAAGATACAGTGCATTCCATAATCTTGTAGCCAGACGAAAAGAGAAACGATTTGGAACAGTGGATCATAGCCCTTGGCCAACTCTCTTCTTATCAAGCATCGCTGCCACCCAGAACGGCAGACTTTTGCGTGTTTTGCCCTTATTGCATAGATTGGGCATCCCGGCAGTTGTGTTGAGCCTGTATTTCCGTCGCTCGCCAAGCAATTTCGCAGTTCTCACAGGGAACACATTGCCTCCAGGATTTGCGAAGCACTTTGACACCAAAACATTGATGGTTAGGGTCGTTGCGGGCAAAGTGGCAGTACGATTTGAGGCGGAGAGTTGAGTGGTTGCAAGCAAAGAGGAACTCTTCCCAGTCGCACATTTTGGAATATTGAATGGGATGTTTCAGTCTGGTCAAGTGCTGATGAGGTTGAGTTAGTCAAAGTCCTCCTTAAAGCAGGAAACAGCTGCTCACATAGACAGTGATCTTGATGGCCGCGGTGGCAAGGACTTGATATATGATGTTTGTAACAGGACTGAAGCTGAGTGAAAGCGAGTATATAATATTCAGAATCCACAGCAGAAATCGAGTCTCTTATAGTAAGAGAATACACCCCGGCGTTATAGTTTCTTCATTGACGTATCTTCTTTTCTCTTTTTCCTTACCCCTAGGCCGTATGGCTGTCTGAGGATGAGTACCGGAACCAGGATAATTCTTTAACATCCAATTGTCACTCGTTCATGCAAGAAATCTGTTTGATCTGCATAGATAATTTGATGAATCATTTTGGATCGAAAAAGAATCGATTGGCACGGATAAAGACCCAGTATACCGTTTCTGAAAGAAGACGGCTGCATATGAATCAAAGCAGATAGCCGAAGGACGCGTGGGGTCGAGAAGAAGTCTTGAGTCTTTGGTGATACAGTGGAGTTCATGGTAACTGGCGGATAGTTTCTTTTCTTTCCGTGAGGCCAAGAGCCTGTTTTGGCGATAGCTGGGATGCTGTGCAAGTAATCAAGTACATAAGGAACGAAGAGATTGAGACTACATCCTACTTGAGACACATGTCATATGATAAACTGAGGATACCAAGAGGCTCAACTACGAGCAAGCGAGGTAGTACATGAACGATCAATGCCATTCAATCCTGAGGCTTTGATGCATGTAGAAGCATGGCTAACAGCTCTCGTATACCATGCATGTACCGAGACCAGCATAGGGAAAAGAAACTAACGAAAGCCTCGTAGCAAATACTCTGGACGAATACCGTTCAGCCAGCCAGCATCAAGGTCGATGACCTATACCAAGGATAAAATGTCTTGTTCTCGGGAGGATGCAGATTACCCAAGTCAATTGAGGACCCAGTACATGCAGGCAACCGAATTGAGTTGGATCGGTTCAAGAGTAAACGATTGAGAAAAGAGAAAACGAAAAGAGAAATTGTAAGGCGCATGGATAGCTGCACGGAGTTGCAAAATCGTCAAGGAGAAGTTCCGTACAAGTTAATGAGGGATCGAAGTCCGAGGGATGATTCTAAGAACATCTAGGGTAAGCACTGGTTTTTGCCTACATGACGTCGAACCAGCGGATAACAAATCATTATATTGAGGGACTGGAATGGAAAATGAGGATATGCTGTGTCTATTCACGTTGAGAGGTAGCTGGTTTGGTAGTCGCATGTCTGTTGAGGTTGTGCTTGCGCCTCAATATCCTCGAGTGCCAAGATTGATTGCAGGTGTAAGTGCTGCAGGTCGATAAGTAAGCAGAGCATTCTTAATTTAATTCAACTGAAGAGTAACAAATAGAGAGTTTGCTTTATAAAGCGGTATGTATATGGTGAGAATGAGACAGTGACGTATTTATTAAGGCCATTAAAATGTATGATGGATTTGTTGTTTGTTGAGCCGCATCAATTGTGACTGATTAAAATGGTTCGCAAAATAACCATTCACTCCAATTTCTTCAGTAGGCGAACACTGGTTGCCTCGCCGGATGCCTAGCAGCTTGGGGGTTGAAACAAGAGCTCTGGTTGGCTGAAAACCATCGCAATGCCCCAAAGTGAGGCGGTTCGGGAGGCAGACAAGGAAAGAACGGGCGGTAGCCCCCTCAAATGATCAATCTTTCCCAGGTACACCAAAATCCAAAGTACCTTCTGTTTTATCGCGACACTACCTCTGCCGCTGCCTACGCTTCTTTTCTCTCCTCTTCTCTCCTCTATTTCCTCCCCCTTTCCCCGCTGCTCGCGACAGTTGTGCTTCCTGCTCTATTTGCCTCGTCGCCTGTCTCTTGTTCCTCCTCTTTTGGATTATCTGTGCTTGCCTTGTTTTATACTTGACTCTGTGGCTCGCCCATTCATCCATCGCATAGATCTATGATAGCCTAGCACTGAGCAAGCACAACACCGCATTCATAGCGTACCTCGATTGCAACTCGCTCAAGTCCCCCGACGTCGCGTTTGGCTTGTCTTATCGATCTTGTCAAGCTTGGGACTGCTCATAGCGCTAGCAACTGCCAGTCTGTGATCTGCCTGGGATCCCTTGTTCGGAGGGATTCGCACCAGCGAGGGACGACCCTTGCTGTTGATCTAACAATCAATGTATGCGCTTTCTCCTCTGTCTCTATCTCGTAACCTCTGTTGGGATGGCATGACAACCTCTTTTTATACTTCTTTATCTCTTGGCTTACTGCCTTGCACCACTTTGGCTGCACCAACTTTCAATATATATCCAAACTTGTCAAAGTTGTCTATCCGTCATATGTTTGAATGCCCTGTTTATCTTTACACCTTGTGTCACCAAATTTCCCATACAGTTCACAACCACTTTGTCAACAGGTTTTCTTTCTCTATTGTACTAGATCACTCATCAGCCTCTTCAATATACACAATATGATTCACAAACTATTCCTAGCCACCGAGTGTTTTACTTCAAACTCGAATACTGATCATGAAGTAGCGGCAGCTTGCAACACTTCCCGACTCCGTACTACCACTGGCATTGACGACACGGCTCGACCTTGCATATATCGTTCTTCTGACGAGAAAACTGTCATCATCACCATGAACTCGTTCAATTCTTTACAAGACCGGCGAAACAGCTCAACTATGCCCCCCCAGATAGCTCAACAAGATGCTAATCTGGCGGGCCTGGGCCAGCCAAGGTCCCAGACCACAAATTCCCTCTATCCGAACTGGTCAGGTGCAGGCGACGACCCTTGGACTCCCCTCTCCTTTGATTCCTCAAGTACTCGCTCGCAAATTTTTGGGGCTGCCAACTTTCAAACTTCATACCAAGAATACCAAAATTATAGGAGCAAACCCCTGCTGTCTGAATGTGATACCAACCCGGAAGACTCAGCTTACGGAAGTCGTCTTACTCACAGCATCGGCAATCCTTCTACATATGGCGAAGACCTTGATCCTGATATCCAAACGTTGGATTCGCAAAACGCCGATACGCAACTTGTCAATAGCGATCTCGAATCGCTTCAACTCCAATGCCAGTCTGCTACCAGTGACTCTCAACAGTATCCAGATCAATGGACTCGTCCTCGCCCGCCTGCCAGCGTGGCCACAGCGCCTGTTGGCGGAGAAAGACGATGGTACTGCAGAGAGTGCTCGAAGACGTGTCGTACTCGATCGGAGCTGAGGTGAGTTTCGAGTCATTTACCGTATTGAAATAACAATTGTACTGACTCGCCGCAGAAAACATGAATTGAAACACTCTCTTCCCTGGTGCTGCAATGTCTCAGGCTGCTCACGCAGTAAAGGATTTACTTCAAAGAATGATCTTGACAGACATAAGAAGACTGTACACAATGATCGAACAGTTTCTGGCCGTACCTTCGTATGCAACATCGGCGGTTGTGCGAAAAAGACCAAAATCTGGCCCAGAGCAGATAACTTCCGCTCCCATCTGGAGAGGATGCATCATAAAACATATTCAGCTAACGATGATCTGACGGAATATGTTTATCGGTAGGTTACTCAGCTCTGTACTTCCATCTACCTGCTTTTGACTAATATGACAAAGTCCTGTCCTGTCACAAGGTCTCGAGGGTGTTGGAGGAAGTGCTATGGCATACCTCCAAGCCCAGGAGCAATCACCTGGCTTGGCCCATCCTTCTACAATCTTATTATTCCGCGGACATGGTGGAGACAGGCGAGCTTCACAGCCTCAACTTGGCATCAGCGGCCTGTCCCGAGGCACGGCCCCTATTTCGATTGACCGAGATATACCGGGTCTTGCTCCCGTACGAGAAAGTGACGAAAATTTTATTCGACCCGATATACTTAGTGGGCCTGTTCCTATATCTCTACATCGGTGGTCAGGGCCTCCTACCTCTGAAGAGGATGCACCAGGTGATGATATTACGACTTCTGAGTCTGGACAACATGACGATGCCGCCCCAGATGACATGGACGGCGTGCAAAAAAGCGGAACCTTAGAAACGGGGACATCCAGCATCAGCGACAATTCGAGCTCCCAGCGACCCGATATTGGAATGATAGATGTCGACGAAGCTCAGCAAACCCCAAGGGCGGTTATGTTGCCAGACCAGACCAGCCTTGACTCTCCCAACATCAGTCTAGTGTCGTATGAAATTCTCGACAAAATCCCGAAAGAAGTGATTGCAAGCTATATGAAGAAACACTCGACTGAAATTAGGGATGAGACCCCGAAACCGGATATGTCTGGTGGCAAGAGCCAAGGTCACTTGCACAAGTGCCAGGACTGCGATAAGTCGTTTCCACGCCTGTGTGAGCTTAAGTAGGTCGGATCCAACTACAACACTCTGGTACATTGCTCACAATTTACTTAGGAAACATCAAAAGAGGCACTCAAAACCTTACGGGTGTACTTTCTTGAACTGCAATAAGACATTTGGGAGCAAGAACGACTGGAAGCGACATGAGAGCATACAGCACTACCAGCTCGAGGTATGGGTATGCAATTGCACCAACTCTAGCACCGGTGAGCTTTGTGGCAAAGTCTGCCACCGCCGTGAGAGCTTCAGAAACCATCTTACGAAAGAGCACAAAGTCTCTGACCAACGTGAACTGGAAGAAAAGGTCGACACATGTAGAAGAGGCCGTCATTGTGATGCCCATTTCTGGTGCGGCTTTTGCCAGGAAACTATTGAGATCAAAGAAGCAGACAACACCTGGACCAAACGCTGTGATCATATTGATGATCACTTCTCTGGTCGCGATGTACCTCAAAGGGACATCAGCGAATGGGTACACGAGAAAGATCTCAGCACTTCAATCAACACTCCCCTGAAAGATACATCTGAATCTTCATCTGTTTCATCTGTTCCTGATCCCAAAGCCTCTCAAACCTTAGGATCACAGGGTAATAGCAGCGAAGATCGTCGAGACTGGAAGGACACATACATGTGGATATGCGTAAGTGCACCGCCAAACTCCCTTCGGATCAGAACAAACTAACAGAAGACGAACAGTGCTATTGTAGTAATGAGAACAGCTTCGGTCATAACAAGGTGTGCTTTGATTGCAATCGAAGGAAGTGTGATAATTGCACTGTGCATACACTGCCTCCCTGTACTGAAGTATGTGAATAGAACCAGCTTGCAGGACATGGTTGATGTCTGGTAATGATGTATAACGATGGAACATATACCCATATAGCGGAAATGATTAGACTTTGTGATTTGGCACGTCAGAAGAAGTATTGATGGACTATGTTGGGCGTACTTAGGAGCCCTTTCTTGTAGTTATTACATATTTACGACTTTTGGAAGCATGGAGCATTAATGGCGGTGCACTCTCAATCTTTTAAGAAGAAAGAGCAATGACCACAACAGTATATGCCCAGAGCACAACAGAGAAGCATAGAGCATGACTGACTGACAGCAAATGAACTCCTGTTGTGTTCGAGTCATTCAAGTTTGAGGCGTCACGGATTACAACTCCATGTCGAAATTAACCATCAAGTTTCGGGCGAATTTACTCAGTCACAACATCCCCAAATACCAATAATTCACATAGTTGTCCATAGATTCTGCGGATACTCGGCTACACGATTGCGCAGCCCCTGGGGATCGACAAAAGTGTAAATGACAGGGGCATTAGCTTGAAGAGCCATGACCATGCTGTCCGCACAACTTGCATGTTGAATGTTTCGTTGGCATGCGTCAATTTTCCACTTTGGTCAACGACTGACAGAAAGACTATGGCGCGGGCTATTGTCTCAGTCAAAGCCACCTGGCCACGTCCTCGGCGCGTAGTAGAGCCCGTTGATAGCTGGTACTCCTTGCTCAAGTGGGACTACGACTCCCCGCTAAGCAGTTCTGTGTAACACGAGGCTTGTTCAGATTCTTAGGAAGGAATACATAGACGCGACCCAAAGAACGGGCAACGATTCCGGCCTCTGTCATTTGTCACGTTGTACGAAAAGTCACTATTGCCAAGGCATATACAAGTAGGAGCTGGAGCTGAAGAGGTTGGAGGCAAGGGCTGAGATAGGCAAACGTATGATGTGATCTTGAAACCAGGGTATGGCAGTGCTGAATAGGCTATCTCGCAGAATTTACAACACTTTCACAAGAGATGAGATCTGCGCCTTGTTGCAACGACAGCTTGGCCTAACCAGCACGGGGAAGCAGACCAGCAGCCGCCCGAACGATACATGCAACGTGATTGAGAGACACAAGGATACTAGGTATCACAGTAGACTTTTACAGGTGTATCTGTATCCAGCAATCACATCGTGTAAACGCTGCAGACAGGGACTTTTATCACACAAATGCGATCTCGGGACAAGTCCCGCCTCCACGGTACTGGATCGATGAACATGTATTTTTGAGGTTCAAGTTCTCTTGTGTTTGTATCCAAACGTTATTCTTTAGTACTTGCTTTGTTTTGAGGGAAATATACTGGCATAATTCAAGTACAGGTCGATGACCCGTGTTGGCGGGTTGGTGCGTCACTACTCTACGGATATCATGTACCTTAATCATCCCACGGGGAACGGCTAAAGACAGTGGGCCTCCTGCAGTTGCAAGGAATCAGGGGTAAGAATAGTTACTGGATTTGGAAGACATTGAGTAGGGGACGACATATTGGTAATTCACCATTGGCTCCCATCCATATGAGATGGAAACGTCAGTGTTGCGTTCGTGTCTGACAGATACAGTCTGAATTTCCGGCTTGTGAATGGCTCTGATACGGCTGCAGGGCTGAGTTTAAAGGCCATAGCCACATAGAGGTGCACACACAGATATCTACAGTACGATGGGGGCCAGTGTCACAAAAGTTATGTAAAAGAATTGCATTATTGATAGCCCCCAAACCCGGGGCCCATGTGCCGTCCCGTCTTCATGTAAGTGCTACGTAGTTAAACTTCAGCTGGGCTGGGCGTTTATGCTGGGAGTATGGTTTGATACGACTGTAAATTCGCATCAAGGATCTCGATCTCTTGATGTGGTTGGGTGAACCAAGCGCATGGATTCGTGAGTGTAAATATTTACGATGTCTTGGTGAATGCCTGTCAAAGTTAACAAGGTATCAAGGGTTATGCGATGAACCATGACCTTACCCTGGCTACTTGTTGTTAGAGTACGGTAAACGCAATAGTACGAGTATCCATTGTATGGATGGACGGTCAAGTTTCGAGTGTTGGTTATTGTAATCAATCAAACTAAAAACGGCGCTGGTGTCATTCAGCACAGCGGCAGACAAGGGTCTATAGACCAATGAAACAAAGTCATGCAAGCCAAAAGGAGAAAAGCAAACCATGCGTAATCTGCAGTTCAGAATCTAGAAAGTAGTATAATATGAGTGTGGTCTAACAAGTGAGTCAAGTGTTCATTGCCTGTACAGTCAGTCGGGTATGTATTGATGAGATTTAGACCGGGTGAACCCTGCCAGACCGGGCGAGTTGATGCTTGTAAGACTGTTGGCTCTAGCAATGTAGTTAAGCCTACTTAAGCTTAGTTCTTGGGATGCGATTGGCTGAAAGTGGGTCAATGTGCCTGCTTCAGTGATAGCTCTGGAGGACAAGGGCTGCGGGGATAAGGGATTAAGGCCTCGCTTATACCAAGGCTAGACTCGGCGCCTGTAGATCCATCATGGGCCCTTCCTCCTCCAACTCCTCCACAAAAACAAACCGGAGTTGGCTTCTTCAACAATGGATGGATACTTCTTGTACGTATTTGTACAGCTACAGCACACAGGATTGCATCACTTATTATATCTTTTATCACCAATACACATTTACGACATACCGCATCCAGAATCCCTGATTAAACCCGGATACCATGGTCCTTATCCAGTACCACCAAACTGCACGCACCTTACTCTGCACTCCATACATTGTGGGTTGTCATCGAGCAGCGGCTACTCCGTACTGTAACTCAATTACCATCTGTTAGCCGCTAATGCGGTTATTACAGGATTTAAAGACATTGTCTATACTTTACAAACCCACACCAGTCCAAATGAATGCCATGGCCTTGACTCAAGCAAGACTCACTGACAGCTGGAGTCGTCACGTATCGGCTTGTCTCAGGCTCTCTGCAATTAGCTAGTCCAGACTCCAGGGTTCTTGTTCGTCTATTACGTCTTGTTCATTCTACGCATACCCGGACACACAGACACCCGCCGTTTCCCCTACGCCTCCAACACCAACAACATCACATGGCATCCCCTCAAACCTGCGTCAATGAATAAATGGATGGATCCGGCCAAGGCTAGTTTCTCCATTGGCACTACTAGGGCGGATGGACGGGCCATACCGTGCTATTAGTGGCGTCAAGGTGTTCCGGGTGCCTTGAACTAGTGCCATGCGTGCCTATGATTCAACAACAAGATAAGGCAAACTGCTTCTATCTAACGGTACCAATCTGTTGCTGGGTCTCAAAATCTTTATCGAGGGCTGTGTGCATTCACAACTGGCTAGAGCAGGTTCCGCATGGCTTCTGCAGTGCCAGAAGACTGGACAATTCTAAGTCACAGAATTTTGAATGACAACCACAACTTGGGACGCAACCTACTTCTGCTAGCTCAGCCCATGGCCTCTCTGTTCACCATTTCGGTGCGCACACCATCTTTTCAAGGCAAAAGACAGACCTGGGATAGCAAGGGTCAGGGCCAGGTCTTGAGTTTCCAGGGTATCCTGCAGGTCTGTCCTGAAATGTAATCCAGGAGGGGATCAGCGTATGGGCCCATGATTCCCATCGCCTCCACAATCTCAATACCTCTCTAAAAAAAGATACGTATTGCGGCTCTGCTTGACAAAGTTGGGGAGGAAGCTGTGCCCTCGCTGTAGAATGCTCCCAGACAGGCCCGCGAGACCATCTGCCCATACAATTCTTGAAATCTCTATCAGCCTTTAAGATGACCCCCTTCGCCCTCCACCAAAACACTTCTTCTACATTTCTGTCAACGACTCAGATGTTATCTCATTTTGCGTCTTTCAACCCAGGTTTTGTCTTTTTTTTTTTTTTTATCCTTTGACTTTCCGTCTTGAATTGACCTGATCCCTCATACTGTTTGGTTCTCCAAACTTGCGCCACCTGACTTACACGCCTTCCGTCTTGCGTTACAAAGAATCAGACTTCGATATCTGCAACACAGGTGGTTATATTTGTTTGTTAGTTCGACATATCTTCGAGTTTGCACTAAGAGAACTCTCTTTCGAATTCGAAGTCTCGCTTTCCATAGCCAATCACTAGTAGCAACGCTGCTTGATCACCAACATTATGGACTTCCATCACTGCCACGAAGAGATCAATGGAGCTGGTTATGCTCCTAGCACTCACTACCTGTCCCAGCACGAGTCTGAATGCATCAAACACCAAGACCTCACCGATCGAATTGACCCTCTTCTCCAATATCATGCACCTTGTTCTGGTGGCATCGATGGTACCATTAGCATGCAGAGATACCTTCAAGGTCCACCGAGTAGTTTCTTTGCTACACCGCACCATCTCCCTGTACAACAAAACGCTTACTACAATGGAGTCTATCCCAATATGAGCTCTTCTCTTCATCATAACTCGCATCTCCGACATGGCTCCCCAGTATCCTACCAATATTCTTCAGCAGCCAGCGGGCCCCAAAGCCCCCCCTTGACAGACAACGATGGGTATGTTGACAGCACCCAAGGCCCATCTACTCCATCCGACACTGCTGTCCTGTCCCCTCACATTGCTTCCCTCGGCTCGGCGTCACCCAGTGTTTCGCTGTACGGAGTCTCAGGTGTATCTCAAGGATACGTAAATCCAGCAGTGATCCAGCCAACCCACCCCCAATACAATAACAACCACGTGGAAGAAGAATTGCCTGAATCCACCCTTGATTTGAACATGGACCTTGGTGTCACTTCATCTACTTCTATCTGTCCCACTAGCGGCTTGAGTAACGCATTGTCTGCACATTCGCTGGAATTTACTGAGGAGTTTGAAGGCCATGCTGGCGCCTCCTACCCTGAGATTGAAGGCATGGATATCGATACCAAAGTTGAAGACGAAACCACCGTCGATACTTCGTCCACTATGGCTGATGACGATGACGACGAGTATAAACCCGGTCGAAAAGCCAAATCATCCCGGACTTCCAGAGTCAAAACTCGCCGTGGCCGCACAACACGATCAAGCCCTGACAGAGTTTCTAGCACATCAAGTGTTACCAAGTCACAGCGCTCCCCCCGTACTTCGACAAATCGAAGCCTACTCTCAACATCTTCTAGTAGAAGTTCGAAGTGCATATCCTGCGGCCTGACCTTTTCCGATGCGGTGCTACTCCAGAAACATATCACCGCTGTGCACAACCGTCCTTTTACTTGTGTCTTCCATTTCGCGGGATGTACTCAGGTATTTGCAAACAAGAATGAATGGAAACGACATGTCTCGGCTCAACACCTCAATCTCAATTACTGGCTCTGCACCTCTGGCAGCTGTGGGAACTCTGCAAGCATCTCCAAGGGAGCCTCTGACAGTCCTACACACTGTAGGGTTTTCAGAAGAAAGGATCTCTACACTCAGCACATTCGCCGGATGCACGCACCCCCAGAAGTTGCCCAAGCAGATAAGAGGGACAAGGCCTTTTCTCTCGATTGGATGGTCCAAGAGAAGGATTTGCAGGGTAACGCGTTGAGACAACGGTGTACACTGCCGACGTTTTTGCGCTGTCCAGCTGAAGGCTGTACGACGGTCTTCGATAACGGCCCCAGGACTTGGGATAGCCGTATGGAGCATGTTGCGATTCACCTTGAGCGTGCCGCCAACAATAAAGAACCACCGGTCACCTTCGGCGGTGACAACGACGAAGCCCTTACGCAATGGGCGTCACAGCCTGACGTCCGAGTCATTGCGGCTACTGCCACAGGCTGGGCAACATGCCAACCACTCAGAGCAGCTAGAATGGAGATTTCGAAGCTTTTTGATCCCGATGAAGGCCTTGATGAAGATGCAGAAGGCGAGGAATGTTGAAAAACTCCATGTCGCCATCGGCCATCACGTTCAAACCATAATTGTCATTTTTATTATGTAGTTGGAGACTGCCACACGATGGCAAGCATGCGGTTCACTTGCGGGAAAATGGATCTACTGGGGTTTCTTACGGCGTTTCTTTTTCCATGAAGATACCACCATCGCATATACAGGTTTTCATTTGCGATAACATTTTAATGTTTGGTCGTACTTGCGGATATTTGGCATTGGATCAGGTCTAATCTGGGCTCTTCTCCCGTTTAGGATACCATGTACAAATATTTCATGAGAGAATAAACGAATACGTCAATATACATCTTTTCCTTCAATAGTCGCTGTCAATCTCCCCACAGCCACCGCCGTTACGTCCCACTACATATGCAAACACTCGTTTCCGCAGAGCCTCAACGTCAACTTCCATGTACACTCGTGCCGTCAGCTCAGCGTTGCACCATAGCCCCCATTGGCATCGCCTCGTGCACCCACATGGCTTTGTTCCCTCTAGTTCCTTTTATTTGTGGTTCACCCACCGTCCTTTACGAGAAAGGGGGTGACTCAGGGAGGTTCTATAAATACCATCATACCTGGGGACCAAAGGCGCCCTTCAACCTTTGAGCTTAGCACGTTCAGGCTGAAGAGTGACGATGGGAAGTGGTGTACATCTTTGTGGTGTAGGATACCGTCACAGCCGCAGCCGTCCATCCAAGAAACGTATAGTCAATTCCATGTTTGTAGAACACGAAAGATGGGATCAAAAGCTGACGGGGATTCAAACTTCTATTACATCATAACCTCAGCTGTTCCTTGTTTTGTTCCAGGGTCAAACGATGACAGCTCGTCACAACACGAACATGTCAGTGCAGATTCATTGCGTATTGGTGTTACACACCCTTGGATTCATTACACCTATGAGTTATTTATTCTCCAAGGTGACCCCAAACTATTGTTTGATCATAACTGTGCCTATTTGTAATCTCTCAATAAACGTGACTTCCTTCGCCAAGTATCACTGCTTGATAAACCTCGTGGAGCTTCTCTCCATTGCTTTTGATAGACTCAGTCGTTGAACTAAGCAATCAAAAGTCCGTATCACCAACCATGTTCCCGACTATGTAATAAGTACAATTGACACGAATCTGCAATCTCAAAGTCAGTCGGCATTCATCGGTAGTTGAAAGATACATACATCCTCGTCGGAACCCATTGGTTTTTGAATCCATCAATAAAGCAGCCTACAAGAACATACTGAGCCGTATTTGATGGCTAAGGTATAAATTGTCCGTATGGACGGATAAGAGAACGGTTAACGCAAAACGAAGGGACACACGATGGTGGCCTCCACAAAGACTGTTTACTCTCTTCCAAGGAAAATCACCCATATTGAGCGTCGGTACTCACACAGGTTGGACCTCGTTATGTGGCAACGTTGGATTCAGTGGGTTTGAACCACGCTGGGCCCGACGTTGTTGTCGGCTTTTGCATGCAAGCGCGTATCCTGGTTCATTAGCTTTTCGCCATTCGATGTACGCTTCATATTTCTGTTGCTGGATTGGGTCAGGAAACATCGGTTTTGAAACGGGAGGTGGACAAGCTGAATATTCACTGCTTCCCAGTGTTGGATTGTAAGGCAATTGAGGAGTTGCATTGATACCCATCAAAGGGTTAGGTGCAACCGCGCATGACTGAAAAGGAAGATTTGCTGTAGGCAGATTGAGTTGGTTTCCGAAACTGGTGATTGGCAGCCGTTTACCAATTGGTGTTACCAATCCAAGGCTAGATAGCAATCCAGGGGGAGCGGTATTCTGTATTGGGTTCTGATATGCGCCGAATGAAAAAGGGTCATTCGAAAATGGCAACATGTTTGAGGTGAGGTCAAACCCCACTGGGCCTTGCACTCCGAAAGGAATCCAACTAGCCTCTGGGCTTAGGTTTCCTTTCTGACTTGTGTCGAGGCAGTCTGGCTTCATGGGGGGCATATGATGATTCAAACTTGTCGAGACCACCTCAACAGGCTGGTTGACGAGGCATTCACTTTCCTCGCTGCTATTTTCCAAGCCTATCTGCTGGAAGAATTCCTGGCCCGATGTGCCGTACTTTTCTGAGCTCGTTGATTCCCTTGCGAAGCTTTTGAACGATAGAAACTCTCTTGCTCTAGGGTTCAACCCAGAGTTGAGAGAGTCTCTATCCATACAAACCCCAGAGTCTTGAGACCACTCTTTCTTTTTGGGATAGGTAGTGTAAGCCGAGACGATTTCGGGATCTTGACTGACATCTTTGCGCTGTTGTGGCACTTTGTACGGCTTCTCTGAGAGCTCTGGCTGAAAATGACGTTCTTCTGCGGGAGTTGCGCCTGAAGGTCGAGTTTCTAGCCCGCGATCTTGCCGAAGTTTTTTAAGAAGCCTTTTGAACTCCTCGTTTCGCCGTTCAGTTTCTTTTTTCAATCTTTTTGTGTCCAACGTTTCGTTTTTGTTGGTCGTGGTTCCATTGAGCTTCTGTAAAATCTTCTTCCAAGCCTCATGTTTACGGTTAAGCTGATATTTTGTCCCTGAGTTACCAGATACAAAATATGGAAGTGCTGTAGTCTTCTCTTGTGATTCGTCGATCCTGTTACCAACATTGGCGACTGCTGGGTCTTGAAAAACGGCCTCTCTGGCTTTCTCAATGTTATCGGCTCCAGAGCTTCTCAGCGCCTGGTACTTCGCTTCGCTTGATTCATGATGAGAATAGTTGGATTCTGTTCGGTATCCTTCATCTGTTGTCTCGTCAGATGTTTTCCATCGCGGTAGTCTTCCACGCGTGGGCTGTATGCGAGCAACAGGGTAGGCTTTCCCATCCTCCATGACGACTTGACCAGCACCAGCTTGTGAAAAATCTTCCCCGGGGACCAGTGGAGTCAATTTCAGCATCCTGATGTTTTCGGGGGCATTGAAAAGTTCAGAGTCCCTCAGCAGGATGCATAATCCATGGGCGCCGTATCCCGGGTTCTTATTCACGACCGTATGCATGTTATGTCGATCCATGCTTGGTTGATCTTTGCCGGTACGTGGCATATTTCTGCTGCCAACTTCGGAGCTGTCAAGAATGGATTGCAAGTGACTGCCACTGTCGATAAAGTTCCAAGAACTGGGTCTTCCAATTTTGCTGTGTGTGCCAGCATCATTGTCTGTATGGGACTGAAAGCCTTCACCACTGCCTGTTGTGTACCAATCCGTGCTGGTTCCTGTCGTAGCCACCGAGTCGTAGGAGCTATAATTGTCACGACGGCGACGCCAATCTGGGTTGTTCATCGCCTCAGCAAACTTCGAACCCGTATTGTGTTCCCCTGAATGCTCCTTGCGTGACAAAGGTGGTGCAGAGTGTATTTCAACGTATGATCCATCCGTGCTTGTTAGATCGGTGGAGAAGGCACTACGGGCCATTCGACTTTGGGCCCTCTTGTCGGAATTCATGGCGGGAATCTCAGCTCGTGCGAACCAATGCGAGATGTGAAATGCAGTACACGCCTGATCGGATGCCGTTGCAGATAAACGATTGGTGTATCCTTTCGATACACGGCTGTGATCTCGGATTGATCTTGTTAAGTAAAGTAGCTTGGCTTACTCTTGTATGAGCTGTGTGAATATGAAGTAAGGTCTCTTGATTGTCTGTGGTATGGCCGAGCTGCTTCGTATCGTCACTTCGATACAGCACGCCAAGGGTACGTAACTCTCAATCACGGGTAGAGAGAGCCCAAATAGATAGTCGCAATGAGATTTGCTTAAGTCACAAGTAAGTACTACGATGCAGCAAGGTAGTTAGACAGCCCACCTCGATGGTGATAGGCTGGACTATGAGCTACCCCAGGGAAGACTTACTCGAGGCGGATACCAACCATGCAGCCAAAACGTGGAAAAAGTCAAAAGGCCAAGAGGTCGTGGGCGCTTGGAAGAGAAAAGTTGGAACGACCGGAAGGAGGCCGTGCAAAGTTTGGATGATGATCGCTGACAAGTGAACTCGCTTCTATAAAGGCAGTGTTGCTCTAGACGAGATGCCTTAATGCTGCGTGTAGCGGGATAGATAGTCCAAAAAAGAAGCAATCTGTTGCTAACGAAGGCCAAGATGTGATGGTGTTGATAGAAAAGGACAGACGAGAGACAACCTCAGTTGGTGGTAGTGATCATCTGGAGTGAGCGGGAAAGTGCGCGTGGGGGCAAGGTTGGGAGTTGGGAAGGAGCTGTGCGAGTGAACCACGATGCCTAGGAGTCTCATTCCTTCCCTAGAGCACTGCATTAGGGAATAGACTCGAAGAAGGTGCAATTAATGAAGAACTGGAATCATATGATTTAGGCAGAGGAACAGAAACTGAGATCACAAATAACATAAGGCTAAACAGGTATCCAATCAATACGAATACAAAAAGACTCCAAGCCAAGGTATTAAAAAGAACATGAAAGGCGACTGCTTCAGAAATGACTGATTTCCAGATATCAACTTGTATGTCATTCTCATCAGATATGATTTTATCCCTGGTACTGCTGTCCGCCCATAAAGGCAGCAAACGCCCTCTAGTATATTGTCAGTAACGAAAAACAGAGCGAATAGGGACAGAAGTACTTACAGAGTTTCTAGTCTGTATATAAACAGTTCCAGGACCCGTGAACTTGCAGACCAAACCTTCTGCAGCGGCAATTCCCGAGATGATACCTCCCGAGGCAACACGCTCCATGACGTACTTGCAATTCCATGCGATCAAATGGCCGTTATCTACAATATATTTTTCGTTTTCGACAAGCTGTTGAGTGTCAGTATATAATACAGCAGCGCTACGGTGATAGAAACCCTACCGTCTTCTTGATGATGGCACCAAAACTCGATACCCAGAGCAGTCCTGTGCCGCTGATCTTGTAAACCCACAGGCCTTCGCCACTGAACATAGCTTTTCCAAGTCCTTGTCGCTTGAAATCCTTGACAACGCCCTGTGTCGAAGCAAGGAATGCATCTTGGCCTACTGACCAGGTCTCATTGCCTGCGAGACGCATAGTAGTGATATCGCCAAGACTGTGTGGCGCGAGAAGTATCTCGCCAGGACCAACATACGTTGAACTTGTCAAGTCGGCACCAGTGATCATCTTCTTCATGCTGAATTTCAGCTGTCCCTTCAGCGTGACGGTAGGAGACATGGCGATCAATGCGCCTGGCTTGCCGGACATTGGGCAGCCCATCGCTAACTGTATGGTGAGGATAGTGTTGGTGTCGCGATGGCTGATACGGTAGCTGCCTCCATTGAATGTTCCGATGTCATCAGACGTGGCCTCGGCACCAACAAAGTGACCCGATTGAGGTGCACCAGAAACAGTCATCGCTACCGCACCCCCAGCAGCTTGTTGCTGTGGCTGCTGCTGCTGCTCCAACTCCTGCTTTGGCTTCTCAATTGGGTACGAATCATTGTGTTGAGGAGACACTGGCGCTGGAGGTGGTGCAAAATGTTGTTGAGTAGACTGAGGTGTAGCTACCGGAGGCGTCGACACAGGGGGTGTTGGTGCGGGGGGAGTTGCTGCAGGCCTCATGGCCAAGTTGTTCTGTTGACCGGGCACAGGATACTGAGTCTGTGCAGGCGGTGGGGTTGCTTGAGGCTGGTTGAACTGGAAGTGTTGCTGGTACGCTGGTGCCGACATGGGAGGAGGAGGGTAGTTTCCTTGAGATGAACTATGAGAATGGTTCCTAATCTGAGGAGAAGGAGTCGCCTGCTGCTGGGGAGGCGCCGGATAGTGAACCGGCGTAGGCTGGTGAGGAACCTGAGGAGATGGTGTATGCTGAGGAGGAGGAGGATAGTTCATGGCCTGTCCAGCCTGTGGTGGAGATTGAGGTTGAGGCGGAGGAGGATAGAATTGTGTTTGGTTCGCTGGAGGAGAGGTCGGCGGCGGCGCATATTGGCGATGTTGCTGTTGCTGTTGAGGAGCTGCCCAGACATATGATGGTTAGAGGTCATGATAAGACGAAAGTTGTATGAGAGGTTTTGCGAACCTGGTGAGCTTTGTGCCGCGCCGGGCGGAGCTATTGAGGTGTCATGATCAGTTTGGTTGTCATGATGAACAAGCAGATGGTGGAACTTACGAGGATAATAGTGGCTCGCCATGACTTTGCAACAACTTCTGTTTAGAGATTCGACAAAAGAGGAATTTCGGTTATTCGAGACAAAGATGAAGATGAAAAAGGAGAAATAAAAAAAGATGAGACCCTGAAGGAGCTCTCTCCAGGATAGCTCCAAGCTGCTGCTACTCTACCTCTTTAGCCGCCCGTAACATGTGCCAAGCTAAGAACAGCCCCGCACAAGATGCTGCGTTTTCACTGCCACGATACTTGAACTAAGAAGTTTTATATTGGAGATTTAAAGACGAGGAAAATTGCACATAATTCGCCAAAATTACAAAGAGCTACAGTTGCCGCTGCTCATACTCTTCCGCGTCATCTCGGCATTTCCTTTGTCTCATCAAACAACAGCGAAACTGGCCGCATCACCAGAGACCAAGTTCCCGTCCTTGCCGAATAGCTGCAACACAAGCTGCAGAACAAGCATTGGATAGTTTATCCAATTCTACCTCATGCCCAATCAGTGAACACATTCAAGTCATCGAACCCTGCTCATTGAGTTCTTTGGTTGGGTTGACAGTTGTAAGCGCCCACGCGGGGCATCGTCGTGGGCGCTTAACTGCCATCTCGGCGAGCTTATTGGCCTGTTGGGATTCGAAGGAGGCAAATTAATCCACGTCTTTCTCCCCAATTAGTGAACAGAATCAATTGTTACGAATTGATAGGCACATAGTAGTCAAAGTCCTTCATGTGTCTAGCTCAAGACAAATAACCTGGAGGCCTGAGGCTCTGAGCTTTTGGATGCCACCCCGTGCAAAGATGTCCTGTCTTTCGTGGCTTGGTATGAATGGTGATCATCTGTTTACCTCTCTCAACGCCAACTCGCGTTACCCAAGGTACCTTCATTCCATTCCACCGCCAATGTCTTGGCATTACTCAAGCTATGGTCATGGTCATTCCCAATGTCAAGGATACGGCGGTTTCAGCTCCTGTACATCTTAAAGTTTATATAGATAATCAGGTATTCCCAGCTGTAAAGCCGCTCTTATTCGTACACCCTTCGCCATTACAACATGTGTAACTACGTGGCAATTTAGATTCGGCCTCGGGCTGAGAGGTGTCTATCTTGTCACCAATGATTCAAGATCCGTCCCTCAAGAACGCTGGTCCCAAGCCATGGAAGTTGTCTGGTCGTACGTGCTGCAGGCTGCAGCATAACGGGGGCCACTTACATAAGAGAGAGATTTGCTGATCATGGCACCCTCTCCATCTTGATATGTAATCTGACAAGGCTGGGAAGCTCATGAAGTCATCCTGAACTTAATCGTGGATATACTGACCCGCTTGCTAGATCTGACAAAGCACCCATGTTGAAATGCCCTCAGATCGGCGTCGTGAAAGCGCATACACCAGCGGTGCCAAGGCGATGTGCATGCTTCTGACGTTGATGTGCGGCTTCGTTATCCGGGAATACCACCAGCCGGTGGTGGTATCTTCGTTTAAGATCTATAATACGACAATACATATGGATCTAGTTATCAAGGTTTGACTTTCAACTCACCCACAACGGTCTGTCTTTGAGGGGCGATTGACTTTCACGATGGGTCGAACAAATTCACGGGTCCATATTGAGATTATCCTGCATGAATGCCACTGTAGATTTTCTGGTCGTTCCGGTCCGCGCGGCTTTGATCCCCGGGACAGCCTCCCTGTTTTTTTTTTTTTTTAAGTTGAAGAAAGCCACCGGAAGATCTATCCGTTGTGGCAGGTGATTCGGAAAACTCGAAGGGTCTTTCTTTTCCAGGCCGAGTCACAGGAGCTGGTCAGACGTTTCCCAAGAGCCAGGTTCTCATGTTGAGCAAAAGAGTTCGTCGTTTGGCCGTTAACCCTTGTACGCTTCTTGACCTTCCAACCGTTGGATTTCATAGACATGGTTGTAACATTTTCATGAAAGACGAATACGGCATTTCTTGGACTTACGAAATGCCAAATACAGATTCGAGGCGTGCTTGGCGCTTATTTAGAGTTCAACCAACTTATTACTGTGAACACAAGTATAGGGTCAGCAAGGCAAGCCCTCTGGGGAGACACTGTCCCTTGTCAGCCCAACTGGCAGTTTGATAACCGAAGACAAGACGCCACTTGTTTGAGAGCCTGATATAGAGTATGGTAGCAGCTGAATATGCAGGTTCGCCCGAGTGGCACGCGGACGCCTCGTGGGCTGAAATACCTTGTGCCAGGGTAGATATGTAATTGCTAACTTAGAATGTCAGTAGAATGTCGTAAGTAAACCAACTGGAGCAGAGCGACTAACTACAGACTAATAAGATCGCCCGACCACATTACGGATCTGTCAATGTATTTACAACTAGCCCCTAGCTTCATAGGAGCATCACACCAAGCATAATCTAAGCGCAGAAGCCATGCAACTTCTATGAGATAGGTAATGTGAGGTCTAGCAGGTATAGTGCTTTACTATATCGATTTGATATGCTTGTCTCCATAGACTAGCCATAACTCCTTTTGACAGTAGCCGTTGTCCATATTGCAGAGGGGTATGATTCAATGCTTAAGAAATTATACGTCAGAGGCAGCATTGTGCTTCAGAGCAATGGCAATCAGTCGAGCGTGACGTTGCGGTCACACTTGACTCGGCTGGACCACAAGCTCCGAATTGTCTTAATAAAGCAATGTGGCTCTCTCGCATAGCAAGCGACAATATGACATGTCACACTAGCGGGTAGCCGGTGAGGCTCACCCAGAAACACCAGTCTCTCAAGGTAGTGCGTCTGGACCAAAGAAACCTGGGGGCTTGGGGGCCTGCCCTACGAATAGAGCATCACTGTGCTAGTCCGAGGATGCTGTACAATAACCGTTGGCATCCTGGCCCGTGCTAGGTCGAGAGGCATCTGGCTTGATCGAGATGCTGTGTTGGAGCAGGCGCTTTTTGATAAAAGCCACGCTTGCCACGATCCCAGTGATGGTTTTCATTGTCTGTAATTTCAAGCTGGCCTAATAAAACCTGGCTAGTGGTTCGCCCGTTGCACCTCTCATGGCGTACTTGCGCCCGCCATAGGCTAAAGGTTGCACGCCTTGTAGCGTTTACGTCGATTGAGTGGAATACTGTTGGGACACGGTAGGGCAGACAAGACATCAAGCAGTGGTGATCAGCGGGTTAACAGTGGATCGTATCTCTACAAGGAGAGTTTTAAAAAGGAGATTAGCTCAAGCAGACAATACCAAAGCTCGATCTTAACTCTTGGCTGTCATTCCCGGCACCCTTGTTGGCCTAGTTCGAATATGTTGAGTTGTAGCTCTCAAGCTAGAGTCGGGTACGATCTGTAAGGGATTAAAAACGAAACAAGACCTCTGGATAACCAGGTAGTTGTTGATTTTGGGTTTATTTGGTGGTAGTTTGCTCATCAGAGTGGAGTCATGTTATGTTGTAAAAGATTGTACCTGATCCTTCTTCAAGGAACAAATGTTTTGTTAGCCTTCACATGCCTTTTATCCAATGGGAATGCTGAAGGCATGGCAGTGTGAGTAGCTTTTGCCAACAATAAACCTCGACCTCGAGGCACGTGTATTGACTCTGGTCAGGAACGATGTAAGCCGGGTACTTACTGTACCTGCCCTGGTTAAGCGTACCTGCACCTGCACCTGCACCTGCACCTGCACCTGCACCTGCACCTGCACCTGCACCAGCACCTGGAACGAGGCCTAGGCCCTCATAATCCGGAGACATATCAGCACAAAGAAAATGGCATAAAACTAGCCTTTTGCGGATTCCCTTTAAGCATACTTTGCATCCAACACAAAGAAGGCCACGCTATGGTGCAGGATACCTTGTTGGCCAATGGCCAATTCTTCAAGTCGTTGCCATCCCGCAACCCGACACCTTGGGTCGGAAACTGACCATCTCGATCTTGGAATCGTCTACTAATAAAGGGTCATCCGAAGTGAGGCTTACGTGTTGGCTACAATAAAATGCATTGCACAACGTGCACTCCGATACCAGAATCGTGTCTCTGGGCCCTCTTTGTAGACCGTTCCAGGCGTTGAAGCCGTGGTGTTGGTTTACACAAAAGACGGGTCTCTGGGTCCAAACGATACGCTCTAGACCTTTCAGTTGCAAAAAGATAGCATGCAGGGGATTCTCCATAGAAATGAGAAATCTCTTGCTTGATCAGTAATTAATCACTATTACTGGTAGATGTTGTTCCGAGTGTCAGATATAGGAGACAAAGGGGACAGAGCAAAAGTTCTAGTCAGCATGGAGACAGTCGACATGGACTTGATTTCGAACCAAGTGGCGCAATGATATGCATCAAGGCAGCCATATTGGACTCACAATGCAATGCCATGATGTCGTTGAGAGGGCTCGCTCGCTGCAATCGTAGCTGGCTGCCAAGATCAGTACAGATCCAAACCAGTCGGAGCTCCGTCATAGAATTATGATATGTCGCCTTGTAGGGGTAGGCGAACCGGATATTATGGGATTTAGTTTCAATGATACTCTGTACTTGTCGGCGTACTGGGAAAGTCCTGGCAGGCAAAGATTACGAGCGAGGCCAAGCCTTCCACGACTCGATAACCATGGCTCAAACTTTCAAGATTTGCAAAGAAAATCCCACGAGTAGTTGTGCTGGAGCTCCTCATAAACCTCCTGACTCGTTAATCAATCGTGGAACCAATCTTTGTTACCGAGACATGGAGGTTTGGGGACTTCGGACGAGCAACTTACAAGAGTTTAGCGCTCCATGTTAGACCCGGAGACAGGCCAGGCTACCCCTAGAAGTCCGACGCCCAGTGACGCGAAGGAGTTAGAGTGGCCGTACTACAGTAGTTTCAGGTATCAAATTAACTGTAAGTGCACCGAACACAAGTAGTCAGTGATTGGGGATCTAGGTTAGCTGACCATAGGATGGGGATCCTCCAAAGTTTTGAGGCTATTTTGGCTTTAAACAAGAGGCGTGTCGAACGAAGGGCGGAAGTCTGCAGATCCGATCTTCTGTGGAGGTATAGCCGACACAGAGAAAAGATGCGATTGGACGTAAACACAAGATTTAGCACCTGTCCACGGCTCACTGCCCTACGGGGGTGATCTAGGGGATCTAGCGGGGGCTTCGTTGCTAGTGTCTGACAGGCAGTCAGAGACCTACGGAGTAGAGATGGTTTCTTTCGTTTGAATACTTTCCTGCCTTGGACTCAGTACAAGTTTTTGGTCATGGCAGGCATCGAAGCAAAGCATTCCAAAAGAGATGACTGGGGTCCATGCAAACGGGACCTTGCATCGGATCACGGGCTTGTACCTAAAGAGGATGCATTATTATTTCAAGACAAGAAACATGATTTGAACGTGTACGATTGAATTGCCAGAATCAATCAATCATCCCAACACCACAAGACAAGACAAGACAGGGGGCCTGTCTACATGTGCAGATGTGGCACTATGATTCGAATATGAGCGAAACACCGACCCTTTGAAGGTGAAGGGGTCTCATTGTCAGTGTGGCTTACGTAGATACATACATACTTTGCTTCGTCTGCTTATTCACGAAACGTAGAGTAATATTAACTAGGAACAATAAGAGACGGGATTTAAATCTCCCCCAAGGTCGTTTCCCGCGTGGTAGTGTAGACGCTGATGCCAGTCAGTGGTCTATCCTTGAGCCGAGAAATGTCGAGTCATCGGTAATTATCCAAGTTTAACTAATAACGGCCAGCTGAACTTGAGTTCAGGGGGGTTCAAATTGAAGGGGACCTCGAGGAAGCTGAAATGGTTCAACAAAGATGAGATCTGCAGTGGAAAGGCAAAGTCCACTACTACTGACTGACATCCCGACAGACTGGGCTGTGGTATTACCGAAGCGACGATTCCTCTGTGATGCAAGGGCTGTTTTGATTTGATTTGAGTCAAGAGGCGTGTGTGGAAATAAGAAAGAAATAAAAAGAGTTAGCTTAGACTAGACTCAAGTCACCCTTGCAAACCTGGGATGGAAGCGACATGGGCTGATGTGCATTGCATTCATCCATGTAACCTGCCAAGGAGCTACACATTCGTAGATGAACCAATAAACAAGCATCAACAGGACACAGTTCCACTTGCACCACAACTTTGGACCACCCTTGGACACGCTGTCGGGTTTAGAGACCCGGCTCTCGGTACAAACACTGCATCCAAAAGGCCCCAGAAGGGGGCTTGATTGCTCCGGCAGGACGGGACGCCTTCAGAGGAGAAAGCATCAGCATCAGCATCAGAGACAAGACCCAGTCTAGCCCAGCCCAGCCCAGCCCAGCCCAGCCCAGCTCAGGCCATAGTAAAACAGAAACAAAGAAATACCAGCCCTTGCTTCTTCTCTTTATGGGCGGTGTAAAAAAGCAAGGAACGGTAACACTACTCTATACTACGTTAGCAGAAAAAATAAAGGCCTACCATCCTGTCGGATTATCAAGCTCGATATGTCCTAGATAGCCTATAGCACCAAAACTACCTGTTACTATTACTACTCGGCGTTCCTCTTACCACTAAACCTAACGATGCTAGTGCCTACCACCACCAGACTCTACCTGCCTCCTACTCCACCCCAGTAATGAAGCGGCGTCAACGCCTGGTTCTTCTTCCACCTTAGTTAGCGCAACGCGGATGCCTTCATATTACTTAGGTCGACCTGTTCGCCCCTGCTCTTTCCTGATTGTTTCTATCTTTGCTTCTACCTCTATTCCCATCTCTACCAACCATTCATCATTCACCGTCTCCATTTTTCTTCAATCAATCATTCAACCACTCTATCTCTATCTCTTTCAACCTTGATGGGGCAGGTCATCTCCAGCCTTTAGCTCGAGCCATGTGCGAGCCTCACACAGCACGTCACCAGAGAGATACAGAGGCAACACCACAACAAGATATCACTGCGTCCACTTCCATCACAGACACAACCATGTCCGAAAAAGCGACATCGACCCATTCGCCATTATCACCACCAGGCTCACCCTCAACCAAGACAATCCAGCCTCAATCAATTGATGTCCTTGCATCTCAACTCGGCAGCTCATCTTTAAGTCAATACAACCACGACAATCATACTCTTTCAACAGTAAACATACCGGAATCTGCTCTCTCCCCTATCTCGTTGCCTGACGGCGATGTCGTCAACGTCTCCTCAATGCTCTCTCAGTACCCCAGGTCAATGGAGATTGATGTCGACCGTGACAGCAACATGGCGGCATTACAAAACAACTCCACCCCAGAGAAACAGACAATCCCCGCGACCTCTATAAATACGCCTTTCACTCCCCTTCCGCCTATCGCCGTCGATCCCACTGCGCTTGCCGAAGTCCCAGCAAATACCGTAACTTCAATGTACACACCCAATGCTTTTGGTGGCTTCGAAGTAGATGAAGGATACTGCGAAGATGATGACGACTTCTCGTGGCTTCCATCAGTAGCGTCGCTAAGAGCGGCTAGTACGCCAGATGGGGTTAAGAAGCGTTATGACTTGGGTTATAGGAGATCAGTTGATGCTGCAAGTCGCTGCCGCAACACCATACACAGTGTCCCACGGATGCGACGGCGTGATAAGAAGAGGAGCAAACATTCTCAATCGGCCGCAGGGTCTTTGCGGTCACGCTCCGATTCCCAAGCATCGTCAATGGTTGCGGCACAATAGAGCATTTCTGCATTGCCTTAGTCACTGGCGTTTTTGGTGCACGCTGGCGGCATGGCCGATACTCTCGACCCGCTTAGAAGGGCTGGTCTACGACACGGCGGCGTTAACATTCTATGAGCATTTACATGAGCGAGGCATCCGCCCTTTCGGGACATAACCATGGATGATCGGGCTGCGGCGTTTTTTTTTCCTTCCATATTTTCTTCAAATGTATTGAGATTTAGACTGGTTGGTTTGGTCGTTTGTTTATTACTTTTTGGGAGTTTCACAGCTTGGCGTATGGGAATCACGACAAGGAGCATATTTTGTTTTATCAAGGATCATGTACAAAGGCGTTTGAACTCGGGTATGCTTGGAAGACAGAACTAGCATGAGGGCGTCTCACGACAGGAGAATCCCTGGTCAGGGTTCAAGGGTTCAAGGGTCTCGGCTAGGAAGCCGGGATGACCACACATTACACTGCATCGATTGTGCGACCGAAGGTCAGTGTGTTAGTATTAGTATCATCTCGTATTTTAGCAGAGCATCACACAACGTTGAGTCTTGATGATGGACACTGGCGACATCTCCAGAATGGCAATGGAATGAATACAACAAAGATACGGAAAGTCACGCAAAACATCAAGCAAGTATCATGTGAAAGAGTTCAATCCCAAGTGGCGACGGCATAGAAGCAGTATATTTTTACTCTGTCAAGTCAAGAATGACGGTTGTATAGAGAAGAGAAAATAGGTGTAGACGGCTCGATTTTACTAAGTCCCTTTTTCGGGGTGACTCGTAAACTTTATCGGGACACACGGCTGGTTGATTTGAAGCCATCACGAACCGGGCCGGGCGGGTTATCCATTGACAAATCAATCAAGTGATCATGTCCAACATTCTTGAGATAAAAAGCCGGCAATGGCGCCTTGATTTCATCCAAAATCCTGTTTACTCTCGTCCTCTTTTTTTATGTCATCACACCATACCCACATATCCCGTCAGTCCATCCACCATCACATCGTACGACCCGTCCATAGATGAATAGGCTAGCTATTATGATGTGTAGTATTTATCAATTTCCAGTAAAGCCTAGTCAATAGCGAAAAGCTTCAGACTCGAAAAAGAAAGGTTTCATCGGCCAAGATGGTCTGGGCACGTAAAGAGCAAAAGAGAGAAAAAACGATGTGGATAACGGCGAATACCAAATTCAAATTCAGGTAATTTAATGAGGCCTCATGACAAAGTGAATCTGGACGGGATAACAAAGTGAAGAGATTTTCATTGTTTACTATGAGTCGTTGATGAGGCGATGAGAATAAGACATTTAAATGGTGAAGAAACAGAACAAGAACATTCTTGATATGAGACAAGTTTACTATTTCAATTGTTTTTAATTGAGTACCTAGATACAGTTTGTATGCGGGTCGATCGGAGTATACGGGATCTCAGTTAGTTACTGTCGCAATGTGACTTTCTTTTCCCAAGTGGAGAGATATGGAGATGGAGATGGGGGGCCGGGACTGTCAGATCTGGATGATCTTTCCCCCAGTCTAGGCCCCTGTATAAGCATGCAATGCAACCATTTTGGCTGCCGGCTGCAAGGTACAGGACAGGGTCCCTAAGATCCAGGGCAGGCACAGGGCATTTGAATGAGGTCAGGGCCCGATGCAACTGTAAGTAGGTACCCGTCGTCCACTCAGTAAAAACCTTGAGCTCCATCTATCATCTGTGATGGGATCATTCACGGTTGTGATGCGCAAAGTGATGCAATACCAACAACCAAGATCTTCACTTAGACGTCATCATGTCAATCATTTACTCATCAATCTCTCCTGTCAATCACTGCAAGCTCTGTGAGATCTTCAGGCAAACGCTCGCTCTTCACCAACCAGGCCCAACTCAAAGCCCCTCCCCTCCCTCCTTTCAAGCCATATCTCTCAACTCAACTCAACTCTCGGCTGCTCATCAAATCAAACGCTCCCATACAAAGTGCAAACTTCCAAGAGAAAACTACCCACCCTGGGCTAACGTAGGTACACCCGTAAACTCTACCTTAGCCCGCCCCCAGCGCCTCTGCCTCTCTACCTCTAGTCCCAAGTGGCTTCGGCCATCTAGAGCATCACCACCTGTCCGATGTCAGGGGGTGTCCAGGTCCAGGTCCAGGTCCAAGTCCAATGCCCAGTGTTGCTTGATACATAACTCTTTGTTCAAAGTTGTCAAAAATAACCACTGAAAACCCTGTCATATTCTCCATCTTCATCTTCTAGATATAGAACCATTTGCTTGTAATCAATCAGCATTTGTCGCACAAAGGGATCGTCCTTTTTTTATTCCTATCTAGAATGGACAAAGGGAGGGGGGTCAAATCATCGGTTCATGACACGAGAGCCATTCTCAATGGAATGCTCCTTCATAGCGCCGTGCATTCCTCCCGTTGTCGCACTCAAACTGCTTCGCCCAAGTCACAACGCAACGCAACGCAGGTTAGAACAGATCAGAACAGCGCAACGGTCTCGTTGCTGAGCCAGAATGAATTTGTAGTCCTCTCAACTCGCCAATCTTGCTTCATGTTGCCGTCGTGTCCGTCAAATTCGCTGTTAGTAAAGTCATCAAAGACCAGACCGTCCTTGTTTTCACCCTCGTCGTGTCTCGCCCGTTCCTCTGGTGCCCGTTACTGGCTTGTCCGTTGCTCCATTGACTTGACTTTGACCATCTCCACGCCTTGCCAGGTCTCGTTCGCTTACCGGCCGAGTCTCTTGTTGCTCGTCTTGAACTTTGTTTTGCTGCCTCTGACTGGCTCCAGCCTATCGCCTCTCTTCTCGCTATCACTCAAAGGCCCAAGGCTCCTTCATCTTGTTCCCTCCGCTGCCATTCTTTTGGCTCTCATTTCATTCATGCCATCAACTTCCACTTCAACTTCGACATCTTCGTCGCCTTCATTAACATTCTCAGCAAGCCCACGGTGACTCGCTTGGCTGACCACGCCTCCATTGCCACCTTACTCAACTTCACCCAGTGTAGCCGAACAACAGTGCAATATACCAATGGCATCCTGGACGTTGCCCTATCGGGTCGAGGCTGTCGACCGCGACCCGGGCTTCTACTGGCAGGAAATCGAAGACGGACAGCATAACGATGGATCAGCCGACTTCTTTGGCCAGTTTATCAACTTTGACAGCGAAATCTCATCCTCCATGGCCGATGGACTCATACTTGGCCACCCTTCCGAGTCTACCGCGTCTGCCTCGTCGGGCGTTTCGACAACTGAAGACGAGTTTGACTTATTTTCTTGTAGCTCTCAAGTCGACACGACAGTCCCCTCTCAGCCTGGATCATCAGTCGCACCCGGCGCAATGCATGATGTTGACCCGCGTAGTCTCGCACTCGCGAACAGCAGTGGGCTGATTGTAGAGAAGCATTCCATGGCACCCCGGGTCTCTATGTCGGACCCAGAACTGCCTCGAGTTGATGGTATCTCACTTCAGTCTTCTCCTGGCAGACGGGTACCTGTTTCGCAACCATCATCACCGACACCTCCCAACACCATGACTAGGAAATCCAACAAATTCGTCGAAGCACTCTCATCAACGATTCGAAAAGCCAGTAAACTCCGAAAGCCCAGAAAGCCCATCGCTATAGACCGTCCGGGATCTCCGACCATGGATAACCCCCCTCGTGCGTTGAGACTTCAGCATCACGAGTATAATGGAAACGACGCATTCCCTCCGTCGCCAACATGCGGACCGGATAGCACTAACTTTGTTCACGGGTTTTGCGACGATCCCTTTGATGAAATCCCTCAGCAGCATCCTAACAACAACCTCCGTTTCTTAAACACCAACGGTATTCACACACCAGCAGAGTCTCCGGGAGTTAAGGTTGAGCCTGGCATGTACCAACCTGAGATGGCAGGACAAGTCCCTCAACCAGCTTGGCAGCATCAGCAACACCCGCACGCACACCCGCATTCCCATCCTCACCACTCACAAACACATGCCCACCCTCACCCTCATCCCTATCAACAAGCAGTTGCTGGTCATCCTCACCAACAGCCTGTCGCGGTTGTGGGTTCGGCACCCGAAACTTGGCCAGGACATGAGTACATGGCTCAGAATGCTCACCAAAGTGGATGGTGGGATCTGAATCTCCTTAATCAGAATGGCGAGTATGTTGTCGTTGACCCCCAACAACAAAAGAACGCCAACCTCAACCTTGCCATGCATGCCCAGCACGCCGAGTTGCCATACGAATATCAAGTTCACGATCCCAACACGGCAGGCCTCATGATTCACATGCCACAACCGCGCAACGCTTCTGCGCCTGCTCATGACCTCGCGCTCAACGCTCAAACCTACCTTCCGCCGCCACCCATCCCACCAACCACGGAGCGACACCGCCCGCCACGAGCGCCGTCGTCTGGAGCTCGACACTTGTCGTGCTCTCCAATCCGAAAGACTCGGCAGCCATCAATTCCGCCAACGCCTACCACGGCGCACTCACGCCACAGCTCCAACGGGTCTGTTGCATCGGCCCGCAGCGCCTCGGGTCGGGGTATGGTACCTGGGACTCCCACTGCCATGCGCAAACAACGACGATCCCGGGACTCCAGCGGCGGCAGCGTAGGCGACATCGGCTTCGTCAACTTCACTCCTAGTGATGGAGGTCTCCTCATGACAGGTGTTGCGCCGAGCGGTAGTTCCAAGACCAAGGCGCGACGAGAACGTGAGGCGATGGAACGAAGGCGACGATTGAGCGAAGCAGCCATGAAAGCGGTACAAGCAGCAGGGGGCGACGTCGACAAGCTAATGGAACAGGGTTTTGCCTTTTAACCCTTCAATCTTTTCTTACTTTCGGTTCCTGGTTCCTGCATAAGAAGACGTATGTGGCTACCGGGACTTCCCGCCATGATTTTCAATCTGCGACTTCGCATTTCATATGGAAAATCAGCAACAAAGATTCAATGATGCAAGATGAAGTTCAAATGAGGGGAAAGAAATGTGCAGTACTCGAGTGGCACGTGGAAAACTCCAAAGTGGCAGGCGCAAAGGTTCAGGTGGTGGTGAAGTGAGACAATCTCCAACCGAGCTAAGAATCGACGGCGTTGAAAAGGGGACCACACTTACACCACATCTCACCTCACCACACACCACATCACGACAACAAACATATCACCAATTGGGCGACAAATTTTCTTTTTCCTCCTCTGTCAAATTCCTATTATTGCAAGACGACGACGGCGTTTACAAAAATATTCTTTTCACTCTCTTTCTCTCTTAACCTTATTTTTCGGAGCCTTTGTGCGCTACCTCTCTTCTTTCAAAACCAACCCTTCCCTCAATCTATTTATTCCCTTTGTTCCCATCTTTTTCCATTTCCCAACTACTACGGCAAACTGCCCAGAGACATCATTGGTCTCTTGACTTTCTCAATGTTCATCTCTCTATCTCTGTCTGTTCCCTATATACCATTCTTGCTGTATCATTAGTCATACCACAAGACCCATCACACGGTCTTGATTTTTTCTTCATCTTTATATCTCAAAGCCTCTCGTTTCAAAACACAAAGCCTTGTTGTTTTCCTGAGTCATGGAGTAATCGTTGTGTTTGTCAAGGAAGGATGGGAGTGGACGGCGGCTGGGTATTCGGTGTTTCCCCTCTCAAGATCCCGGCTGTTGCGAAGAGGATGTCAATAGGAATGGGTGGCGGGTATCCTATTGCTGCAAAGGCTGGTTTGGCAACGCAGCCAAGTAGGTAGATTCAGGCTTCAAAAGTGAATTATTCTCCATGGCCGACCTGGAGATCACAATCGCTTAAAGACCTTTTCCATAGACACAATAAACAAACTTACACACAAGAAACTATCCCTCGTAGCCACCAGATCTCATAAACAAACACCATCATTCAAGAAATATTTCCAATAGAGTATGCATGTAGTTATTTTAATCTTGTTTTTTATTTGGGTAACAACGGTGAGAGACAACATGTCCCATTGCCACGACTTGTTCAAGTTGTAGCATGATTCCCGGATATCGGATATAAACTGGTCGCTGAGTCACCTCAGTTCAGTAAAAAAAGAAAAAGCACATTCCTCATCCCTTCCCAATACTGTTTATATATACAAAGCAAACACTCGTAAGAGTACTAGGATTTCGATAATCGCCAACGCCAAGTCTCGTTGCAGACACCATCGTCATGCTTCCGACAAAAGAACCATCCAAGAAAAAGGGAAAACAAACAAAGAAATAAAGCACGATCTTAGCGTGGGTAATGTTAATTACTGGCTGCGAGCCCAGAGCTCACTCGCGTCATCCACAGCAGAAATCCTGAGGGCTTTGTCTGCTGGGCCAGCCTCGCATAGACCAAGCTGCGTGAAATGCAAAGTCTACCCCCTTAAGAATAGTCTAGGTATAAGCTCTCATGAGATAAAATAAAAAGGTAAATTCCTCTAGAGTTAAATCAATTAGTGCTCGTAACCAGCACCTCGCTGCCAAGGACTGAAGAAGAGTTAGTCAGAGTCATGTAGTGTAGAATGATTTGCAAAAGCTTACCTGACATTGTTTTGTGACCTGTAACCGCCAGGGCTATTGTTGTCTGCCGACCTTTGTTGAGACAGGTTTGAGTTTGACTGCTGATAAGGATTTGGTGATGCGGTACGGAAGGGGCTTGATGGTCGCCCATCAGCGGGGAAGAGTGGCATGGCCGGGTTCACAGGAGAGCGAGGAGGTGCGTCGCCCCTTTGGAACGATGCTTGAGACTGGTTGTTAGCCTCAGCTCGTCTCGCCAAGCTCTCGGATGAAACTGAGTCCTCTTCGTCCAGGTCGAGATGCTTGTTGTAGCCAGACTTGTCACCTCGAGCAGTGGCTGCAAGAGCATCGAGCTCGGTGGTAGCGTTGACCTGAGTCTGTGACTTCATGAAAGACGCACGGTCGTCGGCCATAAACTGGTATCGAGCATCGGGGTTCTTGCGGAAGAACACCAAAGCGGTCGAGACAATAAGCATAAGAAGCAGGATAAGAGCAAATGAGGCGTTCAAAACGAACAGAACCACACCGACAACACCAACAACAATCTTAGGTAGGCCAAAGACATTAGAGAAGATAAGAAGGAAAATAGCGTTTATGAAGTTGATGGCAGCAATGGCGATGTTGAATGAGTTGGTGGGCTTGTCCATCCAAGGTCGGAGAACAGAAGCGGCGATCAAGAAACCGACTTCAATAATGATAAAGCCAACAGCCTGTGTGATATCGCTCTTCTGAGCCAAACCTACAAACATGGCCTTGACCAAAGTGTAGATAAGGACAGGAACGATGAAGTAGTAGGCAGAGGCTCGGAACTGAACGTAGAGGAAACCCCACTTGTTAAGAGCTTGAGGATCAGAGAACAGAATGTAAGCAGGGTTTCGGTGCATGGCAACAGAGCGGCGAGCGATGCGGATGACCTTGCTGGCGCCCCAGCCGAGGGTGAATGCCATTCCGAGGATGAAAAAAACAGCAAGGACAACCTCAGCAGGTGAATCCTGCTGAGTAAACTCCCACAAGCAAAGGATGGCCATCTGAGGGAAACCGATGAGGGTCAAACGGAAGAGGATACCCTTAAGGACGGTAAGCCAGCCGTTGCGGAACTCGAGGAACTTGTCCTGGGCCATCCACCTCTGACGGGCGCAGAGCTCGCAGATACCCTTGAATAAGAGAATGGCTAGGCAGGTGATAACTACAAAAATGCAGAAGAAAGTAAGGCCTGTCATGAACAAGTTGGTGGTTTCGATTCTGGACTTGAAGGCAACTCGCTGAATACCGTACACAACATAAGTTCCGTCCTCGGTCTGGATGTTGGCACGCTTGGCAAGAGCACCTGCGGCATTGCCGATAGGCTCAGTGATACCTCGGGGCATCATTGCAGCACTGCGCTTGAAGAGGTCGATGCTGGTGGAAGCAAGATCCAAGCTTCGCTTCTGTACTTGCACTGAGACCTGGCGGACATTGTAAAGAATTGACTCGGGTGTACCACCAGTTGCTCGCTGGTACCAGGTGAAAATGTCCTGCATAAAGCCAACGCGAATAATACCCATAGACCACTGGAAATCTTGTGTCCACGACGAGACAATTGGGGGAAGTCCGACACTGGTGAGTCCGAGAATAGCTTGAGCCTGGAAGTAACCAAACAGGGAGAGCGAGTTAGAAGCAACATGGGCAGCCGTGTTCGCGTGGCCAACGCCGGAAACGATGGCAGAAGAAATCAGACCAAGACCAGCAATGATGGCGGTAGCCCACTTGACACCCTTGAGATCAACTGTCTTTCCGTTGGAGAAATCGGCCTCGACACATGCAACACTCTCACCAGTATCCGACATGTTGACGTAAACACGAACAGTGGCATCAAGATCGGGAATGTTGTAGGCGATTCCAGGCACTTGAGCCAGATTATCTTTGCCTACAGGCAGATTAAATTTGAAGGGAATCTTTCCAGAAACCATAGGACATAGACCAGCAAGGTTAATTGAGCATGGATCGACAGTCTGCTGGAGGAACTGGTATCCATAAGCCGAGAGTCGAATGTCGAATTTGACTTTGCCTTGGATAGACGACGTTGCCACGGCCTTGACGTAGGCGGAACCGTTGTTTGGTGTCAAAGCGACGTTGAAAAGTGTGGCTTTGAATCCGTTGTCCTTTTGGCAACTGTTGAGGGAGTTGGAGTAGAGAATCTTCTCACCCGAGACGGGCGATGCCAGAGCAGCCACCGAGGCGATGACCGCCAATGGCTTCATGATGCAAGACCACATCGTGACGACCACTATTTCCAGGAGTTGCGATTATTATGGCCAGCGATCGAGTCGGAACGTTCGGTCGGAAGATGGTTGTCGTTGTTTGTGCGAACCAGCCAGTTCTTAAACAGTCGAAACTATGCGAATCCGAAGGCGGTTAATCAACTAACAGTCGGCGAAAGCGGTAGCCGTTGGCTTTTAGAGTGCGTGAGGTTATTCTTTGAATAGACTTTTGGTTTGATGGCAAGCGAGTGAGACCACGGAAATTGGCGAATTACGAACGGAATAAGGCGAAAGAAGAGACAAAGAAAGAAGTAAAAAATGTTTAATAGCGAAAGGTCGAGGCGAGAATCGTCTCAGCGACGAGGCGTGACTGGTATAAGCAGCTTTGGTCGTCTCGTCGTCGTCAAATGAGTTTGGCTTCTGCCGTTGTCGCGGATGATGAATGAAATGGGTTTGTTGTGTGGGGGGGAGTCGGGAGGGAAAAGGAAGACCAGCGGCTGCAGACTAAGGGAGGGAAGGAGTGGAAAGAAGTCTAAGGTAAGGGAAGGTTAGAAGGAAGGCAAGGGAAGGAGCCAAAGGGAGGGATGGGGAACCTGAACCTGGTAACAGTGGAGGAAGCAGGTACAACTTAAAATGGTGGAGGGGCCATATTAACAGTAAGTACCTAGGTGAGTAGTAAATTGATCCAATGCACGCGCGGTTCGGTGCCAGCCCAGCCCAGCCCAAGCCCACGGTGGGTTTGTCGCTGTCCACTCACTGAACTTGGAGGGAAACAAGGGGGCGGGTGGTCACTCTCACGGGTGCGAACGCGGTGAAGCGGGGACTAGAGTGACAATAATAGGTTTAGTTTAGACTTGGGTTTGCGTGTGATAGGGGAGTCATGAATTATGCGGACGTGCTTTGTCTCTTGCCTTTCAAGACATTTCTTTCTAATGTTTCTGAGAGACAGAGAAAGAGTTCTTTTTTTTTTTTTTTTGCTTCTAGTGAGTACAGAATGCTGCAACCACAAGGGTAACAATTCAAGGCAATGCGAGGCACAGTAAGCGCAAATACGGTGCTGATGGAGTTTTATCGCCTACACAATTCGCTATTTCGTATATCATGGATGTACCGTGGGTAGCCTGTGCTTCCGTAGATTAAAACCTGGAGGCTGTGCAGGTACCTGGAATGTAGCCAAGTTCTGGGCCAAGTGCAAGTCAATGACACGGATGCTTGGCCAGACATGGGGTGACGATCTCGTATCGACTCTAACAGCATGTACTTTGTGGGCACCTCAGCGGCGACAACCCCTGGACGACGATGTCCTAATTTTGCTACCCTTCCGTGTATATCGCATACAGAGTACGAAGGCCTGGAAGGATGGGACATGGGAAAGGATGTCTCGGGCTGTTCACAACACACATCATCTAGTGAGTCGAAATCCGAGGATTACGATTTACGTTGCAAGAGTCCCATTGTTTACTGTAGATCTTGGCACAAGCTTGTACAACAGTTCTGGAGTGCCGATGCAGATCAGCAAAGAGGCTGGCTGTTGGCAAGTCTGCAGAGTGACAGCGACATAGAAAAAAAAACGAAAAGAAAAAAAAAACAAGGAAGGCCGGGACTTTTCAAGGCATCATTCACACATTGATTGATCTGAGGCACAAATAGACGATTTTGGCGGTGGGAAACAACAACATTCCCGGTTTTGGTGGTTTTACCTGCAGTAGTGTTGCCAGACTTTATGTCAACGACTTAATAAAGAGGTCGCGTGGTTGGTCCATACAGTATTTGCATGATGGCGCCAATCAAGCCGGCCAAAAGCCAAGACCTGGGCAACAACAGACGGTACTTTGATTATATTGCAACAATACCAAGGGAAACAAATAACAAACTCTATTTACAACGAAAGGCAGACAAGTGTTGTGCATCACGATGCTGTCCGGATGTTACGTCCCGTTGCCATCTCGCATTGTCACGTCACAGGTCGTGACTTGTTTAATTTAATTAATCGAGGCTTGCACTGCCCCCTTCTCCTTCTCTGACCTCCTCTAGTTATCACTTAGACTCTCTGGGCTTTATTTGGCTGCTGACTCTGTAACGCTGCCGAAGTCCGAATCCAAAAGGGGTGGCCCTTGCTTAGGTCCATCCATTTCAGGTCTGTCGAGCTTATTAGACTAGACTACCGTCAGGCCACCAAAAGACGAGACGACGATGGATTCTCTCAAAGCAACAACACGTAGGAATGAATTGCGATAGGCAAAGAAAAGAGGCTGTGTTACCAAAGTACTCTCACATCGTGTCTTGGTTATTCTTGGACAATTTCTTGGACGTCCTTGGTATCTCAAAGCAAACGCAATACGAAGTCACCGGCTGTGCTACTCTCGGCATGCCCGCTAGGTTCAACAAGACGAAAAATCTTGCATGAATCTAGTAATGTGCTCACTATAACACAATGGGGAATGTTATCAATAGACACTTTGAAACAGAAAAGAGTTGTTGTACTTGGTTTGCTTTACATGAATCGCTCACTACCAAGCTCAAGATGAATCAATCAATCAACACAAGCTAAGTACAGCATTTTGAGTTGTCGATAGACTTTGAGAGATCTAATCTCCATGATGATGCCAAGACTCGCGTTCTTCTCTTCGTCCACTTCACACTCCGCTACTATGGAGTACCCAAGCTCACTTGCATCGGTGATTCGACATTGACAGCCAACATCCCTGGCGGCGAGTAACAGAGACAAAGAAATGGTTCTTCATTACAATAATTCGCTTCGGATGATATTATACTATAACTATGGCTTGATGTTTGCCGGAATATACCTCGAAAAAGTAAAGCTGCCGCGACTCCCGTTCTATTTCTAGCCCCAAAACAACAATTGAGTTTCAACTCCAACTGTCACCGCCGCACATCGACCAACTCTTATTAACTAACCCGTCGTAGGAAGTTTCACAAACAATATTCATCCTCCTCCTCCCATTGGACATCTCTCTCGATCTCTTGACATTCCTGATCTCCAACATCCCCGACCCCTCACAGCCTCGATATTCAGGGGCATGCATTCCAACAGCCAATAGCACTTCACTTTGCATCGTAAGCGCGTAAGGACACGCGCACACAGAGAGATTAAAGCACATCAAGGGGGGGCTGATCTCACCTCTAGAAGTGAAAAAAAAGGCGGATGTAGTCCACTAGAGAAAAATGTCAGAGGCATTGTGACTGGACAATTGATACACATCTCAAACATAAGCGTCAAATGCCATCGAGCGGAGTATGGACGCGTCAACTCGAAACCCACCAAGTAGAAACTTTACTGAGTATGATCGACGGGTCCCTTCTCCATCCACATTCATGGCTTTTGTTGCTAGCACGTGTCAGAGACGAGAGCAAGCGAACTGTTTGAAATCGTTGCCATTCCGGTTCATCATCTTCCGAGTCTCATTTCACGTTTCGCTCGTCGCATACCTCACAAGAGGCCGACTCCCTCACGTTTCAGAATCGTATCTCTATAACTGCAAAGAAATTCCAGAAGCATCAAAACTAAAGCATAGAATTTATTTGTCAATGTCAGACATCTAATTTACTGAACGCCAATCCTAAACCCATCTGAATGCTGTCTGATGTCAAAATCTGCCTATAAATCGTCATGCGCAGATCTGTTACCCATAGTCATTAAAAAAAAAACCATACAAGTGCCGACCGATGCATTGCGCAACGTCTGGACTACAGCACGTCCCATTGCGCGTTCCACGGATTGTTCATCGTCGTGTAATCAACGCCGTGCTTGTATGAACTCGTCAACTCCTCTTGATCCACTCCGCAATGTGTCTGTCCATCTCTTCCTGTAAACCAACCCAATCCGTATGTCTTTCCATCATCCAACTTCTTCGCCATATCCGTGTTGCTGAGCTTGGAGGTGCCCACGAAATTATACAACATCTTGCTCTGGTGAATAAAGGCCAAAATCGACGCAATCGTGTTGGGCTGTCGCGGCAGAAAAGGGTGCCGTCGTCGAAAAAAAACCATGTTTGCAACGACAAACATGTATAACAATATGAATAGCGTGGAGCCAAGGGTGATGTAAAACGAGCGCACCGTCTCTTGTCCAGAATTAAACATCTTCTTGTCTTCATCGTCTTTGTCTTTCCATCCCTTGCCAAGATGCAGGCCATATCCCACGATAAAGTCTTGTCCGTCTACTGTGGCAAGACTGGTCACGAGAATCGTAAGGAACTCGGCCATGACAGAGCCGAATCCCACCAAAAACACCACAAAGTGTCCGTTCAAAAGCGCCCGTAAAGGCATATAAGCGAAAGGCAACGCTGTGTAATCAAGGGTAAGAGTCTTCGAGTGCGCGTGTCGCTTGGAAAGGATATAGTAAGGCTCCATCATGCGCACCGATGTCTCCATGGCTCCCCAACACAGCTTGAGAATGACAGCTAACGCCGTGACAACCCAAGCAGCCTTATCTGTAATAACTTGGGCGGGCGTGAAGAGGAGGATCGGAATCAAGGCTGCGAAAAGAATCAACCCAATTATAAAAGGGATACATCCCATCGGTCGCAGCATCAGGGGATGTGGGTGCTCTGAGAGATGAGCTGCGTCATCCTGCTCTTTATCTGTTTCGACTTTCGCACTTGTGCCCTCATAGGGTGCGAGAGAAGAGTTTCTCAGCATATACCGCCGACGCTTTAGCTTCTGGTGAATGTCCTTATGTTTGGCCGTATCCATGTCTTTGAAATCCATCAAAACATGGCTTACAACGGCCATGCTTGCAAGGCCAGCGATACCTCTCACATCAGCAAGCAGACCAGACCGTCGTGTCTGCAGTACGTAAAGGAGACCACAGCCCATGAGCGCGCAAAATGATAGGACCACAGTCAAAAGTCGAGACCACATCGCTGCCACAAAGATTTCCTTCACGTCATCGGGCTTTTCCATACGCTCCTTGCGAGTCGGTGTCAGTACAATAGACGCAGCTGCACACGTAGGCACGAGCGAGACAGCCATAATCGATGCAAACGAAGACAAAGCCACCGCATAGTGGCCTAGCTTGATTGCGCGGAAAGGCCGCCAGAAGCTGAAGCTTGTAACATAGTCGGCGTTGATAGATTTTGAGGCCAATGCGCCTTGTTGCTTGGATAGTTGGTAGAAGGCCTCCAAGCGACGGACTTCAAAATCAGTAAACTGCCAGAAAACACCAAAGATGACCGCAACAACTGTTGGCAGAAACTTGACTGCAAAGTAAACAAACGCGTCTATGTTCTTGGGCTCCTTGAATGAGATAATAGGCTCCTTGTGGAATCTTTGGAACAAGTATTCCTGTACAACAGCCAGAACAACAGATATGATAATCAACAGTGTCAAGTATGGCCATCGCATTGTAGGCGGTTTCCAGTTCGGTTGAGGGTAAAATACCTCTGTCTTGCCCTCCTTGACTGGAAATGTTGATCGGCGGAAATCATTGGATGCGACGGTGCTGAGTCCTTCGATACTGCTCAAGTCTGCGCCTGGATTCTCTTCCAATATTACTTCAATCACTTCTCCTTTCCGGTTAGCTTCATCCTGGCCCCTCTGTCGAATTGTCTCGGCTCGGCCCATACGTGAGGGCTGGTTGCGCCGGGAGAAGGATCGCGAAAGACTGCGCTGGACAGTTACGGGGTTTGCTGACAGAAGCTCGTCGTCCCTCATCGTAACATCCGCATGGAAGCCTTGACCCAATCCTCCTGTTAACATCCCATTGGCCTCCTTTTCCTGTAGCTTCTTGATAAAATCCTCATCGTGGGAGGTCATTGGTCCTAGCGCAGCACTAACATCGAAACCAGGAGAAACATCGTCGTCCTCGTCCTCGTCCTCTTTTATTCGGTTGTAGCTACTGGAGTAACCCATTGAGGCTACGCCTCCGAGTAATGACAAGTCGTATGCTTCTCCATTGTCGCCTTCCTCGGGAATTGTTCGTCCAAGTGATGAACCATAGGCAGACATGCGCTTAGCCCTAGATGGGAGCCGTGAAGGTGGTGGTCCTGCTGCCGATACAGGCGCGTAAGATCCTCCAGCGCCATTGTAGCCAAACGACGCAGACCATCCAGAACCAGGAGAATATGTGTGCCCATCATTTTCGGTTTGGGGCGGACTTTGGTGACCAGCATGAGAGGCGAGCGAGACCATGGATTCGCGACCGTGGAGTGGAGGGTGTACCGCAGGATCGTATGGATTGTCGTCGGGATAAAGTGACATTGCAGAGACGCGATGGCTCAAAGGCGCCTGGCTTGTCGCGGGTCTTTGCGATACAGCGGCAGAGCCAGAGGGATGATATGGCTCATAAGGGTGGAAGGGCTCTTCAGCCCGGTCATCTCGATATGCCATGTTGTTGCGCAACTCTTGACATTTTCAAGCAGTTGTATGATATTATTCAAGGTACTAAGAATGAGCTCTGGGCCAGCGCAAGATAACCGTTTCAACTTTGCCGAGGTGGATTGCTCATAGAAGGGTAGGTAAGTGTTCGGTAGCAACGGGTAGTGGGCGCCTGGGGCACCGAATTAGGTACGCTGAAGGCGGGCCGAGGCGAGGTGTTCTAGGGATGGTCGATCGAAGGATTTGAAAAGGATTTCGGTTATCGGGCGAGAATAAAAGAGCGATATATCGATGCAAGCGAATGATGAAAAGAGACGCAAGGCAGACAGACAAGATGAAGAGAAGAGAGAAGGAATGGAAGAAGCCAAATGACCCTTGAGTGAAATGGGTTGGAAAGAAAGCTTCAGCCGTTCAGCCATGAACCAGCGAATGCTTCCGATAACAACCTACCATGGAAGGTAAGCATGAGCTAACGCTCGCTAGGCTCCAGCTCCAAGCCTCAGAGGGGCCAAATGCCTAGACTAGCATCTTCATAGGGCTGGAGGCCTGGTCTGTTCCTAGGAGACTGGGGTCTTCCCCATGCCGTGCATTGCAAGTTTAGACTTAGACTTTATTCAACTGCCGTCTTCACGCTTCTGAATACAAGATTCACACTTTCATGCAATCTGGTAGCAAATGGTCTGTCCTACAAAGAGTATTAAACTCCCACTTAAGCGCCTCAAACGCCTAGCGGCTATCTTCTTTGAGATACCATTGCGACGATGGATGTCTTTTTTTGATCCAGCTGCAGCTGCGCTCTGGTTTGCATGCGAGAGCCAAGGTTCCAGGACACTCATCCAATCAGCCTTCACAGGCGGCCTCCTTGACTCACTCTCCCCAAATAGTCAGGTAGTCAACTATTTGGTATGGGCACTGTATACGAGAGACATGTAAGGGCAGCTAGGGCTTCAGCTTCAAGCCTCGCATGTTGGGACTGAGTCTAGAGGAACGCCTTATTCTTAGCCACCGGAAAACTCCACAAGAGGTCTGTCCTTTTCAACAAAACTCAAGCACTTGTTAGTTTTTGGCTTTTCTATTGTGTCCCTTACTGAAGACGGGAACAGGCGAAAGGGGGCACGGTGCCTTTCACGGTCATGTGCAGTGAATCCTCCAGAGATGGGTTATTGCTGCAGTGCAACCCTACAACATCGTACCCCATGGGAACCAAACACTCCCACTACTGTGGTAAACTGGAACGGCACGTAACCACACTCACATCCGGTTGAGGCCTGCCCTGAATTTGTTCCGTCTTTTCCCTGCCATGAGCTGAAAATGGCAGGATTTCCAAAGTGCATGCATACAGTACTGTTGGCTGTGGGTGGTTTACAAATAAAGCTTACACTTGTTCGTGTTACTGAATTTAGATACATATAGCTTTATAGGTACTAAACTTAGGCCGTACTAGACCAATTAAATGTTTCATTGTATGCCCTGTCGATCAACCGAACATTGACAGATCAAAGTTGTGTAATATAGTGCGAGACGTTGCCGTCAATACCTCTATGGAAACAGTTTCACTATACAACGCGACATGTTTGGCTCTCCATAAGAATATAATGACATCAGTAGTAAGGTAGGTTACACACTAGTTTGACTGATCGTATCTACGTTTTCAATCATCCATATAATTGTGTTTGTGAAATCTTATTGTGTTCGCTGGTACGCTACCTACCCTGCAGATTCCTGCATCATGATATGCAGGATTCAACGCATGATAGCCCCCAATCTCAGGTCAAACATCATTCGCAATCTGAGTTTGGTGAATTTACGAACAGATTACTGAACACAGGACCTGATTTTACGTGCGATGTCTCTACAAGCTCAGGTAAACCTTGATTCCCCGTGATACATCTACTTGTAGTAATTTGCTGTGCTAGCAATCCCCCCTGCTGAGTGAAGTCACAGTCGCACACAAAACACGAAATTTCGACAGGAAAGACAGCATTGCTATAATTTTATGTATCTATGTGCAAAACTAACACATAATTCAATCCATAAACAACAACACCGTGTTCAATTGCCGGATTGAACATTTCTATGCCAAATGCTCAATCTATCCATCTAATGCATTGGATTGAACCCTCCAGTCTATGCCTGAAACTTAAAAATCAATTCGCTCGTTTTGTTTGTGAACCATGCAATTAGCAATTGCTGCCGCGTACCGAAGGGGTACATGTCTAAAACAGGAGGTATGCTGACATCAAGACAGTGAAAAGAGCTGTCATGGACGCAGCCTGATACGTTCGGGGAGCCAAGCTTGCTACCAAGCCACAGCACTTGCGATCGTACGTAACGTTGTTCATCTGCGCAGCTACTTCAAAAACAGAGCCTGGAAAGCCGCCGTAGTTATAGTAATCCACGTTGAGAATGTTGGGAGCCCGTCCCCAATCAGAGCGGCAGTTGTTGGCCGCAAGACCCAAGCTGCCGTAGCCCGTGTCATTATTAGTCTCGTTGAGCAGCGCAACAGCCGGGACCAAGATCTCAGCACCAAACACATTGAATTCAGCGTTGAGGTTGTGATTCATGAGGTACAGGCGGTTTTTGGCCGACTTTTCGCTCAGGTCCGGAGGTCGCTGCACACTGCAGGGGAAATCGCGGTCCAGAGGGTCAAAAGGAGTCTCCCACATCTGGGTGAACTCGTCCAGAAGCCATGGGTACTTCTTCTGGTCTGACACGTAGTCGATAAACATGATGACTCGCTTGCCGCGAACGATCATGCTTTCCAGAGTAGGCCAGTCTTCCAGGGACATGGGGAGGTATGGAGCTTGGTAAACGTACTTAAGAATACCGCTCTCCTGGATGTAAGGGACGTAAAGGTCGGGGTGGGAGTAGTTTCCGTTTCCAAGGAGAATGGTGACAACATCATATGGATGGCTGTCGACCCATTTTCGCACCCTGGTTAGCCAGTCGGTGATGGGACCAGCGTCGAGGAGATCGCAGGTTGAATGACAGAAGTGTGGAACAGATGAGTTGGCGGGGAATTGGATCTGAGCCTGGAGGAAACGAACACCGTCGTTAAGCTGTGTCTCAACCTCGAGCTCCTGGTTGGAGCCCGAGTTACCAGGTCTCACGAAGGGGGAGTTGTGGCAGCCAACCATAGTAATGTTGCTGTACTTGCGCTTGCACAGCTCGACATAGTTGTTGCAGGGCTGAGTGTTTGTGGGCTTCGCCTTGGTGGTGGTGGTCGAAGTGCCGTTTGTCGTTCCCGTAGCAGTAGCAGTCTCAGTGAGGTTGGTCGTGATGGTGGTGCTGTCTGTGTAGTCGGTAGGGAAGAGACCCGTGAGAGTGCTTGTAAACTCGTCCGACTCGGTATCGCTAGAGAGCGATAGTGTGATTTTGGAAGCGTAGGAGGAATAGGCGCCTGTGGGAGGACCGGTTTGGCGGGTTACTCTCTGCGTCCTTGTACCTTCAAAGAATGTGAGCTCTGATGTGGCCGATATTTCGACTGTCTGGGCTGCTACGCGACCAGACGTCAGTGCCAGAGCGGCAAAGACTGAGGTGTAGAACTTCATGACGGGTATGTGATCCCGTGCAAGTTGGTGAAAGGCGAAGTTTCTGGTAAAATAAAGTATTGGGTCAACAAAGCGATAGGAGTCGAGTCGCTTAGTATGAACAAGCTTTCACAGCTCAGGTCCGCGCACTGATTGGGTTCCACCTCGTGAAGCAGGCCCTCGTTTGGTATAAGTGGTACAGGACCAAAGCGAATGTACAAATCCAGAAGAAGACCAGGCCAGGTCAGATCAAAGACGGAGAAAAAGTAATTAGATAGAAGGCAAGCTAAAATCGAGTATGGGTGAAACACAATACAAGATCTAGTGTGATCTGCGGTGTATGGTCGCCCTGCTTGTGATCCCTGCTGCAGAAACACCAGACCAATGTTGAGGAGCCACCTTTTGTAGCTATCGACAGATCGACAAGATGGAAGTGGGTAAAGTAAAGGATGGCAATGTCAAAGTCACCGTAGAGACGTATGATGAATGGAACGGTGGGATGAAATGAATTGTGAGACAAGCAAGGAAAACCTTCCTCATGCACAGCCTGGCTTGGCTTTTTAGTCAAGAGTTTGATGGTCCCAGACGAGATTACGGCAATGAAAATAGAAGAAGTGAGGAGACAGACCGATACAAGGGATTAAGAAGAAGGAATAAAAGGGGGATAGCGATCTACCGCTTAGCTTTGATTCTGGATAATGTTCAAAAACCAACGAGGAATAAAAAAGAAACTATAGTAAAAAAAAAACTTGGCTTGCTTGTTAGCTCTGCATTTGATGATGCGGCCTCACCCGCCATGACATAATGGCATGTGGCTATCGTTAATGGCTGTTGCTAAGGAATAGGCTTTGTCAAAGCGGTAATAACGGCAAGAATTGACCGAAGCAATTGGCTGTGTGGTGTTGAGCCGCAAATAGATACAAAAAAGTCATTGATTGATTATTCCGGACAGCGCTAATAAAGTCTAGAATCGGTAATTGTAACGACCAACAACTTACGCAGGAACTGCAAACATGTAGAGACAGCAGCGCTTGTTGCTACGCTCATGTCTCTTTGCTTTGTGGTGTTGAAACGCGTCATCATATTGGGCTGCAGCCAAGACCCAGTCCGGTACTATCGGCATCCATTTTTATTTTATCTTAGCCCTTTGCTCTGTAGCTACCTGAAGCTCGGTACTCTGGGCCTGGAGGCTCTAGGGATTGATTGGACGAATAAGGAATTGAACATAAACTTGGAATACGACACGACGGGCAAGAAGCCAAGAGTCAAGCGTCAATAGTTTTTGATAGTACATGGTTTGGCGTGGCGGAGGCATTGAATGTTTTGGTTGAGATATCTCGACTCTGCTAGCCACTTTCTTAGCCGCGCATGTCCTTGGGTTTTTCTTACATGTATTTTTAAAAACTGTAATAGACCTAGATACCTTGTTCAATGGCCCAACAACAGTATCAGAATACGGGCGGTTCGCTATTCTCGCCAGCGTTAACAGCTGAGCGGAGGGAACCTAGAAAATCCATTCGTTCAGCTCATCAGATACCCCCTTAACTATTACCCACAAGCAAGCATAAGCCTTACCCTTTTACCGCTGAAGCCCAGGTTTCCTTCTAGCTTCTCCAGGGGTTTGGTGTAGAGACCCCACTGATACAATCTTCTTTCGGATTAGTCCCATCATGCTCAGCGGCTTCGGCAAGGACCCACGACCCTTTCCTTTTTCGCTTGTGCCTGCCTCGCGTCTCTGCTAGGTGGCGTGGAAAAGGAAAGCTCGATCCTTGGAATTGGGATGTTCCCTTTATCATGACGATTTGTGTTGTTGGCGTCGTTGATCTTTTAGGCTGGCCCACCCAGAACACGCAACGCAATAACACTTCTCATATGTACTTTGTCACTCGTTTTCTTGGTTCACTTCACTCCAGTCTTGTCTTGAGAGACTGAAACTTTTTGGTTTCGCCTCTGTATTTGTTTCTCTTTGTCTGTATTGATTGATTGTATTGACGACTCCTCAATCTTATCATCTACAGTAATTTTTGTTCACGCTCTTCTTCTTTGTTTGACTCTATCTGTTTGTTTCATTAATTTTCTTCCTTTCGTATTCGGTCTCCAATAAACGGCGCGCAAAGCTGAAGCCATCACCAAAAAACGAACGAGCCCCCAGGTGGCTCCTCGCCCGCCTCATCAACCCGCCGACAGACAACATAACCGACTCAAATCGCCTCTGATCCGCCGTTCGATATATCCTCTCAGTTTTAATCATGGTCAACGTTCACCGCCGTAACACGGCCATCGCTGCCAGTGTCTTCTATTTCCTTACGATTCCTTTCCTCATTCTTGTCATTATCGGAAACACACACATCAACTCAACCCTAAACGACATCTACTTCTTCCAGCTCGATGTGTCGCAAGTCATTCCTATATCGGTCGAGAATTCGAGACTCCTCAACTCCGTCGCCCGAAGTCTAGGTCTTCACGATTTCTACCAAGTTGGACTATGGAATTTCTGCGAGGGTTACAATGATGAGTACGTTTCTCTGTTCCATATACCGCGTATTGTGGCTAATTGAATCTTCCAGAGGTGTTACATACTGCTCCGACCCTAAGCAGTGGTACTGGTTTAACCCCGTCGAAATCCTCGTCAGCGAACTACTTGCGGGAGCCCAGATCGCTCTCCCTGCAGAGGCTGTCACCGTCCTTAACCTCCTCAAGATTGGTTCCAGGATCATGTATGGTTGCTTCATGGCTGGCATTGTCGTCAACTTTGTCCTCATTCCCCTGAGCTTGCTTGTCATTCGCACTCGTTGGTGGAGTCTGCTCCTTTCGCTCCTCTCGGCCATCACAGCAGTCCTCGTTACTCTTGCTGCGGTCATTGCAACAGTCATCAGCATCGCAGCAAAAGTCGCCCTTACTGCGCAGGATCAGCTTAACATCAGGGCAAACATTGGTGTCAAGATGTTTGCCTTTATGTGGATCGCTGCCATTTTTACTGATTTGGCTTTCCTCTTGCATGCTGCCATGGGCTGTTGCTGCAAGCCAGACCGTCAAGCGCAGAGTTCATCACAGCAATCCATGTCCGAAACCAAGAGCAACAGGGTGTCCTTGCCAGCATTCGTCCGCCATCGAAAGAGTCACACGTCTTCGTCATAGATTCCCAAAATCTTGTGTGATTCTACGGTGATACAAGATTGAACCTCGTAAGGGGGCTTATAGGATTGGCTTTAAGTCTTATCATATGCCAAGACTAACTGGCGCGGCAACTGGCCCAAATTAAAAGTTCAAGTTGAACCAAAAATAAGATCTGGATAAAGGAGCATTGTCGGTGGAAGTGCCAGTCCTATCTAGAGGCCTGGTAATTCTGCCAATACCGGAGTTTGGAAGAGCGATTTGATTATTGGGCATGAAACTTAATCGTTCTATAGAAGATACAAATAGAGATCCGAAATGTCATTCCATTGCCGCAAAATTTCTACAAAACCCAGTCTGAAGACATGTCTGGCGCCAACAGCATACCTAGGTAGCCAAGGGGACGAAGGTACCCAATCTATCTAACCACTTGCTTGTGATGTTGATATGCATATCATATCAATTGTTATGGATGTGAAAGAGATGCCCATGGCAACTGTCGTCATTGCATTGTTACCTATTGATACTGTAAGCTAGTATGAGAACCAACTCAAGAAAACTTGTTCTCTTCCAACAGGAACCATTATTTGTCAAGGTTATAGTCGATTGACTTTGGTATTCCATCTCTTGTTTCATATCTTTTTTCGTCCTGTCTTTGTAGTAAGCATATAAGTATCCACGTCCGACCTCCCCCCTTAATACTCCATCGACCCGTTGTGCCTAATCTTGTTTCGACCCAGCCTTCTCTGTTTGAGGTACATCTTTGTGTGTCTTGTCCTCGCGAAGAAGTGTAGGACGTTGAGTATACAGTTCCATCCTGTTATATCGAGGCTCGTTGGCAATAGTCGTCTCGTTCGTGTCTAAAATCTTGTGGTGGACAGTTTCGTATGCACCATTGGACGCTGTTTCATCCACCATAACACCGTCGTCAATACTACGCTTGGATTTATCTCCAGACTTGGTTTCGCTGTCCCTCGACTCGTCATCATCGTCCAGAAGGTGGTATTCTTCGCTGTTGAGGTCGACTCGGCCCCATGGGAAGTAGTTGAGGTTGGAAGCTATGATTGCCTCTCGAGAAACTGAAGGCTTCTCCTCCTTGTCTTTCTTCATGACATCAATGATCTGGTTGATACCATCTGTTCTGGGGATAGAAGGCTCGAGGAGATAGTCTGTGGCGGGGATGCGGGTTTCCGACTCGACTTCCTTGCTCTTGCCGATGGGGATGGCTGGTACTGCTTGGATGACGAAGGGGAGGGTGATGACCATCAAGGCTAAAGCCTTCAGCGCATGTATCGCTACCATTTTATTGGGCGCGATGCTGTTGAGATGGGTAGATGCTATGTGTTGTGCGAGTCTGGTTTGATAAGTTCGAGGAGGGGGTGATGGTGTAGAATTGAGATGAAGTACAGATAATAATCGTGTTGGGAGAAATGGGGGGCAGGGACTGTTCCACTGTGGCATCACTCTCTTATATATGGTTCTTGAGACGGCGATTCTCAGTACTGAGTTTCACCTAGAAGTATAAGTATCATCACGGCTAATAACCCTATGAGCTTCAACCAATGTGCGCACTCAACTTCAGCGTGCATGTGTCAATTTTCACATATTAAAGTTTCACCTCAGGGGCTCTATTTGAACTGAATCAAGTTTTTGATTAAAGCTGACGCTTCTACTGCAACACGACGTAACTTTTTTTTTCATTATTCATATGTGAAGTAGCACCAAGATCCCTTTCTCGATGGGAGGTCATGTATTGCAGTGCAACTACAGTGAATCTGCTTATAAGCGGATACTGTTCCTCCACTGATGCCCATAGTAAACTTCTCACATATAACGTGGAGTGTAAGGCTTGAAACGGAATGGCAACTGGGTTTTCTAGCCATGTGCCATGATGCCTGTCATGAGGTCTTCTTCTTCTATCTGGGAATCGAAGCCAACTCCAGGGTCACCAGGGTCCTTGTCGGCCCGCTTCTGCTCCTTGACAACGTGCTTAACGTATTCCTTGCTGCTGGTTAGTCGTTCATTGGCTGCCTGATATTGTTTTCCTAGGCTCTCAATGTTGTGGTAACGCTGGGCAATCTCCTGAGCAAACTCCGCCTCTGTCATCGTCTCGCTATCGTCGTGGAAATGTAGAAAGAGCTCGTTCCCGTCGTCAGACGACTCTAGGTCGCCCTTTAACAAGCCAGAATCAATCATTCCTCGTACTATGTGTATCGCTGTGTCATCTGTTGGGAGAACCTCGCCTGTCTCTGCAGAGAGGGTGGACTGGCGCAATTGTGAGATGGATACTCGCTTGTAAATGTCCCGAAGGTTGATGATTTGCCACTTTTGGTACGTTGCAATGACCTCTGCAATCAGAGACGAGGTGCCGTCCTCCTCCCAAACATGACTATTCGCATCAGCATCAGCCTTGAGCTGGCCTGCGTTTGTAGTCGCAAACTGCGTGGCAATGTTCTTGTATGGTGTTCCCAGCGTGGAGTAGGTATTCTTAGCCTGGGCGGAAGTATATGATGGCAAGTTTGGCTCCTTTCCATCCTTGAGTAGACCGACTAGTAACCATCGCTTGTACGCTTCATCCATGATCTTAGCAACCCCCTTATCCTTGGAAGGGTACGTGATCACGTTCTCGAGGGCTCGATGGGCTTTCGTCCAATCTCGTTGCGACATGTAGCAAAGCGCACTTAGATGGTAGTACTCCAAGACATGAGAGTTTTTCACTGACTCGGTGAGACCCGTTTCGACCGAGATGAAGGCGGCAGGATGCAGGCTGCTATCGCAAAGCAGCTTCGAGTCTTTTTGGCCGGCAATGCCAGGGAAGAAGGTGGCGCCGCAATCCAGAACCTTTAACGCAGGCTCGATCCAGGCGGTCTGGTAGGCGGCCTTCACCAACGCCAAGTGAGTAGATGTGAACATACTTCCAGTGGGATCGAGTCGCAATAATGCACTAGCTACGGCCTCAATAGAAACTGCCGGCTGACCCAGCAAGTTAGCTATGTGTCATGTTAAAAAATCAGGTAGATACAGGGCACATACTGTAAATAGCTTTCCTTCGGCGACATGTTCGAGAAGCTTTCGGAATACTACTCCAACATATCGAACCTGAAGAGGGTTGAAATTGAGAAGGAATCGCAAGGTCTCGTCAAGAAGCGTGCGTTGGTCGATGCCTGGTGGGGGAGTTGGGCTTGAGAGTGCGGAATGGAGGATAGCTAGAAATGCGATGGAGTCGATTGACGGATCGATGCCCTGAAGGAGTTAATTAGACCATATAATAGCTACGGAAGCACGAAATATACCTGTAGAATTTGACTTGTATTCTCATTGATGGGCTGGCGCTGGTTCGCTAATAGTGACTTGACAGCCCCGATGTAATCCTTTATGACCGAGTCGTACTTTCTGACAGATTCTGTCGCAGCCTCAGTTGGTGAGAAGGCAGCCAAAACTGCCACTACAGAGTCCATTCTGAAATAATCGTGGATCGTCAAGTTTATTCTTTGGCTGGCGATTGCGGATGTTGATAATGAGTGAGGTGAGATGATGCGATATGGAGGTAAAGGCTGATAGTGATGATGAATTTACAGTGGATATGTCCAGCTCATGCTCTATGGGATAATAAGAGCCACCGGTCGGAGTTCTTCTTCACTTTTCAAACTTTGAGATACAAAAATTAAAGCTCAGAAAGTCGAGCTTTGGTGTTACTCGTCGACCTCAAGGCAACACTCATGAGCATAGCTTCCGTGTTGGTGGGGTGGTGACGTTTGGGGAAAGAGCCGCGAATTAGCCGGAGAAACTTGGCTTATCGATAAGAACACCAGACAATTGGAAGGAGCTGCCCCACTAAAGGCAGGTCTATTCCATTTTCACGTGAGAATCAAGCTTCCATCTATCAATAGTACCAAGATACTGACTGACCAAACCTCCTGACACTCACAAAAAGAACAAACATTTCTCTTTCAAACCATCATACTCACACTTTCTTTAAGCTTGGTTTCCCCAAACTTTTAGTTTTTATCATACAAAACGACAACTGACCACACGTAGCAATGTACAACATTATCCGAGCCCATCTCAATAACAAAGCATGCAGCCATCTCGAGTTACACAAATGTCTTGCCTGTAAAATCCTGTGGTCAATTCGCTACTATTTAAAGCTCATATAACCCCAAACCTAAAGAGTGACTTTTCGCTGCCGAAATTGAAAGCCTGACAAAGCAAGTAACCCCCAAACACTCTAAACCTCGACCAATGAGTTGCATAGTCCATCGATGGGGGTTTCGTATCTAATAGGGCCTACCCAAAACAAAAACAAAAAAGAGAATGATATCTAGTTTATGCCATATAAAAGACAGTAGACAAGCGCTTTGACTAGCTACAGGACAAGATGGCCAGATGTATTGAACAGACTGCAATAGTTTGTTATGCTTGTCTCATGGCTTGACAAGTCGCCTAATTGTGATGCCCCTCTCCTATTATTCGAACATCAAGTCACTAACGACTATAACCCTGATCAAATGAGCCAGCAGAGGATTGACGCGACGATCCAGGCCAACCTTGGACCGTCGAAGGACTGACGGCCCAGTCTGTTTCCGACCCGGTTCGCGGGCGCTTTGCAACAACAATGGCCATATCCTCACGGGTTTGAGGGAAATGGCTGGCATTGAAAGGTGGCTGGAGCCTCTCCGCGCCAATAGGAGCTTGAACCATGGCGGCTTTCGCGGTATCCTCGTTACTGCCACCACGCCAATCCGCTTGGGGGACGGCTTGGTTGCGCGGAGTCGACGAGTTCTTCTTGTGCTGCTTCTTCAGCTCTTCCTGATGATCTCTCCACCACTTGGGAAACCCATGGAAGAGTCCGAGAGACTGCTGGGTAGGCGTGTCAAACGGCATCTCGTGCTTGTACTTGCACCCTTGCTGTGTAAAAGCGCATGTTCCCTCGTGAACCCATTTGTCGCAGTAGATCTTGGTTTTGCGCTGCTGTGTAGGCAAGGTCGCGACGATACGATCGATTTTATTCTAGGCAGCCAAGTCAGCACTTCCGGAGCATAAACAACAGTTAGGAGTGATATGGAACAAGAAATATCTGATTACCTGGACATCAGATGCTCGAGCCTACACACTCAGTTTTCTTGGTCTGTGTTGATTGTGCTTGACTTACGTACCTTGACAGTTACAGGTTGGTTCATTCCAAATACTCCCTGAGGCGGCCTCATGTTCAGGTCTGGCAGAAGGACCATGCCCTGAGCACTAGACTGAGTTGCCGGGAGCTCGTTGAGACTCGGAAGCATATCTGCTGGGATGAGTCTGGTGTATCGACCATTAGGTCGCTTCAAGCAATAGGCAAAGCCATTAAGGCAGTCGGAGATGCTGACTGGCCCACCGTCATTGCTGAGTGTCGGAGGAGGAGGTGGATATGCCATGATGGGGTAGGTGTTGTTTCCGGAACGATGGGGATTTATCACCTCGACAGGCGGCTGGGAGCCTCGCCAGTTGCCTGATGTTATGTTTCGTGGCGCCGGAGGCTGGTAAAGGTGATTCTGTTGCCAATCACCATAACTTACTTGAACCGGATGCCCGCTCGTGATAAGACCCTGCGGATAGTTGTTGGAGGACGTAGGTGGAAACTGAGTCTGATTTGGACGATTCATAGCGTCAAAGGATATTGGATTATTAAGTTGCTTGGTAGGAGAATGAGTCCGGCGATGAACACTTAGAGCCTTTGAGGGGTAATGAGGAACAAGGTTGCTTCTTTGCCAATGTACTGGTGAAGAGGTCTGTCTTTGGGCTTGATACTGCCTCATGCTGTCGGGCTTCCAAGTCAAGAGTAATAGCGTCAAAACGAACAAAGAAATGCAGGATATAATGAGTATAAGAATTACTGCCCCTGGGTCCGTTTCAAATCCACCATGCGGATAGTAGCTTGGACACGGGTAACGGAAGACGGGACATAGCTTCGAGACGTGCGTTGGCAAACAACAAACGAAGGACAGCATGTGCTTTTTAAACATTCTGTGAGGACTCCAGAACCTACTCGAGTGCTGATATCGGAAGGTATCTACTGGAAAGGTCAGAAGTGGCTGTACGCAAGAAAGTAATTCTGGGCCATCTGATCAATGACTATGTTCTGTACTTGGAATCACGGACATTATCACGCTCTTGGGTTTGTTTTTGCTTTGAGGCTTGCTTTTTGAAAGGCACATACAAACTATCTGCGGTTACTTGCAGCTGGTATTTGTTTCCTTACGCCACCTACACATTCAGGCATTTTACCTACGTGAATCACGAAATCAAGGTTTGGGCTCATTTTATTTGCTTATGTTTTATTTCAAAGTATCTAGCAAATAACCTGTGTTGTGGTATGATGATTATCATTTACACTCCCTATCCTCTGACAGGGAGTTGAGCTGCTCGTGATCTACCTCCACTACCATAGGTTTCATCCATGTGCATGTTGCCTTCTGGCATGCAGATGATCAGAGATCAAATTTCAGAAAAGCTAAGGATTTGTCCGGTTTTCATCCGTCGGCTGCTTGCTTGCGCAGGGCAGTCCGGGTTTCTCTATCTCTAAAATCATAATTATGTATGCTGTGGTGCATTCTCTGGGGTTAATGTCCTTAGTCGGTTCAGTAGAAGGGCCTTTTGAATTTCTTTAGTGCCCATATCAGAATTCGAATGATGAACAAAGTCAAGCGCTAGCCTGACTTCGGCCTCTGACTTAAGGCCGTCACTTCTAAAGTTGATTATTTGATGGTTAGGAGGGGGAGGATGGCTTTGCGTGACAAGCACGCGTTGCTGTGGTACAGGAGGTGCATTGTTGCCCTGATAAACGTGGTTACCCATTATGTATCTCGCCAAATCGATCGAGCCTCCGGGAATCATTTGGCCACCTGCTTTTTGGTAGGTGTTTGGCGTGGGGATGGCAATGTGGTTTTTTTGGCCGTGGCCTTGCTGGTTGGTGTTTTGGGCACCGCCGTTTTCCCACGTTTGCCAGTGCTTTTGCTGTTGTTGTTTGACTGTCGGTTTTTGGCTGGGCTGGCTGCCGTTTTCGACTTGTTGGCTGTAGAGTTGCTGCCCTTTCTTGCCGCGGGCTTTGGGGTTGTGGAGTTCGAGGATAGCGTCCGCTTCGGCGCCTGTGTTGCATTTTTGTTAATTCTGTCTTTCGAGGTTGAGTTCTTGACTGGTGTTGTAGAGGGAGTTGCCTGCTGGACAGAAGAACTCCTCTGGCGTTTACCTTTTGGCACTGATGGATCGTCCTCAGATTCGTCCCCAGAGTCACCTCCAGCAAAGTCGTCGGACGAATCTGCAGAGTCCGCTTCGGGATCACCAGGCACGGGGTTGTTTACGGCTTCGGTCTTGTAGTTGATAGCCTATCCCATGTTAGTTAATGATATCAAACAGGTTACTTTTCGACGACTTACTTGACGACGTCTACCACCGCGACCGAGGACCTCCCGATTTGCTTCGGCTTGCCGCTGTGCCTCTGCCTCTCGTTGAGCCAGAATACGATCCCATACGCTTGAGTTGATGGCCTCTGGTTCGGCCATCTCTTCTGTAGCAAGACCAGCCTCAAAGCCAGACTTATCGTTGGACCATACCTTGGCATAAGAAAACGAGGTCCCGTCATCGGCTTTGGTTTCGGGTTCGTCTGTTCGATCTAGAAGTGCATCAACAGCAGCAGAGTCATAATGAATAGACTTCTTCTCGTAATCATCATTGAAGAGAGCTTGGGCGCCGTGTTTCAGGATTGACTCGAGATCATCGCCAGCCAGATCATCGTCGTCCATGCTCTCGATCAGAGCATGATCCAAAGCCATCTTCTTCTTACCAATCTGCATGATTCTTTCTTCCACTGAATCTGTTGTCATGAACTGAAAGCAAAGAACCTTTTTCTTCTGTCCGATACGATGCGCACGGGACAAGGCCTGGATATCTTGGTGCGGGTTGAAGTCAGGATCAAGGATGATGACTGTGTCTGCAGTAGCAAGGTTAATACCGACGCCACCGGCTCTTGTAGATAGCAGGAAGGCAAAGATGGGCGACTCAGGGGCATTAAAGGCATCGATTCGTCGTTGCTTCTCCAGACTGCTAATACTACCATCAAGACGACGGTAATCATAGCCCAGCCCGCTGAGGAAATCCTCAATAATGTCCAGCTGCTGTAGGAACTGGCTGAAGATCAAAACACGACGGCCTCTTTCCTGAAGTTTCGGAAGCATGACTTGCAAGAGAAGGAGCTTGGCCGACGCCTCCACGAGGTTGCGTTGGAGCACTGTGGGATCATGGTGACGTTCCTCAATAGCCTCGGAGTACATGAAAGGATGACAAAGACACTTTCTCAATTGCATCAAGATATTATTGAGAGACCCACGCTCTTTTTTGTTCATCTTGCTGTTGGAGAACATGGCCTTGATCAGCTCTGGGTTCTTGGCCATGATACTCTTGGAGAGCTTCTCCTGGATCACAGTCATTGTGACTGGCAAGATGATTTGAGTCATGGGTGGCAAGAACTTTAGCACGCCAGCTTTGGTTCGGCGCAGAAAATAAGGTCGAATCTTGTTGTGTAGTTTGGGAAGCGTCTCCTTGTCGAGTACTTCATACTCCTCATCAAGCTCCGCAGCATTCTGCTTGTCATCGATAAACTGTAGCAAGTTGAACAGCTCTCGCTTGTTGTTCTGCAATGGTGTGCCAGTGAGAAGGAGTCTAAAGGGGATGCGCATGGAGCGCAAAGCACCATATAGTAGATTTTCGTCGTTCTTCAGGCGTTGGCCCTCATCAACCACAAGACCTGTCCAGTTTATAGACTTGAATAGGTTTTTGGTTGCGGGGTCTTGAGCCGAATCGTATGACATGATGACAACATGAGCCTTCATGTCTGTGAACCCGTTGGGAAATAGCTCATACTTGTAGGCCAGTGCCTGTGGTTCTCGTCCACCATGATAGGCAACAACTCGTAGCTCTGGTGCCCATTGCTTGAACTCTCGGCGCCAGTTGGGGCATGTGGCGTTAGGGACGACGATTAGGAAAGGCCAGCACTATCGTCATGTCAGTATATTAATCACCATGGCCTCCAGATAGCTGTGATTTACCTTTGGGCTGTCTTGGACAAGTGAAGTCACAAGACCTACCACTTGGACCGTCTTTCCAAGTCCCATTTCGTCGGCGAGGACAACGCTGCGCCCTGAGTGGTAATTACCGAGCAGCCAATTGACTCCTTTAATCTGATAGCCCATGAGATTACCCCGAGTCAGACCAGCAGGTTGGGTATTAATCTCCTTGAACGGTGCAGCCTTGTAAGTCTTAACTCGTTCTTTGATCTTGGACTGACTTTCACTCTTCAAATACTTGCTCTCGACGTATTCGTAGTATGCTTCAGCAAAAGAAGCATATATCTCGCCGTCGTCTTCTGTTGGTGGTGAGTCCCATACAACATCATCGTAACCTAGACCCTGGAACTTGACAAAGATCTTTGTGACGTGTGCCAGGTTGTTCATCTCTTGTTCTCTTGTTGATTTTGGCACAGATAGGTCCGTTTTGACGTTGAATATAATGTCGGCCATAAGAAACTCATCTGGGATGGCATCTTGTTCGTCTAGCTTCAGAAGATCCTCGGCAGCATCTCTCTTGCCGAATGATATACGCATCGTAGAAGCTGCCACGCCATATACCCAAGCACCAGGCTTCCAAACACAGTGGGCATACGATCGGCTATCCCATTTGATCAAGTACTCCTTGTCGTCCTCTCGAACCTCAGCACACGTAGGTCGAGGAACCTGTTTCGCAAGATCCTTTTGTGTGGGTCGCCATGCGACAAGCCGGTGTATCTTGTGGCGAGTAGTAGCGCATTCTTTACAATGCCAATCAACCGAATGATCTTTGAGGCGCTCAGACTTGAGATCTGTCCCAATGGTACCGCTTCTAGCGCCAGGGAGATGCTCAACATGCCACCCTCTGCGGCATGCAACACATCGAAAAAGGACGTTGCCAGCATTGTTGATAAGCTTTGGAGAGACAGGAGTGACTGGGTCAACGCCACCATTCTCCTCGCGAAGCTTCTCTTCCTGCCGGGATGTCTTCTTCTCGGAAAAGGAAGCACAGCTGCCACCAGGAGCTTTACATGTCTGGCACATGTCGTGCTTGGGAGCCTTGTCGTCCTTTTTACCGGGGACACCAATGCAAAATCTGCATTGCAAGACAAAGCTATCCTCGCCAACCTTTGTCACCATGTGTTCACGACCACTGCGGTAACCGATGCAAGACTTGTGGTAGGACAGTGTGCAGCCTTGACAGTGGATTATTTGGCCCCGTTGGCGTGAGCCACCGCACGTATAGCAAGTGTCCATGTGCATCGTAGCGAATTCTGATTCGGTGGGCAGCGGCTGAAAGATTTCTCTTACGGAAATGATTTTTGGGGCGCCAGGAGTTCTGTCATCGGCAACATAGAACGAATCCTCGTCCATCAAAGCGTCGTCTTGCATGTTCAAAGTATTTCGCGTCGCTCTAGAAGAACGCCGAGGAGCTTCGAATTCAATGTCAGAGTCATCAGACTTGTGGCGTGAGGGTCTCTGCGATAGAGCCTTCTGTCGCATACTCATTGTTTGTAGGCGTTTCATCCGTTGACGTGCCTTGTTAGGTCGCCCCTTTTTCGGATTAATGTCAGAGACGACAATCGGCATGAAATCATCATCTTCTTCCTCTGATGGGGGAACATCTCCATGTAGCTCATCCTGATCTTGACCGCCAAATCCGTTCTTAAAAGACGTGTTGGTCGACTGTCTGGGCTGACGAACTCTGAGAGATCTAGTGGGGCGTGACGGCTCTGGTTGAAGATCATCGAGCTCATCGTCGGTCATTCTAGAAGGACTGCGAGAGAGCTGCTTTGTGGCCTCCCTCGAGCGAAGGCGTGAGCTGCGCATGCGTTTTGTTTGAACGGGTTCTTCATCTTCTTCATCGTCGATATCCATGTGATCTGAGATGATAGACTCGTGTTCAGAATCCCAGTCGTCTTCGTCCTCATACTTTCGCTTCCGTGTGCTGGCCATGTTCTCGAAATCTAGCGGCCCTAGGCCTTGGTTAAACCGGGCCAGGGCAGCTCTTCCGTTTTCGAGAGTGACAAGTTGTGTGAAAGATTTCTTTGAAGGGGGGTCAGTGGTCTGTAGCTAATATCAAGTGCGTGTGCAAGGAATCAAAAGAAATGGCGATCTGTGCAGGAGAAGGCCTTGATATGAAGAGAAGCGGTGCGGGGCTGTTAAATAGAGGAGTATATATTTGCGAGCTCTGCAGTGAATAAGGTAGGCTGTGGACAATAGCTGCGGTATTCAACCCTCCGCAACGAAACCTGACACTGCAAGACAATAGCAACAAGTGACTATTAGGTAAAATGGCAATAAAGGTTCGTGAGAGCCGCCCATGAGCAAATAAAACTGCACTAAGAATAAAAGAATATCCACCTACCAGCTCTTTTCTTCCATCTGTGAACTCGACCTGGTAATCGACAGTTTTCTTATCGTGAACTTCGCCCAAAACGGATTCAACAATATCACTGTGCACAAACGAGTATTGGGCGCGCTCTTCCAAAGGGATCTCTGGAACCACAACCTGGACTCGATAGCTTGTTGATACAGTAGGCTTGGGCTTGGGCTTGGGCGTGGGTTTGACCTCATCCACTATATCTCCTTCGACCCGAAGTATATCGTCCTCTTTTTCGTCTGGTTGATCCTCCTCTCGTGCATGGTTGCCTTGATTCGGTGACGTGTGTTCCACTTCCTGATCCATGGCTGTGTCGACAGGAGGTTGTTGTTCTGATTCGAGAAGGTCTGCTCGTAATAACTCTAACGATCGCCCAATAGCGTTTTCATCCTGGTCCACGAGGCCTTCGAAGGGATCGTGGTCCATGCTCTCAATCTCCATCATGCCGGTACTCGATTCAGTCGTATAATTCGTAAAAGGCAGCGTACATATCGTCGTCGAGGAGGTTGGCGGGGTTTATTACACTCTCGAGTATGCTGTAAAATACCACCAACGAAAACTAGAGATACAAATTATTACAATTTTTAGTGAAGAAGAACATAAGCGGTTAGTTGATGCGACCAGAGCGCCATAGCGGGAGTTTTGTTGTCGAGCCTACAAGGTATAAGGTTCGCTTTTCGGGAAACGCGACCGTCGCATTCACACGCGTTAAGTTACAGCCCATTAAGCACAAGCCCACCATGATATGCGCTAAAAATGGCACATCGAGTCTCACCGCCCGCTGAACCCTTGTGAGGTACTCGGCAGAAAAAAAGATTTAGTGGGGCAATCTATTGAAGTCTTGAATCGAAATGGAGTATCTTCCTACTTCTCTATCAAACTGTAACCGCGTTATGCAATGATATATCCTACTCAATTAAGAGTTTCTGCTCTTTCTCAGCCATTGGCAAGGCTTCATATTGCTCAAAAAAGTTTTGCTCCCGTTTTTGTTCGTGGGAAAGGACTCTCAGCCATTCACCGGGGTATTCGTATGGAATTTGGTAGATCAGATTCTGATGTATCCATCTCTCCATTGCCCAGGCGTTCACTGCGGTCTCTCCAACCAGATCCCTTTGCAGACAAATTCAAGGCGAGAGCCGTCGACGATGGTGGTCAAAAGTCAGGCAGAGACTGGCGCACAAACCAAAATATGAGGAAGAAAATGAGAAAGGCAAAAGAGAAAGAGAGGGAACAGGAGGAGAGAGAAGCAGATGGTACCGCCCGTCGAACAAGGAGGAAGCGATTTGCGGATCCTGAAAACGAATTTGGGAATCAAAGTTTGGTGCATCGAATGAAGTATGGCGACCTCAAAGAGGTGGCTGATAGTCTGCAAGTGAAACAACCCGTTCAGCCACGGTCTTTCAGGCAAGCTGGGAGAGATCGTGCCCTCGATTTTGGAGCCCGGGACGAAACCTCACGAAACGAACAACGACCTGAGCGATCACAGCAGCAGTTTGATCGTCCAGGCCGTCAGTCCAATCATTCCGATCGTCAATCTGATCGTTCAGATCGTCAGTTTGACCGTTCAGATAGACGACCTGGCCGACGGTCTGACAACCCGCCCCAAAGGTTCGATAACTCGGACCGCAGCGCCCCTCGTCGGGACAATGCTCGGAACGATCGATGGAATAGCCAGGACGAAGATCCTAGCGATGTATATGCTGTTGAGCGTGCACAGAGAAATGGAATGATGGCCATGACTATCAAATACACGACCGCCGCCTCTCAGTTTCTTTATGGTCGATCGGTAGTCAAGGCAGCCTTGGAGCAGAACCGACGAAAACTATACAACCTCTACATCTATGGTGGCGAAAACAGGGCGGACAACAAGGACAACACAATTATGACCCGAATGGCAGAGAAGCATGGAGTGCCTATCACCATCGTACCCACTCACGAGCAACGAATTATGGATAAGATGAGCATGGGACGACCTCATAACGGCTTCGTTCTTGAAGCTTCCCCTCTACCTCAGTTGCCTGTCAAGTCGCTCGGCAAGTTAGAGGAGAGCACTGGACGTCTTGGGTTCCATGTCGACCTAGACTATCAAACTAGAGAGGAGGCAGCAGTCAACGGTACAGACACGTTCATCCGACGGTCCAACGACGTAGCACCTAAGCCATTCGTCCTTTTACTGAATGAGATCATGGACCCGGGTAACTTGGGAGGCATCATCCGCACTGCTAGTTATCTTGGTGTAGACGCTGTCTGCATCACCAGCCGAGGTTCATCTACACTCACCCCAGTGGTTCTCAAATCTGCTGTCGGTGCAGTAGAGGAAATTTCATTATTTACGGTTGACGACCCCGTGAAATTCGTCGAAGAATCTAGCAAAGCCGGTTGGAAGACTTATGCCGCAGTGGCACCGCCTGACCGAAAGTTGGTTCGAAGACATGGTGGCAAGTTCATCTCTTTGGATTCCATTGAATCCAGTAGTCCGCTTAACGAGCACCCTTGCTTGCTGGTTCTTGGTAATGAGGGTCACGGTCTATCAAAGCCTGTCAAGGTCGCTTCTGACTACGAACTGTCGGTTCCTCGCTTTATTCAGGGAAGCTGTGTCGACAGTTTGAACGTTAGCGTCGCAGCTGGGCTCTTATGCCATGCTTTTGTCAAAGAACCAGTAGTTGAGGTCAAGCATGAGCCAATCGTGCAAAAGACTGAAACTCAGACTGTCGAGTCTACAGAAGTAGAAAGCATAAGCGTTGCTGCAGAGACCGAGATGCAGCCCACTGAACAAGCCCAGATTGAGTCCGTTGCTATCTCAGAGCAAACTGAGACGAAAACAGAAGAGATCGAAGTTACCAATGAGGAAAAAGAGTCAGATTCCGAAGGAAAGGAGAAGAAGGTTGAGAAATCTAACGAAGCGATGTTTTAAGAAGCTTCACAGTCATGGGGCACATTCTATTGTAACAACCTATGTATACCACGATGCATTTGGCCGGCGCTTTGGGTAGAGGATGAAGCATGTAATATATGTACGATTACGATTTAAAAAAGGGTTGAGAATAAATGAGAGAAAAAGAAATACTTCCTCATTTACGTTCATTCTTTGATACTAATTATTCCGAGGTTGCGGAGTTTGGGCGTTCTAACGTTGGTACATTAGCCTCCATGTAAGAAAGACCCTGCATGACGTTGCACGCCATCCCGCCCAGCCATCATGACTTCAACTTTAATCGCGGGAGTCTTCCAGGCTTTTCATGGCTATTATTAGTTCATTACTATAACAGTATTTTTATAGTATGAGGCAAATTCCAAGGTAATTTTTCAAGGTTTGCCTCTCAATTTGACAATCATCTTTAGCTCGTCATATCTTCACTTAGCCATCTCCCAGCCACCGAATTTGTTTACAAGTTACCCAACTGGGAATAAGTCCAAGTTGTCATACCCCAGGCAAGCCTGGATAGCGGCCTCACTTCCTCTCTTCCCCTCACATTTTCAACTTGTCAACTCATTCAGCATTCATTCAACTTGACTCGTTATCTCTGTATAGGCGACATTTCGCCTAATAACGGGTCATTGGGTATTGTGTGGCGGTGTAAGAGCCTCATATTTTATATTTCACCGCTAACACTTCAGCCAAGATACAGCTGTGACAACTCACTGAGTTCTTGGATTATTCTTCAACTTCAGTCACTCAGTATACGAAGATGCGGCCCATATCAACAATGTTGTTTTCTCTCGCCGCTTTCTTGCCTCCACAAGCTGTCGCCGAATCGAGTTCGCCAACAGCTATCAAGAAGCTCGCTCCCGGTTCCAACGATAAACTCCTCCGTGAGCATCTTGCATTTGCGCCGTTGCAAATCCTTTCTCCCCGCGATGCTGCCGCCGCTGCGATATCGTTCCTAGATAACCAGGATGATGAACTCCTAACACTCAACGGCACGGAACGGTTCTATCGTCCGGCATTTGCCCCTCATAGCGAAGAATCTCGGGATAGCATGTTACGGCGTGCCGCAGAGGCATTGGCGTTGCTGCAGAGAAGAACGTCTTGTCCTAAGGGGATGAACATCTGCTCCAACATTGACCCAGAGGTCAAATGCTGTCAGGAAGGAACATACTGTGTAGATGTCGGAGACAGTGTGGCTGGAGGCGTCGCATGCTGTCCTGATGGGGCTTCATGTGATGGAGGTGTTGGGTCATGTCCATCTGAAGCCGCAAGTTGCCCGGAAGAGCTTGGCGGTGGATGCTGTATCCCAGGGTATGTATGTCAAGGGCTTGGATGTAAGTGAAGATACACTCGCACTCTGCTCCTAGGTCGGTACTGACTGCAAGCAGGTGTTCCAAGTGCTGCTGCGACCCCGACAAGCACAACCCAAGCGTCGACTACAGTCGCACAAGAGACAACTGAAGAGCCTACAGTGGAACCCACTACCGAGACAGAAGCTGAGACAACGGCAGAGGAAGAGCCTACGACAGTCTCCGAAGCTGAGTCAGAAACGGAGACGGAGACGGAAGGCACAACTGCACCTACGACAGCTACGGGCTCCGTCACTGGCATTGCGCCTTATCGTCCAACCGGCACTTCTGTAACCACCTCGTCTAAAGACGAAGATACACAAACAGGATGCCCCACTGGCTTCTATGGCTGTCTTGCAACTCACGGCGGTGGTTGCTGCCGAACCGATCGAAACTGTGATACGCACAATTGCCCGGCTCCTTCAACGACCATCGTCACCGACGGCGCGACAATCGTCGTTCTCGCCACTGATGCGCCGCCTGCTCCCGGCCCCGCATCGACATGCGCAGATGGGTGGTTTCTCTGTGGTAGAAACGCCGGTTCTGTGGCTGGATGCTGCCCTGACGGTTATGAGTGCGGTACAGCAAGTTGTTTTACAGAGGTTGCCAGCGAAACTGGTCGTTTGCAGAAGGCATTCCCTGAAGCTGCTGCCGCTGGGCATGTGAATCCCACTGTCATGATGGCTACGGCTGTCATGATGTTTGTGGGCATTGTGCTTGCGTAAGCTTAATGGCTACGGTTGGCATTGAAATGGTGTCTGGGAAAAGGAAAGGAGTATGAGTTTGATGAGATAGATTCAACGTTTTTATGATAGTAAGATACACTAGTTAGATACCCTTGTAATACAGTGGCAGAATTACATTGCCTGTATGGCTTTTCATTATTATAGCAACAAGATATGGAGATGCAAATATGATTATTTACTGTGCAATTGCTTTGCTCACACAATAATTAAGATTGTGGTTTAGTCACTTATCTCGATGGCAAGTATGGAATGTTTGTGAGATAATTTTTATCTTTTACTGTATTATTTTCAGGCACTGGGCCTCCTCTTAACGACTCATCATCATTATCATCATATCCTGACGCTTCGTTCCTTACTCGGGCATGTGCTTGAAGGGCTTGGCGAGGTGCTCCTGGCAGAAAGGCAGCTTTCCGACGGTCCAGATCTCGGTATCCTGTAGTAAATGTTAGTTATTTCCAGTTGGTCATACATCGATGGTACTCACAGGCTTGAGGTTCTTCTTGATCTCGGTATCAAGAGTACCAGCCTTCAGAGCGATGATTTCAGGGGCGGCATCGGGGTCGTGGGCAATGGGAGAACCGCACTCAGAGCAGAAGAGACGGTGGACGATGTTGCCAGAAGAGCCCTTGGTGCCGGAGTAGGTCTTGACGGGGCCGTTGATGGTGAGCTTGTCCTTCTTGACAACAGCAACGAGAGCTGAAGACGATGTTAGCTTTGTTTAATTGTTCGGGTCGTGTATCCAGAAAAAGGGAGTCTTACAGTAGGTGGAACCGCTCTGACGCTGGCAGTCGTCACAGTGGTCGTAGCCAACAACGAGAGGCTCATCGTCGACCTTGTAGGTGACGGCTTTGCAGAGGCAGTGTCCGGAGAGAGGCATTGTGAAAGATTTGGAATATAGAGTGGTAGGCTGGTGTATTGTTCAAAGTCGGCGATGAATGTCTGGACTAACACCACTTTCAAGTCTGGGAGAGGACGGGCTTTTTAAAGCTTATAAGGAGCTCTCGAAAGCTCTATGAGGGGTCGTAGCGGGGTAAAGGCAAGTCCCGAACTCCTGTTAGCAAATGTTAAGGGTGACGGTATGATGAACAGGGAAAGCCTTTGTTGGTGGGGCGGTGATTGGATGACGTTGGACAAGATCTTCAACTTAGGGGTGTGTTGTCTTTCTAAACTGGAGCTGCATATTCGAGTACGACTGTACGAGACAGTATTTGTTTACAATGCCTGGATAGGTATGTTATGCGTTGACGGGACCAGAGTAGAGCTTAACCAAAAGCCAACATAGCCTAAATTCCCTTGACGATATCATGAAGTGCTTGACAAGCCATGAAACCAAAAGCATCGATCAATTCCAGATACTCGGACGGTCGGGACATTATCGACATGTAGCGTTGTCCCATTGGCGTATCTGCGTATCATTATCTCAAATCGTCAGCCTTAGCTCGTTGGGCGCCCCTTGTAAACAAAGTACCGTGTGACGTTGACTGAGGAATTTGTAATTCTTCGGGGACCAGCCTGCAGGTTGACCAAGCGGGGCTTATGCGGACAGTATTTGGAATTAGAATAGTTCGATATTCGCGGATTGAGCTTTTCCATGAGTGTCGTGGTATCGTTCGGTTGCAGTAAGACCCATTCTGACAATTACTGGAGGAATTCCTAGTGTAGCCATTGACTTCTGTTCAGACAAAGGACACAAGCTTGACCAAGCTCTCTCAGAGCTTAGTCAAAATGATGATGAAAGTCGCGGGGCAGTGGAGAGCTCACCACTGGGGCTTCAAAGTTCGTGATGCTGATTGGCTGACGTGAAGGATCTCGAAACGCCAGTTTAGCCTGTTCCTATGGTCGTATCAAGCGTATCTCGCGTCGGTCAAAGCGCAGTTCTTTGCAGGCAAAGCATGAAAGAGTGAATACGTATCAGTGCTGATGAAGCACAGGTTTCACCTCTCTCCCATTATGAAGTGTTGAGTCCCCGGGGACTTTCACCAACAACTATACGCTCATCATGAGAAGCCATGAGTGATAAGAGACGCTAAAGCCCATGAGATGCCCGCTCTTCCTACAAGCTCCATCATGCCAAGCAGGGTCGTGCTACCAAGAGTGATACGATCGGCCACGAATACTCGAAGGACTGCCGTTCTGTACGCTTTCTTCACTCTGGCATCTTCTTGCCCAAGTACAAATGCGTCCATAGATGAGATGCGAAAGCCTCGAATGTCGATGCCGGAAGTCGGGGATGACGATTTGTCTGCAGATGTCAAAGGTCTTTCAATTTTTCGGGGTCGGCGTCTCATAGACTTGATAAGTTGAAACCAAACATATTCGACGAGGCTCAAGGCATGAAGCGATGGCGATCGCTTCTTCAAGAATATATTTGTCAATTGCTCAGGCTTGTCAGTCCAAAATGTGCAGCTCTCAGCAAGCTCACAGAAAACAGCCTCTGAATCATGCGCATAATGAACAAACCGAGAATAAAAGGTTGGTGTCAGAATCTCGATATTGATCTCTTTTGCGCATTCGCTTGAATCGGTTGCCGAAGGTGATCTCAAGATCTCTTCAGAAACTTCAGCATCTCCGCTAGGTGTGTATCGAACAACAACTGGTATACGCGATTGCTCAACAAGACTCCGGAGATATGCGCGAAACACTCTTTCAAGAACCTTCTCGACATCGCTACTTAACCGCCCTATGCTATTTTTGCGAGGCTCGGGTCGGTACCAAAAGTGAAGGTTATGTCTGAACAAGAGAACGGCAGACTCCTTGATAAATCGAGGGAAGGTAGCAACTGCTGACCAAAACCAAGTCAAAATGAAGCCGACCTTCTGGGTGACACTCATCTCGTGTGGATCAATTGCCTGGTTTTCGGAAACCAATTTTGCCACAAGCTTTTTATAGCCTTTGGACGAGAAGAGATTGATAGTGATGTCGAGTCCATGAAACCCGTACATCTCAGGTCCAAGAGGATCGCTCGCAAGTATCGAGTAGGACCCTTCGCGAGAATTGAAGGGCGAAACATGGAATTCCTTTTGCGCCGTTGCATTTACTTGGGCACGTTTAAGCTCTTGATTATCCATGTTTCCATCCTGGATATGCTCGGCCTCGGCCTCGAAGTTTCGAGCGGCGAAATAGGAATGTCTCTCCCCAAAAATATTGTGCATCTCGACGATAGTTGCCGAAAACACCTTATCTTGAGAGTACAAGAACCAAAACGATACTGGGCTGTAGCCAAAACCGAGGTGCCGCGGTGGGGTCACAAGGTAAGCATGAGGATATTGCGATGGGTCAACATGCTGTTGCTGTCAGTTCGGAGCCAGTCGCGTTGCCATATAGCCACAAACCTCGGATTGTAGATAAGAATCCAGTTTGCCACGCAGCCCCGTGTATGAAGATTGTCGTTGAAAATGATCAGCAGCATCTATGCTGAACCAAACTTTTGGTCTGAGTAAACCCGACAACCAGGTTGATATAGGCCTATCGATTGATATCATACTATCAACATTCCCCGTAGAGTCTACTGGAACGCCAATAGTAAGATATTGGTAAGAAAACGAATGCTGTTTGGGAAACAGCCGAGAGTGTGTTATTCGGCCAGGTATTAACATTGGTCGCGGATCGCCAGTTCGGCCACTGGTGGTCCCGGGTACCAGCCATTTCAGGATAAAATATCCAAAGAAGCATGTTGCCGCAGCGATTATTGTGATAAGAGATAGTTGATTCAGGCCGATATATCGCGAGATGACGGTGACCGCCGAGTGCTTCCAAGCTATGAAGCCTAGGGTAAGCCAGCCCGTCAGAGAATGGTACAGCCATATGATCGAGGCAATGGTAGAGAAATACAACCATCTTTCGACGACTCGGTCAATAAAGTCAGCGATAAGGATGACTGACAGAAGAGTCGAGTCCTCAGACAAGCCGTCCATAAACAAGGTCAAGGGTAGGGCATGTCTGTTAATGAAGTGAATGGAAAACTCCCAGCCTACAAAGACGAGAGTATACACAAGAGAGGGGAGAGGGGAATGAAGATTTGAATATCTAAAATGATTTCAGTAGAATAATTAGCTACACAGGACGTGCCGAGGTTCTGATGTTGTCCATCAAGGTAGATTGCCTGTAATGGACACTGAATCTACATGACAACCAGTGAGCGTCGCAGCTGCAATATCGAAAAGGCTGGTTAGTCATCAACCATGGAATCAATGGACAACACAAATATCTATGCATAAAATTATGGACGGAAGATGCGCATCATTGGGCATGAGCGTGTCATTTTCTGATAGTCCCGCTTTGTCGTCATTGATTAAATCTTTCTCTCTAACTAACAGTCATACCGGCCTGAGCAGATCCCAAACTCCCAACCCGGCCGGACAAGCCGTCTTTAAGATCAAACCCTGCAGAAAAATGGAAGGGGTCCCGTCCCGGCAGACGTCTAGCACCTTCCATGAACTGAAGAGGCGAGCGAATAAGCCACCAGTGGCGGTGCGAAACAAAGTTCACACCTACCTGAGTCTGCCGCTGTCGCACTGTCATTTCCAGGGCAAAACAGCCTTATCGTCGTGTCGCGATGGGCGCAGCATGTAGTAAGCCCCAGGGGGCAGCCCGAGAAGAGGCCACCGATGCACGGTGCCAATTATAACCCCCCGCCGATTGACTCAGTGCCCCCTCGAGCCCCTCCACCCATTCCATCACCTTCTCCATAAATTCTTTGTCGCCCGGAACCCAGCTCGATCGATATTACATTCTCACTCACGCAACAAACAACACTTCTTTCTCATACTCAATCCTTTCGACTTACAAACCACTTTCGGCCACATATCTACATTTTATAAACAACAACATAAACTTCAAAATGGATGACTGGGACACCGCAACCAAGATCGGCAGCCGCGCTCGTGGCCCCGGCAATGCTCAGCGAGAGACCGTCGTCCGAGGAAAGGCTGCTCTCAACGCTGCCCAACGAGCTGGTGGTCTCAGCACCGAGAAGAAGTTCTCTTCTGCCAACGCTGTATGTACAACCAATCCATCTATACTACATTCGTCACTGAAACTTTACAAAGGGTTCCGCACCAGAGGGTCAGCGTATGACCAAGGTTGACCGATCCGACGACATCATCAAGCCCAACACCATCGGCAAGACTGTTGGCGACGTCATCGCAAAGGCTCGACAGCAGATCGAGCCCAAGATGACCCAGAAGGATCTCGCTACCCGCTGCAACACCACCCAGGCTATCGTCGCTGATTTCGAGCGAGGTAGCGCCGCCCCCGACCAGAAGGTGCTCGGCGCCATGGAGCGCGTACTCAATGTCAAGCTGCGAGGCACCGACATTGGTGCTCCCAAGTTCCCTAACAAGAAGAAATGATCAATTCATGCCTGATTAGAGGGAAATATTTGTAACAAGGCTTCAGAGCCGAGTCGAGCGTTAGCGAATGATGATATCTTGGCTGGGAAATATGGGAGTTTCGTGTGGGCCGTCACGATGCGTTTATGACAATGGGTACATGAACTTCTTTTTTTATGATGGGTCTTCGGGATTCACGGCGATAGAAAGAATGGACTCCTCAGATTATGGGTGTTCTGGTTTCTTAACTCATGAGCGAGGTAAATTAGCCCGCTCAACCGAATAAAATATCCTCATGCATCATGACCTTGCGGCCTGTTTCGTTCTTATTCGCATGACCATTTCGGTGCGCGCATAGGTCTCACAACCTGTGGTCGTTTTGCTCCATACTAATGATATCATATAAAGTTGCCGTTGGCAGCTGAACAAGTGGAGGCATATATATATATAGTCAGAGCCACCAATAAGAACCAAATCACGGGATAGGTTGACAGTATCGGATTTTGAGAAGTCAGCCTGTAGTAAAAATGAATTTTTGTTCTATTTCCATCACCGTGACCCTTCCCCGACTTTTTATAAAGGTAGAGACACTACATACGCCATTTGCCAGCTGTTACGGCGCAACACATACACAAGATCTCGATACTCGTCGCTAAGGGATACAATTCTTCTATCAACCATGTGCCCATCATTAAATCTAGCAATTCATACACCCAATTTCAAAATTATGCTGAAACCTTGGGGCTGTACTTTGTAGCGGCTCTGTCAAACAGGGCACTCTTCTCTTCCAAGTCGGCCAGGAACTGGTGGTCAGGTTTGGCGCTCTGGAGTTTCCTGCGAGACGTAAGTATCAAACCACTATGTATTAGAGTAAAACTTACTGCGTAAACTCATCGGACTTGCTGCCAGTGATGACGTTGAGAACGAGCAAGTTGGCAATGGCATCGGCGTTGTTGGCGTCCTTCTCCAAAGCCTGATCCAGGGCAGCCTGTGCCTCTTCTGTTCGGCCAAGGTGCAATTCGCAGACAGCTTGCGAAACAAGGCTGCGTACTGATGAAGTTGAGGGAGCTTGGGCAAGCTCCTCATAGACGTAGAAAGCCTGCTGGTACTTCTCACCACCCTATATCGTCTTAGTAAAAGGCGTCATTAGCAGTTGTGCCATGCTTACCACTCTCAATCCAACCCAAGACTCGGCCAAGTTGACCAAAAGGCTGTCCTGAGCCCATCGTCGCGCAGCGGAGACTTCCTTCAGGGCGAGGTCGGTTCGGTTTTGTTGCAAGTGAATCTGAACGATAAGGGAGACGGCGTCGACTGGATAATAGCGGTCAGCATAATCCTGAGCATAGCTAAACTTGAGGTTTCCATACGGCTTCCCTGATGTTGGGTAAGGAGAGCAAGGGCCTCCTCAGACTTTCCAGCAGCTTGAAGAACTGTTCCTCCAATAACCTGCACCGTTGTGTTGTCGGCGGCTGAGGACGCAAGCGTCTCGATCGTCTGAACTGCGGAATCGGTCTTGCCCAAGTTTAGCTCAGCAAGAGCACCAAGAGCCTGAAGCTCGGGCTCGGATTCACCCTTCACTTCGTCGAGGACATCTTCTGCTTGGCCAAGAGCCAGTCGAGCTCGGAGAACTAGGACGCGAACGGGCACGGCGTTATCAGGGGAGAAGGACGAGGTATCGAAGTCGACAACTTCCTGGTACTGCCCCTGATGGAAGTGGCTGTGGATATTGATCAATTCGCCTTCGGTAGAGTAAGGGTCCATTTTGACGGTTATTGCTTGTATAATTCTTTACAATTGCATATAAGTGTTGTCCCTGAAAACGTCCCTTGAGAACACCTTGGTGATGCGCCTGAGATTCAATCCAAGGTGGGGCCGTTGTCTGTCCTTTCGTGGAGTGAGCTTCAAAAGTACGTACTTCCCCTTAGCCTCACGAAGATGAGGCGCTGATCATGAAAGCCTTATATATCAGGCCTCAAATGTGGCTGTTGCAAGCGAGTGCCCGCCCGAATGGGGCAGGTAGGGTCGACTGCCCACAAAGTTCGAAATAACCAAAACCCCCCAATTTTAGTCAGTCTTTGGAACTTGCATCACCAAACACACCCAACGAACGGCACCGCACATCGTCGTCAAAATGGTACGTCGCATCAGTCTAAAGCCTTTGATCAGAGTCGGCAATAGCATCAGCACTCTTATCAAAAGATGCAATGCCATTGTCTCCCGCCATGCGCCCGTCGACCGCCCGCACGATGACAGTAATATTGGAGAAAGTGGGATGAAATTTTGAAAAGCGAGGGGACACGATTTTCGAAAACACAAGCAACGCCTCATCTTCGATCGCCGACGACAACTCAGCTGTCATGCTATTGCGCCATTTCGAAACATTTACGACGATTCAACCCTTTCTTCCAAAACTGTCTCGGGCGACGGACGACGGCATGGCGAGATCTAATAGAGGTCTTGACACTCGATCATGACCAGATGGCTAACACACTGGATCCCACAGGTCAACATTCCCAAGACCCGTAACACCTACTGCAAGGGCAAGGAGTGCCGCAAGCACACCCAGCACAAGGTCACCCAGTACAAGGCTGGAAAGGCCTCCCTGTTCGCCCAGGGAAAGCGTCGATATGACCGCAAGCAGTCCGGTTATGGTGGTCAGACCAAGCCCGTCTTCCACAAGAAGGCCAAGACCACCAAGAAGGTTGTCCTTCGATTGGAGTGTGTCAAGTGCAAGACCAAGCTCCAGTTGGCGCTGAAGCGATGCAAGCACTTCGAGCTTGGGTACGTGAACTACTGGGACTTATGGATTGCGACAATGCTAACAATGACTACAGTGGTGACAAGAAGACAAAGGGTGCTGCTCTCGTTTTCTAAGTGCTTTGTGTTTGGGGTCTCAGGGTCACCATTTCTATGCTTACCTCGGCGGCATTTGGGCATCATGGATGGACACAGGCGAAAGGAGGTACACGCCCTCGGTTTGAGGCATGTTTCATAGGGAATGAATGAAAAGAAAAAATCTCTGTGTTGCACCAACACAACTTTCAAAAGCACAGCGCAAGAATATGCCTACCCGGTGATGAGCAAGATTTATTCGTTGAGTCATTACCCCTCAGCATCGCTCAGGATGGGTGAGGGGAGGGGCGGCTTATGAGTCATGGTTATGGTTCAGCAAGCTTCAAAACAGCAACGGTGTATAGGTCTATAGGTCTAATACGCGATATACTCTAAAATCCCTCTCCCAGCATGATGGTCTTGCCGCCTCCGTACCACAGTGTACCGTTTCGCGCGTCAAGTCCTCGCTCATGACCGACAAGCCATTCGCCGTTGTACTCGGAGTCCGGGTTATCCCAGACCTCCTTCTCGAGCCATGCATTGATCTCGTCGATGGCCTTGACCCAGTTCGCCCTCTTCTCCGGTGTGTTATAATCATCATGGTTCAAGTATCGTCCGAGCGTGATGTGTGCACTAGGAACTTGATACCTTGAAGCAACGACAACACCGCCCTCCTGGACCTTATCATAGACATCCCGACGAAGGTGGTGGTAAGTGTAGCTGTCTCCCTGCGTGATACCTTCTGTTTCGACAGGCTCAGTAAGAGGTGGCGAGAGCGATGGTTCACCTGAGGCAGGGAGGAATGAGAGAGCAAAAGCAGACAAATCGTAGGACACCATAGGCTTAACAAGACGAGATCTGTGTGAGTACGGGTAGTTGACGATCTCAGGAATAGATGGCCTCAGGGTGTGAACATAGGCAGCGATTTCCTGAGGAGTCTTTGAGAAGGCAACCTCAAGAGCCGTCAAGTGCATTCTATGGGAAGGCATAAGCCAGACACCTTTTGAATTGTTAGCACCATACAAGCAGTTTAAGTTAAAATACTCTTACTTGGTGCGGCCTTCTTCAACATCTCGTTCACCTTGGCAGCCAATCGAATGATATGATCCGGAGGGCGGGCCCAGAATACCAAGCAATTCCTACTATCAAGGAACCCTGGCTCTACCGTTGGGTTTTCAAGCCTGAGGAGGGTCTGATCAATGATGAGCTCTTCAAAGCCAGCAGCTAAGAACTTCTCTGCCTGTTGAGCATTTCGCTTGGTCCTGTGCACTGAGTAGAGGGTTTGAATCTCAGCCTGATCTGGTAAGTTTACGACAGTCATTCAGCAGAAAATGCCACTTACAACGTCGTCGTTGCATGCCTTGATAAGTGCATTGTATGGGTTCTCGCCTGACTTGAGCTGGATTCCGGAGAGATCCTCCAGCTTGTTGCGGGCCTCGACCAATTCGAATTGAGCTACCATCTTGGCTCTAGGTAGAAGACTGTTGATGACCTTTTGTGTTATCAATTCTGGGTTGAGTTTCTGGACCGAATCTCAAAGGGCCAACCAGCAGCTATAAGAACAGTTTCTTGTCTATCGTGGCATGTCTGGAATATACGATGACTAAGCTCATGTTTGCCTATTAATGAGAGAACTATTCTTATCCCCTTGTATCTTGTCATAGGGTCACGCCTAAATTTCAGCTCGATTATTTCGAGATTAGTGAAACAGCCTTGACAGGGCATCAATATCAGAGGCAAGTCAGTTGTTGGTAAATGTGGTCTATGTTTTAAATTACATGTCAAATATATGTACTCAGCCACCATTAAATTACGCAGTTACTAGCCCTCGAATATCGCCAGTCTTCTTTCAGCTATAGCTTCGCGACAATATTTCCGCTTCGCGGAAGGCGCACCTTAATATCAGCATCCTTGGAGTCATGCCCCTCAAAAGTGACAATTTGACAATCTTGAATATCAACTCCACTGGAGAATTGAACAACCAAGAAATCCAATGTGGTTTCTTTTCTTCCCAAAGCCACCATCGGGGCATGCCACGTGCCAGCAGCATAGGTTACAGCCTGTTTATCCGTTGCTATGAAAGCGCGCAGACCCTTGAGGTCAGGCAGTCCTCTACCAGGTAGGCCCTCACCGCTTGGCACGGGGAGACCCTCATCTTGGGGAGACGGGGGCAAAGTGGGAGCCACGATGACTAGGTAGCTCGAAGCGGTGGAAGCCAGGGGAGCAAAGGTCTGAGAAGTGAAAGGGTGGCGCTCGAGAATGTTGACGGCGAACTCGTCCTGGGTTGTGTCATCCTTTGCAGGTGCCATGCTTCGTGCTTCGCAAACGAATTGACTCATGATCAATTGACCATCTTTGCTGGGGGCTTGCGAGAGAAGATCCTGAGGCTTGCTGACATCGGCATAACGAATTGCTGTTCCTTGGTTGGCCGACGTGCCGCTGTATGGGAGATGTCCGCCTTGTGATGCGTATTGAGAAGGAAGAAGACTGGGTCGAGGATTGTAGACCACGTCTCCAAAAGGCGCGAATTCTTCTTGTGTGAGAGGAATAGTCTTGATCCTGAGGCTCAGGTTTCCAACGTTGACTTTGACTGACATGATGGTGGTTCGAGATTCCTGCTTTTGTGTAATGTAATTGATGAATGTTGTGAGAGGAGTTGCTGGTAAGGCACTTATAGTTTGAGCCAATTTTTGGTACATGTCCGACGTCGGCTATCAATTCCGAAAACAACACAATGCTGCAACTACTCGACAAAGATATCCAGATACAACTGAAAACATATAAAAACATAAACAGCAACCACAATATAATTTTAAGGGACTAGATGGATTCCTGACTGTTATACAAGTCAATGCCGGCCTTGTAAAAATTGCCTCTTGCCTACCCTGAACCATCAGACACTGGTTCTCATTTCACGTCACCAAGCAGAAGTCAAACTATGTTAGGATATCACTTGCTTTTTCTTAGGTATAACGAGTAAAAACAGCTAATTTCTTCATGTTCATGTCATACAGGGCCTGAACGCCAAAACTGCTCACAGACAAAACTCCTAAGAAAACTCCCTCGGTCTCTGCTCACGTCCCAGATTCATATCGTCCTCATCTTTGTGCGACTGCCATGGTGAAGGTGATCGCATCGCGGGTGACACATCACCAAGACCTTGGTTTGATGGTGGCTGATATCCTGGCGGAGGATCGGATGGGTAGCCAGTGTTCTGAGGAGGTTGTCTCCATGGGGGCGGGGCGTATTGCTGAGGACCTGCCAGACCGGGACCTCGAGGACCCAGACGACGCTTGTCCAGATATCGACGACCATAAATCAAGATTAGGCTGGTAATGCAGATGAAGATGATGAGGAGAGCGAGAAGCATGCCGAATCTTCGGTTCAGAGCGAATGTGAAGCCCCTAACAGTGTATTAGTGATGCGCCAAAAGAAGTGGATTGTCAAATACTCACATGAATGCGTTCAGTGTACCGAAGAACAGGATGATACGGCCTACCCAGAGATGGATCCTGCCGTACCGAGTAGGGCTCTGGGTCTTTTTGTATTGAGTGTGATGCATCACTCCCAGGCCAAATTGCCCAAGCAATAAACCAGTGACAACGAATCCAATTATTTGGTGAGGATCATCAAAGCTTCGAGACTAATTTCATATTAGTTAGAGGCACAGACAAATGTGCGGATGACACAACATACCCTTTGATAGTAGAAACTGTTTGCAACGCCAATCCCAAAGCCCGCGAAAACGCCAAGAGTCGCAATGACCTGGTTGAGAGCATGCCACTTCACCCAGCCACCAGATCTCAGCAGAACAACACCAACTGGCATGAGGAACACAATCGACAGGACCATGAAAACTCCGTGAAGCGGCGATGCCCAGTTTGGCCTCGCCTTTTTACCGTAGATGAACTTGGTCCCGACATCCTTTGTTGAATCGCTGATGTATGGCATCTCAGATTTGCCATGCGTTCTGTCGATGTTGATGGAAAAACTGCCATATCCTGCATGGTATTTAAGAGGTGCAGCTTCGTTCTTGCTGTAGAAATCTTCCTTGGGACCAAAAGCAAAGATGGCCTTGCTGTCGTCTGAGTAAACATCAAGATATCCTCTGTTTCCACCATGCGAAGGCCAGCTGCGACATCCGCTCTTGCAACGGCCTGTCACCACCATATAATCGTCGATGATTCCGGTATTATTGTTGAGGATTTCGACATCCATCCCGTCCCAGAAATATGGTTCGTAATGACCGTAGGCAAGTCGTGGGGAAAATGTAACATTGCCGCTGTCACTGCTCTTGTACACCATGAGATACAGAGCTCCAGGCATATCGTCGCTTCCGAGACCAACAGCACCCCATGATCGGCTCTTCTTGACACGAAGGCTGAAGTAGACTTCGGTGTCGCGATTCTCGCCAATGTCAATGGCAAAAGCTACATCGCCGTCTGGGGAAACGAATGTGGATTGACCGCCATCATCTTTGTCTTTGGCGAAGGCGAACGGGAGGATAGCTATGAGGAGAGTAATGATTAGTAACAGCAATGGCATCAAGAATTGCGATGCTTGTGACGAGAGTTCATCTGTTTAACTCACCTGCTGTCACTGCCAAGGCTTGCCTGAGCTTGCGAAGCAACATTTCTGGGGATCGGTCTGGAGAATGTGGGGGAATTAGATGATGGAGAAGAGATGACCCAGATTAAGAAAAGAAAAGTAGGAGAAGAAAACCAGAGCGGAAACTAGGGAAAAAGGCAACCGCAAATGAGAGAGGCTCAATTGAGGATTTTGCCCCGTGGTTTATTTACGAGGAAATCAGGGAGACAATGCCGAAAAAGGAGGCGCGCCGCTAGCCAGTTGTTTGAAGTCTGGTCGAGAAGAGATGGGACGGCAATTGGTGATGGCGGCCTCATTCTACATGTACACATATGCAACCCATTGAACCCAATTTGGATAAATGTCACAAGAGGGTCATGGTTTAATAAAAGCGGAAATGTGCGTGGCACATTACAGGCTCAATGGGGCAGTTCATACTTGTTGCAAATTGTCTAGCCAAGAGCTTGGTTGTTCAGCATCACAAGCAAAACTTCAGTGATTGACTGTACTTTCATTCCAATTAAAGAAAGGGGTTTCTTGGAGGAACTTGGCAGGTCTCAAACATACATGTACTACTATTGGCATTGATGCACGTGGATTTTCTTCAGATGATGTGTTGGTGATACAGAAATAATAGATTGCTCGTATTCTCTGTCTTTGTTGTCACCGTTAATTTGCGATTAATCCATAAGCCGTGAGTGATCAATAAGATGTCGGTATGTGAATAGAGTTTATTTAGCGTCTCCTGTTGCTGCGCAGGGGATCAGTTTAGTGGACAACCCTGCAGTAGCCAGGCACCTTCCCCCTGATCAACTTTTGGGTTTACGTCACAGCCAATCAAAGGCCAGTGTTTACATACCGCACAACATGGCATCACAACACCAACACACCACCATGACTATCAACCAACAAAAACATCACCAGTACGTAGCAAAAAGGACGTCTTATAACCTCAAAATGCAAAAGAACAATGCGTAATCTGGGAATCGAACCCAGGGCTCCCCGAACTTACTGGTTTCGTTGGAAACCGGATGGCAACGGAGAATTTTACCACTAAACCAATTACGCTGATTGAGTATTTGATGCTACTCGGATTGTTGAAAAACGGAGCACTGAATCATCTCAAGACGTTCATGTGGCAGGTAGTTAGGTAAAGCCAGTCCTAAGCTTAGGACTGTAAAGGTAAATAACCATAAAAATAGCCTAAACTTTGATGCAATGGTTCATAGTTTGGCCGTTGTGCTGCTGGCATTTACAAGCTTTCTGATGCAATGAAGGTTAGTGTATGATGTTGAATCACAACGGACGGGTAAGACGATATGGCAAGTATTTGAAACGACCACTAGCGGAACTATACTGTTCGACGTTGTTCACAATCCGTTCAACAACAGCTGAACTTCCATAGCATCTCCAACGTTGACCCAGTCCAACTGTAAAGGTTAGCCTGCAACTCAACTACACGATTGGCGAATACTCACAAGTATAACACTTGGCTTTGCACTCCACTCGCTTTTGCAAAGGTCTACCTGACTTTGAATTGACTTTGCAGAATTCGTCTGTTTTGCACGAAGCCGACTCGGAATGATGATACCAAGAACATCATCATTGAGCATGTGGTTCATGATTCCCATAAGTTTTGCAGGATCTCCGTTCTCAGGCCGATCAACTTCGCAAGTAGGGAACGAGTGGTCAAGTTCACCAAAAAGGTGTTTCCCAAAAGTAGTCGAATTGATTGACGATGTAGTCAATCTTGCTCTCGTCCATGTTATAGTCTAAAGCGATTAGCTGGATCATATATGTTCGATACCGCGCATACATACCCATGAATACAAGGAGACGTGTTCCAGCATCAATCAGTTCCTGAAGAGTTGGCCACTCATTCAAAGCCAGTTTCTTCTCTGGCCGAAAAACAAACTCTTTGAGTCCCGTACTGTTGAACGCAGCATCGAACTTCTCGATAGGCAAAGCGTCACGGTTGGTCAAAAGCAATGTCACAACCTGATCCGGATTATTCGCCATCCAACTTGATATATCTTTCAGGTAGTCTTCTATTGGACCTTCGTCCAACAACCAACAGTGAGTATGGCACATCTGTATATCGCCGTTCTTGTCTTGCGTTTGAGCTTGCAAGAACCGTACGCCGAAGTTGAGCTGCTCTGTTACTGGAAGGTATTGGTTTTGGGATGGCTGTTTACCGACAAAAGCACTGTTGTGAGCTCCGATAAAGGTGGTTTCCGAGTACTTGCGCTTGCATAACTTATCATGGCCGTTGCATGCAGCCCAGACTGCCACAGCAAAGAACGAAAAGACGATGAAGTGCAGCGGAAACATTGCAACGGGCGAGAAGATATGAGTCTGAAGAGGGGAAGATGGTGAACTATAAAGTAAAACTGTCGAGAGGAACTCAAAATTGAGATAAAGCCTACCTGTATTTAACCTTGAGTTGACTCCATGTTCTATGGTCAACGTGATAAACTCATCTGCCAGCAATATGTTTCAAGCGGTTGCAACAACGAATCATGTTTGTATATATCACCACAACTTATAGCAATAGGTCAATGATATGCCGGTGGAAGCATCCCAATTCAGCATGTCTCTCATGCAACAGGGCTTTGTAAGGGGTGGTGTTTGAATGCAACAACTGAATGGTTGGCCCATGATCCCCGTCACCTGGTTGTTACATATAACTTGTGATCTACAAAGCGACCCAAAGTCAGGGATCCGGGAATAGGTGTGAATGCGATAAGCATAATTGCCATGGTGGAGTTCTGGCATATAATTTGTTGTGCCCTGAACATGGTAGATATTCTTTTGTATTAGCGATCCAGGCTGAGTCGAGTATTGAACTAGATAGCGGAGTTGGTCATCTTTGGTGAGGGCTATGCAGAATTCTTCATTAATTCTGTATGAAATCTTGACTGATGTTGGATTTGATAGAGTCAGACATTTGATATGAGTGATGCGGAAGTCTATAAGGACATAAAAGCCGAGACCCACTCTGACGCACTGGTGCTCTAACAAAACATCAACGAACACCTGGGCTGTAACTGCCAGCGCAATCTTTAGACTTAGTACGAACTACAACCTGGCCACTTCGCACAAAGGCCAACTTGTATTACACACCCGACTCGACACACTATTCTTGGTTTATTTAACACATGTACACACACTTTTGCAAGAACATAGAGCATCAATAAGTGCTCCCGTTGCCCATCATGTCTGGCTATCTGTCCATGATAGGCTGGGCCTTTCTCCCAGGTGTATGCACTTCCTTGAACGATTCCTCTCATATCTATTTACTAACGTCTTCACAGCTCGCAACAGGCTGGCTTCAGACTATTTACTATGGCCTTACCATTCGCGCCGGCGATCCCAAGCCTGCTCCTGGATCAGCCCGTTACAACTCGCATCGACGCAACATTCACATCCTCGTCGTCGCTGCCTACCTCTGCTACACCATCTTCGAAGCCGACTACGAACAGCGTCGCATATCCTCCTACTATGCCGACCTCGGCGTGCCTCTCGATGCAGCCGACCGCGAGATCAAAACGCGCTTCCGTCGGCTGGCTGCTATGCACCATCCCGACAAGGCAGGCAAGGATGCTGGCGACTCGGCCGCCTTCTTTATGCACCTAAAGGTTGCCAGTGATACACTGCAGGATTCTGCTAGGAGATTTGCCTACGAGCGCTTTGGACCTGAAATCGCGCGCTGGCAAAAGTGTGTTACTATCAGGGATTTTGTCACTCGTGGCGTTATCTCGGGCATTCTGCCTCACTACGCTGTTGCTGCTGCATCCATCTATATTCTGGGCCTGTTTGGTTATATGGACTTTGGCAAATACTATCGATGGCTTGTACTTATCGCCCTGTGCGTATTCGAGCTCCAAGCAGTAACGCGCCCCGACTTTCCGCCGTTCGTCAACGCTGTCAACGCTGTGCTCGCTCGAGTTACATCTCTACCGCCATACCTCCCATTCCAAGTCATCTCACTTGCCCGAAGACTGACAATCACTTTCTATATTGCTTTGAACCAGATAGGCCCACTCGTGGCAGTGATGATCACTGGACCGGAAAAGTCCGAGGAGCAGGATGAAAAGGCACTTCGCCAAAGCTTGGGTCGACTTGAGATGTTGGCCAAGCAGCTTGACAGCGATGCTTTACGATTATTGGATATGGAAATGGCCCCCTTCAAAGGTGACACCGAAGCAACGTCCAACTTGCAAGGCAAGATGAGAGAGTGGCTTGTGCAAAACACCATTAGAGCGGACCCCATGGTAAGAGATGCTATGGGAACATCGCTGAGGAAGAGGAGAGTCGATGCACCAGCAGGCGCTAAAGGAAACCGATAGGCAACGCTTATCGATTCGTTATTGTACAATTTAAATAGACCTAGACTGTTCTAAACAGGCACCTATATGAATAACACCAAAGTTGAATGCACAACCAAACCCCCATTTGTAAATGACACGATAAAATGCAAGCCACACCCAAGACCACTCTTTGACTCCAGGTCGTTAGTATGCGCATGTTGATTTCATGCAGCGCCTTGGACTTTGCCAGGAGCTGCGCTTGATGATTAAATAAAATGTTGATGACCTATAGGCGCGAAGCACCTCTTGTTTCGATAGGGATGAGACAAATTCCAACAAATGCCGAAAGAATGAGAACGGCAGACATGATAATAGGAGTGGTAGCGCCATCACCGGGAACAGTGGCGGCAATGATGGGCGCCATGAGGCCAGTAATTCGGTTGAGGAAGCTGGCTACACCAGTACCAGCACCTCGAACAGGTGCTGGGAAAATCTCGGGTGTGAAAGCGTAGAGAACACCGTACATAATGTTCTGAGCAAAAGCTTCAACACAAGACATGAGGAGCTGGGCTGTTGAGGTCGTGCCATAAATGACAAAGAGGAAAAGAAATATGGCAGAAAGGAGCGTAGAGCTAGCCAGTGTTCCGCGGCGACCAAGGAAGGGTGAGGGATGATCGACCAGATAAGCGGCCAGCAGAGAACCAGGAACACCCATGACGGAGGCGATGGCGTAGTTGCGGTATGTGTCTGAAGAAATGGTGTCTGTTTCGGACTGCACGCTGTCTGAAGCCTCGTTGTGTGCACGAGCAAAGTACTGGGGAAGGAAGGCGTTGAAAAGAGGATAACCCATGCCGATGGTGGCCCAGCAGAACCAGACGAGACCTGTGGCCATGCCTAGAGTCTTGTTCTGGAAAAGAGGTCGCAGTCGTTCTCCGGAGAAGGACCTGAGCTTCTCCTGGATAACGGCAATGGTCGATAGGGCCGGGATCTTCTTTTCGGCAACATGAGCCATATCCTCGCCGTCCTCACATGCAACCAGGTCGAGCAGTTCTGAAGTAAGCCAGGTCCTTGTGCCGTTGCGGTAAGCCAGTCCGTGGATGACAGCGACTGCCTCGTGTTGGCGGCCTTTGTTGAGGAGGAATTTAGGAGACTCGAAAAGGTGGAAGATGAAGAATCGAACGACGAACATGGCAAAGGTGACGATGCCAATAGTGACGATAAAGTACCTCCAACCCTGCTCGACGGGCCAGTTGCCGATAAAGAACCATGCGATCAGAGATGAGACGAGCTGTCCGAAGGGCCACCAGACGGACAAGAGTGTGAGCAGAGCGCTGGAAGCATCAGGAAGAAACTCGAGGAACAAAGCTCCATCAACAGGAAGGTTACCGCCCACTCCGAAGCCAAGGGCAGCGAAGAAGAAACAGACGCTACCCCAGCTCTGGGCATAGGCGGACATGATGCCGAAAACACTGGTGATAAGTAGGGTCGTGTTGAAGGCGATGCGACGACCCAGGAAATCCGAGCCAATGCCCCAGAAGAAACTTCCGATTGATAGACCGATAAAAAGAGCACTGGTCGTGTATCGAACTGTTTTCTCATCAACCCCAAATTCGCCTGATAATGATGGCAGACAGAGCGATACCCCCTGCATCCAGAGGTTATCGGCAAACCATCCACAGCCACAGAGGACGAAGAGTTGCCAGTTATAACTGCCCATGCCAATATCTCCAACTGCCTTGTTCATGAGCTTTGATTTGACTATAGTTTTATCAGTTTCCGTTTCGCAGTGCTTTTCCAATTGTCGACTCACTCTCATATGTCGTCCATTGCCCTCGTCGCCCTTCTCTCATCTCTTTTCGCAGTCCTTCGACGGTGTACTCAGCCGCATCACCCCCAAGCATACCCTCACGCTCTTCCTTCATTTCCAGATCATCCAACTCGCCTTCTTCCCGTTTCTCTCCATGGCTCGCACGCTTTGCCTTTGCCGCTTGGCTGTAAAGATGAGCCTCCTCTAGAGGCACTAACACGCCGATATAGTCATCCACCGACTCGACGTAACCCGAACCCAGACGCCATGAGATGCGCATTTCCAAGGTTGATGGCAAAATGTGAAATTTGTTATGTTCTTGATAACAATAATATGAACATCAGATAAAAAGAGAAGCCAGGTGCACGTGATATTGCTGTTCAAGTTTGTGAGATGTTCCTTCAGAATGAGATCGAGATTGATGGTTGAATCAGCCTGACTGGAAAGGATTATGGGATGCTCTTGGCGAGACTGCGTCACTGAACGGAAGAGCCGATGGTGAATCCCGACACGAACGAAATAATGCAGCGAAAAAGAAACTATGCGTACAACGAATACAACAGTTAATGAGTGACGGGAGTATGAAGCGAGAATCAATAAAAAAAAGCAAGTGATTTCAATTGTAAGATGCGAGAGGTGAAACAAGGCATTGAGAGGACAAGTCAGAAGTTAAGGTGCTTGAAAGAACCAGTAATAATAATATCCATCCCAGAATAGGAGACCCCGTATCCAATTTTCTACTGGGTCCAGGGGCTTGGTAGGCGCCAACGCCGGGAATTCATCATCCCTCCATCCATCATCTCCTATAATTGGAGGCTTGGCTTCTTTTTTGTTGACTACTTTACCGCTATTACTACGAACTACAAATTGTGATAGCACTGTATTATGGGCGGCGCATATAATCTTCCTGATCATAAGGCATTTCATATAGTTGCTGCCTGTCAACGCAACTCAGCCTCCAGGGGCTGTAACTGATAATAGATCCAATCCAATGCATGCAAACGCCGAGGGAGACCAATGGCAATAGTCTTGTTCAAAAGTGGCTGGCGACTAGATCACTACCGGCAGTCCGCAGCCGATATTGCCATGCTCCAAAGTTGCTGATCAAGTTCATGATCTTTGAACCCTATCAAATCTCAGTGAAGTAGGGGGCGAAGCGAATTCCCCAAGATCGACAAACATGATGTTTCTTAACTGAATCAGATCAATGGAAT